AACCTATGTTAGTGCACATAATTACAGCGTCATTTCGTTGTATCTTCACGCTGCGAGTTTAAGCTAAACGAACTAACTAAACTACATTGCAGGGAAAGGATTGTTAGTAATGCGGATTACCAGCTCCAGTATATCAGCAGTATACCCCATCAGGTCGACCTCTACCTGGTCCTTCCTGGAAACCATCGAGCTGAATTCCAGTTGTATTCATCACGATGGGCTAAGTGGCCTGCGTTTACATTCTCACTTATCATCCCTCATTGGTGCCCCAACACCGTATAATGTTAGCGCAAACAATGTACCATTCCATTATCATCCATTAAAAAAAACTGAACTTACTTCGGCTAATCTGATAATAGACCCGACTCTGAGGTGTCATTCCTCTAGATTTATCACTTAGCCTAAAATTTTGAAATTGATAAGTTCGTGAAATTAATATTTTATGGACCATCGTAAACTAAAATTATAAAAAAAATTATTTAAATATATATGAGAATATTGGTTCATATTATGGTTTTTTTGTTAGGTGAAAAGACAGGATTTTTGTTAGGAGACAGTAGGTATTGTAATAATATTTTTTTTTTATGTGTGAAAATGGTATGGTAATCCCGCCTGCGCTAACGGGATACGCTGGCGGAACACCAGTGAAGGGTGATAGATGAGAATGAAAACAGGCCAGTTAGCCCATCATGATGAATTCATCAGGAATTAGCCATGATAGTTTCCAGGGGGAACCGCGAGGAGGTCGACCTGGTTGGGTATATTGCTAGCAATGGGATTCTCAGTCTCCATTACTAACAATCTCTTTCCCCCCTCATATTATGGTTGGACCACTTTGTCCACAATTGTTCTTTGTGCTACAGTATATTATGTATTACTGCTCGTACGTTGACCACATGCCACTAAAATAATTTTCAAGTTATCAGTAATGTAGATCTAAATTACAGAAAACTAAAAACGTACACCACTGCATTAGCTCAGTAGATCAATATATATAATAAAATCGTAACTGGTCGTTGTATGTACATGGAAGACACGTAAGAAAAATTATTACAGAGGGGCTTTATGAACGTAATAGAACTCAAAATAATGATTTTTAAGATTTCTGTCTGTTTATCTGATTGTCTGTACGTTTGTGCACGCTAATATCAGGAACGACTTAACCGATTTGAATACGGTTTTCCCTTATTCGTTGCGGTTTACTCCACAACATTTAGCGTTTGTCTTATTTCAATCGATTTACAAATAAATAACTTATATCAATTTAAAGAATCACATATAAAATGCTATAAAATAACCGATCAGTTGAATTGGTTTAAACTTCTTTTATTGTATGTATTGATTTTCGATAATTCTGTCTACTCGTGCGAAGCCGGGTGGAATCGCTAGTACTTAATAAATATATATTGTTTTCTCACTGTGATTATTTCTTGTAATTATTTATAATTATAATAAGTTTACTATTGTTATCTTTTGGAGGAAACAATAAAGAGTATCTATCTATCTACTTAATAAATATATAAACCCAAATAGTACTTAATCATAACGTACGAACGTTATATATACATGTTATTATCTACACTCATAAGTATCTTGAAGTGGCATAATAAATCATTTTCCTGTGGAAATCTTGCATTTTCTAGCATCAAAGTTTTTTTTTCCTCATATTTATTTTAACCTTAGATCAGTCACTCTTTATTGCATAAAACTAGTTATAAAACCAAAGATAAAATATCAATAATCAATTCTTTGGCCTGGGGCTCATCATCAACATCATCACTGTCCACTGCTGAACATACGCCTCCCTCATAAGATAGGTTTTACCAGTAATTTCCAAGCTTGACATGCGGATCGGCAACTGTGGTTAAGCTTTTGGTGATGTTTTAAGAGGGATGCTGCTGCCCTTCTCTCGACACCCATAGCAAAGAAGGGAGTGGTCTGTTCTATAGCGGGACTACATGCCAATCATTGGATTTCATATCTACCTATAATATAGATTGAAAACTTCTGACTTATTCAAGTGGCTTCAAAAAGGAAGAGTTTCATAATTCGTACATATTTTCTATTATTCCGCAATATATTCGCCGATTTAAATGACTACTTCCTGGCTAGTATTGTTTTGGAACATAATCTAACACACTACACTAACAAACAACTACAATTGAAAAAAAAAACAACGATTTGAATTGTACCAAAACACACACATACACGCGACGAGATTTTACCTAAACTCATTACATTGAAAATATTTTCATTTTAAATACATAGTTTTGCTCCACACAAAAAAAAACAGCACTTTTGATCATCACAAATTATAGTACTACAAAAAGTGCATCGGACTTGCACTTGACAGCAAAAATAAATATTTTACAAAATCTGTCCAGGATTGGTCATGTACGTAAATTTAATGATATGAATCGACAAAAAAAAGAGGAATAAATAATTTCCTTATTTGGAAATGGTATTAAAAAGTAACTTATCGCTCAGTGCTTCAAAGTACACTATAGTGCTTAGGACTTTATGTACATCTACATAAGTCTTCTAAACCCTCCTCCAGAACGGCTCAGGCGAGGTCTTGGGGCGAACTCTTTTGTTCCGAATTCATCACCAGGAGCCATTACCCCGAGTCACTGGCATCAATGCCATTGATGATTATCATCATAGAAAAGTTACTAATACTCGTATAAAAAACTGGATCCTTCTCGTCTTTCTTTTGAATTTGATGAATAAATTTTGTTTGTTTTTCTCATGTATAACAAAGACGGCTTAGAAACTCTATACACTAGAGGGTGGCACCCTTACGCAATTAATAACAGTAATACAAAAGTACATATAGTTATCGACTTTCAGAATTGCAGGGCGTGGTCATTAAATGTAATTGCATGTAATTCTACTGATATGTGTATTGTATGTGAAAATTTGTAATAGTGTTTGATTGTTCAAATGTTTAAGAATTAATAATAATAAATGAAAGGTCATCGTCATTTAAATAAAAAATCAAAATTTTCGAGCAGTCTTTTGATATGGCAACATTAATCTGAGTTTTTCTACCCTTGGCTAGACAAAAAGGGAAAGTGATAATAAAAAGGCCTGATACATTGCTAAAGAGAACATGCCCTTATGCTATAGGCGCGATCGACATTTCTCTATTCTACAATGTATGACTTATTTAGTTAAACACGTTACCTACAATACGAACCCATAGTATGCTAAAAATTACGTCTAATTTATAAACTGCCAAAAATATTCCCAAAGAACATTCCAAAATACGTTAACAATCTCTGTATTGAACTTCATACCAAAATCCATAATTTATCATAGGTATTTGTTATCTGGCGTGTAAAGTGCACACCACCGACCACGTTAAATATTGAATACATACTATCTTATAGATGCATGTGCATATTTGTTTACAATATGCACAGGTTGAAACACGTGTCATGAATATTGTATTAGAAATTATCCGCGTATGACAAAGCAAGAATAGGTACAACGCCTTCTTATTCCCGATATGTTATAAAAGACGTTTAAAGAAATCAAGCACAAAATAATCATCTCAACCGTAAACTGTGGGGGGGAAAGGGATTGTTAGCAACGGAGTTTGACAGCCCCATTGCTAGCAATATGCCTTATTAGGTCGACCTCCACGTGGTTCCCCCTGGAAACCATCGTGAACAATTCTTGTTGAATTCGTCACGATGGGCTAACTGACCTACTTCATCCTCACCTATCATCCTTCACTGGTGCCCCGCCGGTGTATACCGATAGCGCGGGTGGGGTTACCATTCCATTATCATCCATTAAAAAAAAAAACCGTTAATTGTCTACTGCTAAACATAAGCCTCCCCTTATCAGGGGATTTTGGCAATAGTTTACACGCTTGGCAGGCAGATTGGCAACCGCAGTTAGGCTTTGATGATGTTTTAAGAGGGACGCTGCTGCCCATTTCTCGAGTATTAAGTTCTTACAGTCGCCTTTTTCGACGCGAAAGAAAGGGTGACCCATTCTATGCCATAACCTATGACTATAACCCATTCTATTCTGTAACACACGCACGAAAGAAAAAATTACGTTACTATTTTGCGCATTTACGTTTTATATCTTTAATTAAGGAAAGGGATTACCCGTAAAACATAAATGAAAAGGGCTGCCACTTGGGAGATTTAAATTCCCTAGTTTTTATTTAAATGAAAAATAATGTTACGTAAAGCGATGTTCGAAGCCCCCTTCCGCTCTATAACGCATTGTAAGGTTTTACAAGACTCCCGCACACCCCCAAATTGCATTACGTAATACTTGAATGCTCCCTAAGACGTTTTTAATACCTAAAATTGGTTACGCAAAATATATTTAGATCAAACATTTTACTACATAAATGGCTCAACGCTTTTGATATGTCCCGAACGATAACATGACAATTCGAGATACATTGTTCTATTTAGACTGGGGGAAAGGGATTGTTAGCAACGGAGTTTGACAGCCCCATTGCTAGCAATATGCCTTATTAGATCGATCTCCACGTGGTTCCCCCTGGAAACCGTCGTGAACTCCTCCTTTCTTGAAATTGCTTGAAAAATAACAAGACACTGTCTGCGCGTTGCTGTCTCGTTCTATCTCAAACACATGAAAGCGATAACGTGTCTACCAATAGATTCGTTAATCAGTTGTTTAGAGAAGGCTTGTAGAAATATTTCTATATGTCATACCTTTTTTTTTTAATAGATGACAATGAATGATAAACCCATGATTGATAAACGCTAACGGTAAACACCGGCGGGGCATCAATGACGAATGATGGGTGAGAATTAAAATTCAGGTCAGTTAGAACATCGTGATGAATACACCTGGCATTTAGAACAATGGTTTCCAGTATGGTTTCTACGTATAGTTCCACCTCGTTGGGTATATTACTAGCAATGTGGCCCTCAGTCTTCATTACTGACAGTCTCCCGCGTCCTCATACCTACAGGTACTTAAACAGATTACATTTTCATTTCCAGGACGCGGTGTCGTTGGGCGGCGGAGTGATCGGTGCGATGCATATCCCGGAAAAGTGGTTCCCGGGAGCGGTGGACCGCTGCCTCAACTCACACAACATCATGCACGTGCTCGTTGTGCTCGCTGTCTACTCCATGCATCAGGTAACTTTGTAATTATTATTATTTCAGCCGTTAACTGTCCACTGCTGGACATAAGCCTTCCCCATAAGGGGAGTTTTGCTAGTAGTTGCCACGCTTGGCCGGCGGGTTGGCAATCTCAGTTAAACTTTTAGAGACGTTTTAAGAAGCCGCTGTCCATCCCTCGCCCTTTGTTAGTCGACTATTACGACACCCACGGGAAAGGGAGGGATGGCTCATTCTATGCCGGAACACACGCAGCGAAATTATTCTGTTATTGTTAACTATCGTGAGTTATACTGAATTAAATACAATTTATTTATGTCAGCTTTACTTATATTTCCAAATTCAAGGTTGCTCGACTCGCGTTAGTGTAAGTTCGAGACGCGGTCTTGGGACAGTCTGAGAGGTATCCTCTCCAGCAGGGCCGTGCCTGACGGGCGTTCATTGCGTGCACCGCACGCAGGCGGCCGAAATTAAGAGGCGGCCAAATCGTTACAAGTTGTTTACTAGGCAAAAATACAATCGGTTTGTTTTCATTAAGATACGAAGTAAAAACGAAGTTTGATGCCCTGTGTATAATAATAAACATTAAAAATTAAAGTAGTTTTTTTTAATGTTATCCTGGGGGCGGCCATACAGACTGGCACGCAGGCGGCCATATACCCAGGCACGGCCCTGCTCTCCAGTCCTATTCGATCCTAGACGAGTAAATCTACTTAGATTTATTTACTCGTCTACTTAAATTAATACATACAATAAACATAATAATAATATAGCCTTTATTCAGATCAACTTAGTACATTAAAAACAAACATAAAATAAAAAAAAAAACTTAAAATAACTTATTCTAATAATTGTTTTTTGCTTATTTTTTAAAGATCTGTTTGCCATTTGGCAAAGGCCTCCTCCAACCGTTTCCACTCTCGCCTATCCTGAGCCACTCTGTCCCACATTTTTCCAGCCAATTCCCTGATGTCATCTTCCCATCTTATGCAAGGTCTGCCTCTTTTCCGTTTGCCTTCCCTGGGATACCATCTTGTCACTTTCTTACTCCTTAAACATTACATTAAACATAACAAGCTATATTTAAATGCCGAGCAAAAATCATCGATAAAAAATAGATATACGTGTACTTTGCACGATTGCATATAGCTGCATACTAAAAATAAAATTTTGACAAATAATTTATCTTATCTTGCACAAGTCGTAAAATAGCTTTATATATAATGTTATAAATATCATATCAAATGATAAATGTATTTTCTTTTAATAATTATCATACAAATTTAAAACGACATTGTTATTTATTTTTATAATGAATTACGCAGTCTTAATATAACCACCCGTATACCTACTCATACTCGTATACCTAAGTACATTAGCGTATATAATTTTATTTTTTATACAACTTAGAATGGCAAATAAGCTGACGGCCCACCTGATGGAAAGTGGTAACCGTCGCCTATAGACATGAGCAGTACCATGGACGTAACAGAGTATACTGTTTCGCAAATAATACCCCCCATGCGTTGCCATTCCTGAGGACTCAGGTGTTATTCCTCTGTACTCTGTAAATTCAAGCCATATCCTACCCTTCAAACCGAAAGACAGCCATGCAAACACAACTGCTTCACGATAGAAACACAAATGGGACAGAGGTAACCAAGCAATCGACTTTTGTACAGTCTCCCTCTGGTAATTCAGATTCTTATATAATTAAAGATTAGATATTCCATAAAAAACCGACTTCAACTATAACAAAACTAATTATTTTGATCAAAAAATTAAACTATTGAATCGATTTTGATAAAAAAAAATTACGGTGCTAATCTATAAATATATCCTGTCAGATAATAAAAGATTTTTCCATATCGGTTTAGAACTGACGAAGTTATGAGGTCATTAATACAAAAAAATACAATTCTATTAAGAACCACCTTTTTTTTAAGTCGGTTGAAATGGCACATATGAATTCTCAGATATGTTTTTGTAAAACATCATTCCTAGATTCCTTGACCTTGGGTCGAACATTAGGTGGGCACCTTGGGAAGGCACGGCTAATCCTCCCCCCTCCCTTGCCCTTAAATACGCCTATCTCACAGGCCCTATGCCTATCTAGTAAATAATTTGTAACTAGTAACAAAAAACGTCTGCTAATGACTCCCCTAATAATTGTAACGTCATAAGTCATTACCGAAATTCCAACCATATTAGGTACAGCACTGAATCATTTGTCACTATCAGGTAATTAATTATAAAACCGTTAATAAATATAATAGTTTACTATTTATATGTTTTAGTTTACTATTATAATCTTTTGGAGGAAACAATAAAGAGTATCTATCTATCTATATATTTAATGAAATAATATAAGGATCAGGAATATTTTTTCTAAAAATACATCAACGACACTTAATTCTTTGAGCATATATATGCATAATCTTTTACTTTTGACGTCATCATCATTACATAGAACTGACTGAGTAAATTTGAATGTAACTTTTAATCTAATAATCAATTAAAAAATGTTATTTCTTTTAATGCTACATGGAATGGCATTATGCCATTTCAAAATAGGTCTACGAGTAGTAAATTCAAAAATCTATACTTCTTAAATATACCTTCATAGAATGGAGGCTTCTATGAAGGTACGTTGATAACTAATTGTTAATAATAAATTTGTTGATGTTACTATGAATTATCACAGCCAGGACCACATACATACAGACAGGTTTAGAAACAACATTTAAGTTCCTTATATACTTTCTAATGTTATAAATGTGAAAGAGATATTGTTTGTTACTTCTTAGGCTTCATTCACTATGAAATTAGGCATACAGACATTATAAGCAATGAAAAAAAATTAGGCTACTTTTTATCCTTTTTAATGTAATGATTGCCGATTTACCTTACGTGTAATTAGATCGAGAAAGCTCGTCTAGTTTCGGAATCAATTCGTGATCCTTAGTCGTGAGTAACTGTGAGATGAGCACGAGCTTTTCATCCGATCACACGAACGAAAACGTTGGTAAAAATTAGTCTACACTACTGTTATAAAGAAAAATTTGACTGTTTATTCATAATGAATAAATTGAATAAGTAAAAAAAATCATCTATAGAAAGTTACATTATGAGCGCGTAACATACAATAGGCTATTATATATATATATATATATATATATATATATATATATATATATTTTTTTTTTTTTTTTGGGTATTATATCTACCCGTATGAAGATGGGCTGGTTTGCTAGTTTTATATAAAATGCAAGTTAGCATCAAAAAAGTATTTCCCAAAATTGCTTCGTAAGGGCAACTAAACAGATTCGCAGTCCGTGTGGGCAAAGCCGCGAAAAACAACAAATACCTAGACAAAAACACAAATGTACAGCAGTTATGTGTAGCTATAACATATCAGAGGTCGCACCCTTGGCGCCTATTACTAGTCCCTAATAGGCGGCGCGGATTCCAACTTTTTTACTCATTCGTCCCATAATCTTGCTCCCTTTGATTGATTTATGACCTCTTTGATTGAATTCTCTCTCCCTGTTGTAGAACATGTTGCATAACATTAGCTCCTTTTTTATTATTTTTCTACCCTACAATTAAACATGCTCGGATTTAAACAAATGCATGATGACGTCACAGAATACAATAGCATATCCATGCATGTCATGATCTCGTCATGCGTTCCTATTCCTGCGAACTAAGATGTGTGTTGTGATATTATCACAATTATACAATAACTAAAGTATAAGGATTACAATACCTTAGTATCTCCGTATCCTATGATTTCAATATTGTATTGAACGAGATGTTATTAAGTCCATATCACTGGTTAGTTAATTAGAATTATTTTGTTCAATTTTGCTAGCATTAATATGCGTGCGGCTGCCAATATTTGAAGATTGACTATTATTATTATTAGTAGAAGTTCAACAACATCTTTCATATTCATCATCAATCTCCGACCGTTATTTAGTCCACGCATGTGTTACAATTTGTGTTACACCTCTAAACTTTAATTAAACTGTAACTTAACCCCATGTCCTGCATTCCAAACCGAAATATAACCTTGTGTGGCTACTTAGTTGGAAAAACACAAGTGAACGAAAAGTAATTGAGCAGATGATTTGTACAATCTTCTTCTATGCGATAAGTACGACAAAGAGCTTTTAAAAAATCTGGGTAAAAACGAACTTGCTACTTTGATTTCAGGTTACCACTCTGGACTTGGCGTGGATGTCGCGCGTAGACTGTCGCGCGCCGCTGCGTCAGCTCTGACGGCGACCGGCCATACTTCGGCGCATCTTCACCACCGCCTGTACACCACCACTCATTTGCACCACACGTCTGATGCTCTAAATTCTCTTCAAACCGTCTTTAGTTTATTTCAACATAAAAACTGCGATGAGATATTCGAGAACTTACAGAGGTCTCGACGTATTAACAGTTAATGTAAAATTATCCATTGTGCATGCGCAAAACAATTTACATCCATACAATGAAGCAAAATTTCATTTTTATTTTTTTTTTATATTAAATTCAATTTTAAATTAGTAATCCTTTAACCTATATTTTTATTTTTATTATCTACATTGGATACTAGTATGTTTTTGTTATTTTACCAAATAGATTAAATAAAAAATCAATTTATTAATCGACAATCAGTAAATGTCTGAACAAACTGGACTCCATTGGAGGTAAAATATGGTATACTCGGTGCGTTGTACGATGCAAATGACAGTTGATATTTTGGTAGTTTTGTACTTACAGAACTGTATTGGTTAAGATTTTTGGTGTCGACATCTATCCAATAACCATGAGTTTCTCAGTATATGCTTAGTTACGTTTTAGTAATGGTGCAGATGTCACTAAAATCAACGAAATGTTTTATGGTTTTAATGACCTGCCACTTGCACCAAGCTATAACACACGGAGTATATATAGGTAGTTGTTCTAAAATGAGTTTTAAATTGTTATGTATTTAATGAATGCTGCGGTTAATAAATTTATCCAAATTAAAGTATTGAACAACCAAATGAATTGATATTTATACACTTTTGACTCTCCATATTTTTTTTGCAATAAAAAAAGGACTTACAGTATTCGTATCTAAGCTGCAGTGGAATTTAGAAACAGAAAGTAAGAACCTACTATTATTATTATTATTTTTAGTTTAAAGTTTATAAAAGTTATGCAATATGGTATTTAAAAATTTAAATTAACAATAAATTGTTATGCCTGATCCTTTTGGTGAAAGTATTTGACTTGAATTTTTCCGGCGGTTCTGTGTTTAAAATGATCATCTATGTCATCAAAACTTTTATTTAATATAATTTTATTTAATCGTGAAACTGCATCGTGGCCGAAAATCTCTCTGCTATGAAGTATTTCTACCTATATTCAATTCACAATACATATTTTTCGATACCTCCACTATTCTGTGGTTATATACGTCAACAATTATATCTATGTACGTATAAAAACATATCTACATGCAACCATCTCTACTAGAATGTTTTTTTTTCTCTATAATGTTTCTATTAACATTATGGTGTGTAATACATTTAAAAAATACTAGCTTAGGCTAATAGGACTTGATTTTTTTACAATCCCACAGGCTATTTACAAAGAAAAATGCACATAAAGATATACATTGCTAAATAAATAAAAAAATAGCTGAAAGATATCTTGCGTTTTTCTCAACTGACTTACATCAATTTAAAGTTATGTTAAACACAAAAAAATAATTTGTTTTTTAAAAATCTACGAATATAATTCGATTGATCAAAAATCACAGATTTTTTGTACGATTCGAGCTGTCAAAATAATTGCATCCAAAAATAAGTAACGTTTATAAAGTTTCCTCGATTATGACTAATAGGTTTTTTTTATCAGCCCATTGAAAATACGTCTGGTAAACCGTGTCGGTTCTACAGTCTATGCACGCAATGACTAGTTTCATGTGTTGATTTTGCACGATTTTTGTAGTGCAAGACATGATTACATTTGTTATATTTATTATATAGGTAATAATGGAAAACGGCTGAGTTGAATACAGTGTAGTGGAAATATTAGTGATTAGGTTATAGCTTTAAGATGTACCAGTGCGCGACGATGCACTTAAGTACTCTAAAACATTAATTATATTACTAGAAAATTTATAGAGTTCTTTATAAATATTACGCGCCTGTCATGGCAATGGCAGTTTTAAAAGAAAATAATGTTTCGGACAAAAAAATATCAAATAATAATTATTGTTATTTTATTAAACTATCGATGACTGAACGATCAATTGATTGCAGCAGACAAGTCGATTCTTGAGGATTTAGTCAAATCTCAAAAAGAAATTTATTAAATACGTACTATAAAATTCAAGTTAACTACGAATCCGTTCAAAAAGAATAACAGCGGTTTGTAGACATTCCATTTAGCGGTTATCGTTAGTTGACAATATAACGGCCTATAAACTTAGTATAGCTACATAATTAAATAATAAAATAATTTGTGCCCCCCCCCCCTCCCCCATTCTATATTAATCCAAATAAACATTTTTATTATTTTATTATATTCTCATTTTCATGCATATTCAAATTATGATGATATTCGTTAATTTCCCTAAAAAACAAACATCTTATGTATGTATTTTTAAACATCATCAAACATGTCACGTCATAAATGCCAGGTCCATAGACAAAGTTGAATGTTTAATTTCATAATATTTGGATGAACCTTTAATCGAAATATGACATTCCAGAGTGAAATCTTTACATTAGTGAGACTGATTTTTTTTTATATAAATATGTAATAAATATTATTTAGAAAAAAATATCGTTTAAACCCAACCAACTCCGCATAGAATCTTTCTAAATAAAAATTAATTATGTACTTATTTATTAATAATTTTTTTATTAATTTTGCTATGGGCCTGGTGAATGCAGCTATTTTTTTTATATTTTAACAATAACTAGGTTGTCAACTAATACTTAGATAGCGTTCTCTTTTTAATAGTAAGTACTCGTGGTAATAAATAGTGATAAGTTTTCGAGTACAATTAAAATATTATTTGAATGCAATGAATCCTTTTTAGAGTTCTCTGTAGATAGGTATGTAATTAAGTGTAGTTTCCAAATAAAAATAATACTGTTTAAAACTGTCCCTTTTAGCGTTAAGATAACATGGCAAGCTTTAAATTAAAGGAGAAACAATTTTGTTTGCTGCTTCATATGATGGTGCATTTTGGATAATTATTATAAATAATTATTTCCAAAAGTTATGGCATGCGTACGCTAGATTTACTTATATCTATTTATGAGTATATCTAATTCAGTATTGTAATTATCACCAACTCATGAACGACTAACGTTGTGTTTACTATTACCGATGGGAATGTAAGAATGTATAATTTATCTATTTTATAAATATGAATTTTAATATCCAAAAAGATGTAAATGAAAATTAAATATTTGTATTTTATTCAAGTATCTAGTCCATTTAGGTACTAGGTATTATAATATTTATGACAAAAAAAAAATTTTAAATCATTTCAAAAAGAAAAAGTATTTTATATATTATTGTCCCAATTGTAAACAGATTTTATTTTTTTCAATCGACTGAGTTTAATTATATATTAATTATTACCATCAATGTTGTTCTTTCATGCAGAAAATTAATATATAAATAACTGTTTCCTTATTTTTATTACGATAAACGCATTTTGTTCTTAAGTTTATCAGAATATGTATTATATATGCAATATATAGGAATATTAAAAATATTGTAACTTTTTTTATAATATTTGTCGATAACTTTGCTATTTTTTTTTAATATCTACTCTTATTTACAAACAAATATGAGTTAATATTTATTTGTCTGGTGTATTTGAAATTGTGTAAGCAAACGAGATGCGTAAATAATTGTTTTCAAATAACATAAAAATCGTTGTTGGTTGATATTATATACTGATATAGGAATTGAAGAATGCATCACTACTACACTTTGTGTGATAGGTACGATAATCTAAAACGATAAAGAATGTGCGGGATCCATCTTATCTAATTTTAATACAACTACTTATTTAAATTTGACACTTTACAATTTGTCATACTGCATATGTTACTGAATGATATCCATATTACATTAGGTCTTAAAAACTGCACAGAGATTAATTTACTAAACATTAAAAAAATAAACACGACTTCGCTAAATTTATCTATTTTTTTTTTTTGGTATTTATTATATTTAATTATAAGTGAACAATAACTGAGTATGTACTACTAACTAAAGTTTCGGACATTTTCCATTGCATTTGTGTCACAATATGAGCGAAAATTACAAATGTACGTACGTACAGAATTAAGTATTCGATACAACTTATTTCTGCTACCAATCGTTGGTATATATTTTTATATTCTCAATGTTGTGTGCTTCACAGCTTTAACTATAAAGAGGCATTGCAATTCCCACGTTGAATTTGTAATTAATACTCTTCGAAAACTTCCCTTTAGTATTATTCGAGGATAAAGCTAACCGTAGTGACAGTAGTTAGGTAGATTACAAGCAATAAATAGTCAACAATTGTTCGGAAATTTGACAAAAGTAGTCGCTCTCAGTCTTATAACCATGGATTTTACACAAGTAAATTGTTGAATTTTATAACACATCTTTTTTGATGGCCACCATCTACTTTTGTCAAAGTTCTATTGTTTTAAATAATGATTTGTTGTAAATGAAGTAGTATTATAGATAAAACGAAGTGTACTTGAGGTTTTTTACTATTTGCGATTGTCGGAAAGTGTCTTCGTATCTCCGTACGCTGTGAGCCGACCTCCACATGTATAATGCTCGCTAACATCAAAACAATATAACTATTTGCCAATTTTAATTTATATTTTTCGAAAATCATATTTTCACCAGCATACGAGTGTTTACAGTCAACAACAACTTTATTTACACTAACGTAATATCTATGAAAACTTTATTGATAGCTAAATTAGGCATCTATATATTTCGAAGTAAATCTGAAATGTACATACGTTATTTTTATCATAGCTGTCAGCTTAGTTTATGCATAAAATAATATTTTATATACTTCATATAGTTTGAGACGGTTTACTTGCCTAAATATTCACTGTTTACAGTAATTTTTATATAAGTATATATACATTATAGGGTCAGGGAGGTTCATTGTGGTGAGATAAAGTTAGTTCCAATTGGTTACAGTTAACAAACCGAATAGGTATAATCGAATAGGTAGCTATGTACCTACAAGTGAAAGATTAAACGCTTCCAAAATTAAAAAGTAGGTACTTATGATATTTTTAACATTATTAGCACTACTTAATTCTACCACTTGATTTTCTTTTAAATACTAATAAATATAATGTAAGTTTAATACTTATTTCGTACTCATGTTTAAATGTTTCTTTTTCTTAATACAAACTTGTGAAAGAGGTGATATAAAAACAAATATACTTAATCAGTTTCTTGTAATTAAAATTAAGCTACTACCTTGGACATTTATCGAAAAATTAAAGATATGTTAGGTATTATTTTATGAGTATAACATACATCATGCTATTTTGTAACTGTAGGATTATTATTAGATACATACCTAGCGTAAGAGTCACAGATCTAGTTAATTTCAGAACAAATTTAATTTTTCCCACTCATGATTTTTTTACAATATTTTATACATACATGTACGTACAATGTATCGTCATACAATATTTTTTAAACATAATTTCCTATACAAGATCAATAGATATCCATTTTAATTAGTAAATATTATATGGAGTTTATGTTACGCCATTTATTCAGTATTACGTTAAGCGGTGGATTTTCCATAATATTTACAAGTAAATCACTGATAAAGAAACCTTGAATCGCATACAGTAAGTATAATTATAGTTTAGTACTATACAGCGTTTAATTTTATAAGTTAACAATAGATTTTAGCTATAGAAAACTTGAAGACGCCCACTCAAAAAACCAAATGTACCTACCCAATCGTATCATCATGATATTAATAATAATTAATAACAACAAAGACAAATTAAAAACCAATGCACCAATTAATACAATATAAATAATGTTGTATAAATTTATTAATGCGAATTAAGAATTATACATTTTGTGGAATTTATGTACAAACTGCCAATGAAGCTGATTATTATATTTTTCGACATAGTCTATTGCGAAAATAATTTCATTTGAAATAATCGTGACTATTTAATTTTTTGCAAACCATCTAACAGAAACAAAAATAGGACTACTTCTTAAAAATGCTCGATCTATGTTCAAGTTTTTATTGTAAGTATGTAATTATATACGAATATTATGAACACATATTGTAATGCAATTCGTTGTAGTGATATTTGAAAGCAATATAACAGTATTTAATACAATTGTTTGGAAGGTTTCTTTGTGGGAATCTCATCAGTTGCACTTATTAATAGACGATCCTTGATCAAAATTCTCAATCTGTAGACGTTGAAGAGAGTATTAAAGATTAATTTGAATTCAACTAATTGTTTTGATACCCTTTCGTCATCTATTGACTTTTTCACGGATGCACTTACCGAGCCTAACTCATTGGCTTAGATTACACTAACATTATTTATACTAAAATTGGTGTTGGAGAAGGATAGAGAAAATTAGCTGGAGGGATCGAATTAGCAATGAGAAGGTCCTCCTTAGGGTTAAGGAAAAAAGACAAATTATTAGAACTATTGAGGATAGAAGGTGAAAAATGTTGGGACACTTGATACGTAACGACGAACTTATGAACACTATAATAGAAGGTAAGATAGAAAGAAGGAGGAGAAGAGGGAGACCGAGGCATAGTTACATCAGGCAGATCAAGGTAAAAGTTGGTGTTGTGTCGTATCAAGAGGTAAAGAGACTCGCGGAAAATCGTAGTAAGTGGCAAGAGCTCCACCGACAAGAGCGCAGCTCTTAAATAGGATAGATAGATAGATACTATTAATAAATCTATAATATTCATAAATCTTTATTTGGAATAAAAACAATGGTAACAACATTATTGAAAAACGATAATATCCACAGAATTATAAAACTGTTGCGAGTACCAACGCCCTCCGTCTCATTGCAGAATTCCAAAACAAATCAAGTAAACATAAGTAAGTAGTTAAATTAGGGTTATTTTACTGTGCCCGTGAACATGTTAATAACACACACCTATTTCCCAAAATAATACATGCAGATATTTTTTCATTTTCATCATCATCTCAGCCATTATCTGTCTATTGTCAAACATAAGCCTCCATAGACAGCCATGAGGAATGGTCCTGAGCCACCTGCATCCACTGACTCCCTGCAATGCATTCTAAGTCGTCACTCTATCTAGTGGGGGGAGGGATTACCAAATGTAGTATTACGCATTTTAAAAAATTTACTAGAGAAAACTTTATACATAAAGTTTTAGTCCTACCAGAGAGAGACTTTGTACAAAAGTCGATTGCTTGAGGGGTACCTCTATCCCATTCGTGTTTCAACCGTGAAGCGGCTGTGTTTACATGACTGTGTTTCGGTTTGAAGGGTGGGATATGGCGTGAATTTACAGGGTACAAAGGAATGACATCTGAGTCCTCAGAAATGGCAACGCATGGGGGGTATCATGGGCGAAATAGTATACTCTGTTATGTCCATGGTACTGCTCATGTCTATAGACGACAATTACCACTTTCCATCAGGTGGTCCGTCAGCTTGTTTGCCATTCTAAATTGTATAAAAAAAATGTTTGTTACCTCATAATTTCGACAGTGGTAAACCTATTTGGAAAAATCTTTTTTATATGAAAGGATATACTTACAGATTGGTCTTAGTTAAATTTCTAAATAAAAATAATTCGCACACGATTAAAGTCGGTTTTTTTTTTTGTGGAACTTAATTTAGGGCTGTTATTTCTTCAGGACTAACCGACATAAATTTATCATTAATCCTAATTAAAATACAGATGAAATTATTTTTTTCTAAGCAACGTACTCTTGGCCGAAATACGAAATTACTTTTTGAAATTTTCCTTAATATCGGTAATGTGAAAGTAGCAAGAAATATGTTCATAAAATTATTTTTATGTTAAAAAAATTTTTATGTTAAAAAAATATTTACTCTTTATTGTGTCATTTAAAGAACAATACAAAAGGCGGTTGCTAAAGTAATCTCTCCATAACCACCTTTAAGTAAAGGAGAAAAAAAAAAAGATATATTTGACGCAGGAAGTGTATCTTATAAAAAAAAAAAACGCTTAATAATATATTGTTTATGATTAGAAGATTGAACTGAGTTGTAACATGTAATACATATCTAAATAATGATGACAGTAATTATCTCGTTAAGTGCCATTAAATCGTATCTAACAATAGATAGCAATTATAATATAGATATCAGAATAGCCCCTGTTTTTTTTTATGGGTGGAAATGGTATGGTAACCCCGCCTGCGTTAACGGGATACGCTGGCGGAGCACCAGTGAAGGGTGATTGATGAGAATGAAAACAGGCCAGTTAGCCCATCATGATGAATTCATCAGGAATTAACCATGATAGTTTCCAGGGGGAACCGCGAGGAGGTCGACCTGGTTGGGTATATTGCTAGCAATGGGGTTCTCAGTCTCCATTACTAACAATCCCTTTTCCCCCTCTGTAGCCCCTGTTAGGTTTGATTCTAGTAAAACAGAGTCTACCGCCATCGTTGTGCTTAATTTGGTTTAGTGGAAAATTTATATTGATTCAAATAGTTTTTGATGTTGTCCATTTCAAACACACGATGGACCAAATGGACCTTATTCTTCATTTCCACTTACCATATGACGATCCATTCTGTTTGATTATCGTTGCAGTGGTATAAAAAAAATAAAGAAAGAAAGAAAAATATTTATTTGTCGCATATCAATGAGAATTACAACTAAAACATAAACAATTATAAACTTAAACTAAGTGTTTAGACATTCATCCATAAACATCCTTGGTTTGCCTTTTCATCGCTTAAATATGCCAAGAATAATACAATTTAATACATAATATGCATCTAATCTAATCTGGGATACACAATTATGTCACTGATATTATTAACATAAAACACTTACGTGGCGCAAACGTGCTGAAAAACAACATCACCGCATGAAGGGTATCATCGGCGTCACAGTATACTTATATATTATAGTATATTTTAAAAATCCATTTTTCTATAGAAAGCGACATTGTCAGCGAGTAATATGAGCTGTATTTATTTAAAAAAAAAAACCGCGTGAAGATGGGACGGATCACTAGTAGGCATGGGTAATATTGATATTTACCAGAGGGACACCTTGTACAAAAGTTGTTTACTTTAGCACCTCTATCCCATTCGTGTTTCTATCGTAAAGCAGTTTTATTTTTATGGCTGTGTTTCAGTTTGAATGGTGGGATATAGTAGTGAATTTACATGATACAGCAGAATAACACTTGAATCCTCAGGAATATGGCAAGGCATGGGGGGTATCATGGGTGAAACAGTATTCTCTGTTATATCCATGTTACTGTTCATGTCTATAGATGACGATTACCATTTTCTATCAGGTGGGACGCCAGCTTGTTTGCTATTCTAACTTGCATTAAAAAAAATATTATATTAGGCAACATTATATTGAGTTACATGTCAAACAAAATATATTCAGATTTATGTCAGGCTTAAAAACATTATCTATTTAAATACAATATTAAAGGTAAATATTTCTATGAGGTCGCTTCCAACTGGTAGGAACTAGGAGGCTTGCCGCATTACAACGCTGAATGGTCATGCAGATACATTGATCAAGTTAAGAATATTATAATTTCAGCTATTTTTTGTCCACTACACTACAGAACATTTAGGCTTCTGTAACAGACTTAAGGAACAGTCTTAAGTCCCTTCATCCTTGTCTTACCTACTTAAAACTGCAATAGATCTGATGTCTCCACTCCATCTATTTAAATTTTAATTTTGAAAAGTTTATGTCTGTAGTGTAGTCTAATTAAAATCTCATTTCTGGAAATTGTTTGTTTCTATTTATAACAAGTTTACTATTGTATTCTTTTGGAGGAAATAATAAAGAGTATCTATCTATTTGTCTAATTTGTTTTTTAATTATACAATATAAAAATACCATAACTCTTAATGATTTTTTAATGTACAAAAATGGAATGGTAACCCCGTCTGCGCTATCGGTATACACTGGCAAGGCACCAGTGACAGGTGAAGATTAAAGCAGGTCAGTTAGGCCATTGTGACGAATTTCACAAAAATAACCACGATGGTTTCCAGGGGGAGCCGCGTGGAGGTCGATCTATGAGTAATAGGGCATATTGCTAGCAATGAAGCTCTTAGACCCCATTACTAACGATCCCTTTCCCCCGTCTGTAAATGGTGATGGTGGCCACATGAACAATATGGATGGATATCAGAAAAATGGAGATACCAATGGACCGTTGTCATTACTGCGAAATAGGATGTCCCTTAATAGGTGCACAAACAGACTAAAAATTACAAGTATTATTATTTAATATCATCATAAATATTTACTTATTATACTTATTTAGTATATCTAAATATTTTTTTAGTTTACCCATTACAAACAAAAATTCAAATCTTTCCTCTTTGTAATGTTAATTTAGATTGTTATAAAAAATCCTAATATCTAGGAACCTTTATGACGATATAAATAATTGTTAAGAATTTGATATTGAACAAAAAATATCAACAGAACTTACAAACTAAAAGTCTTTAACTAAAGTACCTATTACTCACAGCATTGACGGCGAAAATGTACAAAATAAAAACAAAGAGGCGATCAAGTAAATGTACTTATATAAAGTGAGTCCGGTGGACGCGAGGAAACAACAGCATTATGCTCACTCCGCAACGGTTGTCTGTGATCGCGCTCGTGCTAGTGTCGTGCGCACGCGCACGCCCCGGCGACAACGATCTCGTGCGTTTCGATGATGAAACCAAATGTAAGTATAAAACTTATTACCTCATTATAAACGATTGGATCTTAAAATATAGTGTCTATACTACAGTTCAAGTGATTTTCATACATTTTAACCAATTCTGTGACGTGTATATTAATCGTATGAATTTTAAGTGACATACACGTTAAAAATGAAATGTGTTAATTTTTTAATTTTACGAACACTGCATTCAGTTATTTATCCTATCAAATGTCGGTACATCTCGTAGATCCTGTTCTAAATATAAACATGTGTGTATAAAATTATATATCATACGTAAATCGCCATATTACTTAATTAAGATAAAAACTAAAATATAAACAAGTGAGTAAGAGCTAATTATAAAAACAATAACAGTATTTAGGTACCTAAAAGGAATTAACGGCGCGGATTCTGTAATTAACTTATCAACGACATTTAAAAGAGATGCCCCTTGTAATCCACATGTATCAAAATTTTGCCCTACAAAAAACAGTTACAAAATTAAAATGAGACCAAAACAGTCACAAAAAATATAAACATACATTTTAAGACACAACTTTGTTCGTGTGACCGGGATATATTGATGTAAGAACGGAAATATCGTGTATCACTTGAAGTAGCTTAAAATGATAATGAAAATTAATAATAACAAGTAATAAAAATCGTTATTAATTGAGTAGGTATCAATTAAAATACCTAAGCAAAGATTTCAACCACAAGTTTATAGAGCCAGGTGTCAATACCTTCTAAATAATCATTTGAAGATAGCTACTAAAAATTAAAAATATAAATTCGATTAAGTATATCTGTAAACATCCTTAGATAACTAGATAAAAAACATAAAACACAATAAACAATGTATATTTGTTGTCTACCATGCAAGATACTTTTCTTCGTGAGAAATCAAACTTATTAATTGCTAGGTTTTACCTACCTTTTTAGGTGACCAGGATTATGTTAATTGATGAATTAACTTATGTCCTTACCCATAAGTTAAATTAAGTTGTTATGAACAAATACATTCTTTTTTTCCATCTAAATATTAGTAAAATATGTTGGTTTAGTCCGCATCTTTAATAGCGAAATTGTAAACTCTTTACAGGCATAAAATTTTTTTTTTTTTATTTTTTTTTTTATCTTTAATGAGCGAAAAATTGCCTATGGACTCATGGACATTACAAGCATTAAACAATTAAATTACTAGTCAAATTATTATCAAAACTGCAAAACAATTTTATATTTAATTATCAAACTTTTGTACAAAGTCTCCCTCTGGTAAAATAATTAAATTACTAGTCAAATTATTGTCAAAACTTAAAATTTAATATTTTATCATCAAATTACTCTTTAATTTACTCATAAAATATTATACAGATATTAAATTGTATTCAAAATTATTGTAATTTTTAGTTTGACTCAATAGTAGACAAATTTCACGATTAACTTCTCTATTCTGAACGTAAACATCATTAATTTGTACTATACTCTCATGTTAGTACAGAAATATACAATTTTTATCACCGTTATATTACGAAGCAACATTTGCGTAGGTAGTAATTAGCAGCAGTAATAGCATCGGGAAAACCATTATATTTTCTATAGATTTTTATCACACAAGATATGTTTACCTACCTATAAATACGACAGTAGGAGGTATAACTTATACATATTCATTTCAGCTGTTAACTGTCCACTACTGAATATAAGGTTTCTCCATAAAGGGAGTTTTGTTAGTAGTTGTCACGCTTGGCAAGCGAGTTGGCAACTAAAGTTAGGCATTTAGAGATTTTTAACAGGGACGCCGCTGTCCGTTCCTATTTTATTATTAAAATACGACACTTATTCTATGCTAGGTTACACGGCCAAATAGCACACACATTAGAATAGACTAATTTTCAAAAAAAGATCTCTTTCTTCATTTGTTGTTTTTTTTTTATCATTTTTTGTCTATACTATTTTGGGGTTGGCTTGTGAGCGAAGACCGCGCGATGAGGATGTGGTACAAACAAACAGCGGTGTTTTGGTATACAAGCACAATTAATATTTTAATATAATATAATGCCTCACCACATATGCAGAAGATACAAAAGGTACAGGCAATAATCCAGTAGGTTACAACAATATTTTCTGGCTCCCAATACATATTATAGCAACAACCATTTTGCGCGGGCAAATCATCTGTCAAAAAGACAGGGTTGCCACACTATTATATTTGAAATTGAGTTTAATTAACAAGTCATTAAATCGTTAGTACATGTATCTACATAACGTGAGTTCGTGCAATCATCAACAACTTAACAAAAACTTATCAGCATCCAAGTAATTGTATGGTAATATCTGTCTGTGAAACAAGACGTCGAGGCTACATTGAAGACACGAAGAGTAATTTCGATTGAACTGTCTATCTAGCGTCTATGCCTCGATTGATTTAAAAAGTTATAGTGTTGTGAAATTTTAAAATAAATCCTTTTTAATGTTATAAAATATTTTGCTTGCTAGTTCATACGCGTGGACTGGAAAGTAGGAAATCCAATCAATACGCCATCTAGAAATGATCCAAACTTCTAGACGGCGTATCTTCTCATAGATAAAACATACCTGCACTAGGTTAAATTTTAAGTTAGACTTTCAGGTACTGTGAAAACTGTGCTGTGATTTTTGGCGTGATGCCAGATCAAACATACAGACAGATAGAATTTCTATAAGTTATTATTTTGACTTTCATTGATCTTATTAGAACTCCTTATATTAATTTTTCTCAAATATCTCCATCACTCTATCAAATGTCTCCACAGACATCGTACGTTTTTTCGCGCTAAATTTAACGATTAGTTTGATAAAATTTGGTATGTTCGTATTATTTGGAATGGCTTAAGCTGATGTAACAGAATATATTATTTAATACGAATTATGAAACATCAGAATGAATTTTGTGCGAATCGTGGTCATATTTACTAGTCATAGTAAAATTAAACATAGCAACAATAGAACATAACCTAGAACCACATTAATAAATCATCTTCTGGTTTTCTTCCATGAATATCATTGTTAAAGTTTAATATAACCATAATGTAATTATTATATAGAAAAAAGTACAATTTGCGGACAAATCAAAGTCAAATTGAATCCACAGTACCTTTAGATAAGGATAATACCTGGCAGTAGATAGATTTGACAGTAGAAGATTAATGATTTTATCTCTCTATCTAGCGTATGTTGAAATTAATGCTGGCTTTCAACCGACATCTTTTTGAAGTCGGAGATTCTTAATTCGATTATATTTTTTTATGTTTATTACCTCATAACTCCGTTAGTTGTAAAGCGATTTGAAAAATTCTTTTTTTATCTGAAAGGATATACTTACAAACATGTTCTATAGAAATGAAAAAAAAATCAGTGTAATAGTTTTTTTTTTTATACAACTTAGAATGGCAAACAAGCTAACGGCCGATCTGATGGAAAGTGGTAACCGTCGCCTATAGACATGAGCACTTCCATGGACATAACAGAGTATACTAAAATTTAATAATAATTTTAAATCAAAACAACTGGTTTTGCTAAAATCAAAGTCGGTTTCTTTTATAGAACCCAATCTTTGTTAATTTATCCATGATTTAGTTCTATAAAAAAAGGACGGAAATAAACACAAGGCATACGTAATATTACGAAATGACGATATAATTTAATATAAATTTTATGGGACCAACAAGTACTTACCGACATTTAGATACATCAGTGGCAAGTTTACGAAATATCCGTAGGTTGGAGGTCAAGTTTAAGAGTTGATATTTCTAAATGTTAGCGGAACAAATCGTCTCTGAATGTTGTAAGATTCGCGTGGAACATATAAATAAATATGTAAATAACCGCGAAAAATATTTGTGTCTTAAATTAGTAAATATTCAATTGTTTTCAATACTTACGAAATACCTGTACAAATTAGCTAAGCAAGTATTTCGTAATTATATCTCTATATAAAAACGTACCTTCAAAGAAATATATGTATATTGTAAATGGATAAAATAACTAAAATCTTTTATTGTTTATGAGAATGCTCGAAAACGGATAAAAAAGTAAAATATAAAAATATACCTTATTTTAATTACCTAAAGCTCTCTTTTGTACGTAATCAAAATGTGCTCTCCTCTCTAAGCCAGTCAGTAAGGCGTCAAGAATAACAAACAGACTCACTTTCACATTTATAATTTTAGCAAGGATAATTAGTGCATAATAACTGAATTCAGGTCGATTCTGAAAGCTATCTCTAAAAATACAATTTCGTTTGTTTGAGCGAAATCTTTACTCTAAAAACCAATATGAATAAATTTTTTAATACGAGTAGATTTAAGTTATATGCATCTACTACATTTAATATAAATTTTATTTTTTATGATCCATAAAAGGGTACTTTCACAGAACTATGAATTTAAATAATAAAAAATATTACATTAAAAGATAAATTTAGAGAAACGATGCCTCAAAATCGATCTCAATGTCTTTACGCAACTATTTTTCGTCAGGTGGACTGTCACGTTACCTTGTTTGTAAACAGTGCTCAATATTCTAAAATTGTATCTCTATTGCAATAAGTTACAACAGGCAACTAATGCGTAATACAGAGGTTTAGTCAACGGCTTAGTCAGTTTATTTGTAGAATAATGTGTAATATATTGCAGAGACAATGTGGCTATATACACTAAACACTATGTATAAAAAAAATCTACTAGGTACTGCCTACTGGCAATGTAAATAGGTATTAAAGTACTTATAATTAATGGTTATAATATGGTAATTAGATACTTAATGATTAATCCGTTTTCATAGGTTTTTTTTTTTGTAATGGGTGAAAATGGTATGGTAACCCCGCCTGCGCTAACGGGATACGCTAGCGGAGCACCAGTGAAGAGAATGAAAACAGGCAAGTTGGCCCATCATGATGAATTCATCAGGAATTAACCATGATAGTTTCCAGGGGGAATCGCGAGGAGGTCAACCTGGTTGGGTATATTGCTAGCAAAGGGATTCTCAGTCTCCATTACTAACAATCCCTTTCCCCCCATGTGTAATGTATTGCAGAGACAATGTGACTATATACACTAAACACTATGTATAAAAAAAGTCTACTAGGTACTGCCTACTGGCAATGTAAATAGGTGTTAAAGTACATATAACTAATTGTTATAATAAGGTGTTTAGATACTTAATGACTAATCCGTTTTCATAGGTTTGCTGCACGTCATATTTGTCAACATGTTTTAACCTTCGGTAATATTAATGTCAGACAAGTAAACAAAAGATAACATACAGGAAAATCCTGTATATTTTAAATAACTATATTTTCCATTTAACATACACGTACGATGTCACAAGGCCTACAAAAATAAAGTAGATGTACAGAGTGAAAACGAAATGATTATTTGGCATTCTTTTAAAGCAATATAAAAACTAATATAATTTTATGCGAAAAAAACGAACAAGCGTCGAACTAAAAAATAAAGTTTAAACTGCCCATAGTACGGCGCATCTAGCTGTCATATTAATATATGAGGAGGTACATTCAGTATCATTATAAACTAATGCTTAATCATCAATTTCCACAGCGCAAGAAAACAGAATCATTCTGGACAGTAAATTAACAGAAAACAATGAAATTCCAGCAAGTATACCCATTAACGAGAAGTTCCCCCATGCAGTGCTATTCGGAGGTGTATGCGGTGGATCCATCATCAGTGCAAATTGGATTATTACAGCGGCGCACTGGTATGTAATTTTTATGGTTCATTACGGGATTTTTACAGTAAAATATCTACGGATGCTGTTCTTTATTTCATCATTATTGTGGAAAAACACACAAGCCCAGTAGTGGAAAATAACTGGGATTCCAATTGACGTAGATATTCACGATAATTCAAAATTTATAGTAATAAAATTAAACAATTAATTAATTACCTCAAATTAAAAGATTGATATTTTTGAAATCGCCTATCTTCATATTTCATCTTTCGATCTTATTCTGATATTTTTATACCTCTATATCCATATCCAATATAAAAAATTATTTAGATATTACTTGCACGACTACTAATATTTACTTCTGGAATCTCTAATTTCAGTAAATGAACAAAAATATGAGTTAAATAAAAGTCGGAGATATCGCAAGGTCAATAAACTTATTAAAATATCTATTACAGGCGTAACCGAAATAGAATATTGAGTAAAGAGATTTAGTAAATTAACACCAATTTACTTGCGTTTACGTAGTTCTTGTGTAAGTTCACAAAACGCATGAAATCCTTTTGTAAGAGGTTTGTTCAAACGCCGTCACTGTCACTAACTATTGTAAAACGAGACATAATCAGTCACTTTACCAACCAAATTATTGTTTCACTTATGGAGATGATGTTGCCTTTACATGGGATTGATTTAGTCCAAATGTACGCATATATATAGATATATGTATGTAAATGTAAAAAACGAGTCACGCATCAGTGAAGCCACATCAAACTCGCGGATGATGATCTGATGAATAATCTGTACCTGTTTTTTTTTTAATAAAAGATAAATTAAGAATAAGCCCACCTGCGCTAACGGCATACACTGGCGGGGCACAAGTGAGGGATGATAGATGAAATTAAAAAGGTAGGTCACTTAGACTATCGTGATGAATACACCTGGAATTCAGCAGCAGTTTCCAGGGGAAGCCACGTAGATGGCGACTTGATAGGGTATATTGCTAGCAATGAGATTGGTAATTTGGATTACTAACAGTCCCTTCCCCCCCAATCTGTACTTGTTGGTACTTTGGAGTAAACGCCTTTAAAGGAGCTGTCAAAAATTTGCCCAGTTGCATCAAGTACGCTAAGGCCGAACCTGGGCATGAATCTTTCCCCAAGAATAGGACACCTTAATCAAGTAACTTAATATAGTTTGAATTTAATATAGTTTAACACTACTCTTTCTGTATTTATTTTCTTATTATAGGGTAGGGTATTTATAGGGTATATAAAAGGGTTGCCACTTTAATTTCTTACTCGATTTCCAAGGAAGTGTGCAGTATTTTTTAAGTTTATATTTTTTAGTTTATTATATTAATGTATGTAGGACTACATGAAATATATTCATTTCATTTATTCTTATGTAAAGGCAGTGCTCTTGTTGGTGAAGCTCTTGCCACTCACTACTATTTTCAGCAAGTCTCTTCACCTCTTGATACGACACGACACCAACATTTTCCTTGATCTGCTTGATGTAACTATGCCTTGGGTCTTCCCTATCCCCTTTTTCCATCTTCATCTCAGCCATTATCTGCCCACGGTTAAACATAGACCCACCCCATAAGGAACGATCCAGAGCCACCTGCATCTTCTATCTTACCTTCTATTATATATATTAGACAGTATTATTTTTCATTATAGGTGAGTTATTAAAATTTACTCTGTAAAGGTAAAGATAAGCACTCAAAATCAATGTACATAGCAATTATTCATATACCTACGTATTTCAATGTAAAAATCTATATGTATAATTATTTATATATTATACCATTGTCCTTGAAAAGAAAAAGACCGATGAGGTATAAGGAAAACATCATCTGACTGTAAACAATAATTGGAAGTTATATTCTTAGCGATGAAGGTAAAATGGAATACATGTAAGGTTTTTGGTACTCGGTTCTCTCTGCTTATCCCGCAAGGAACATGGCGCGAAAAAAGGTTAAAGTTGCACAATATCACGATGGCATACTAGCTGCAAACAAATAAGTAGATATGGATTTATTGATACCTTGCAACTTTGTTGTACCTATAAACATTCATAAGAATTCATAATTAGATACGTACTTGAAATAGCCTTGTTTATCAACATCGTAATTAATAATATTACAATGTATAAATCTACCTACTATAATACTATCTTTCACTACTTAAGTTAAAGTTGATTTGGGATATTTTATATTTAAACTTTAAAGATTTTTATATATATAAGTATAAAGCTTTTTGACATCAATTGAATCCTGTCCATTTCCAATCGCGGTCCTTAAAAGTTTATTGTACCATTATTTTAATACCTAATAATAATGTATAGGATGGAAAGGGATTGTTAGTAAAAAGATCTAACAGTATAATCTATTAGGTCGACTTCCACGCGATTCCCCCTAGGAAGCATTATGATTAATTCTTGTGGATTTCATCACGACGGGCTAACTTACTTGCTTTCATCCCCACCTATCACTGCTCACTGGTACCTTACTAGCGTATACCGATAACGCAGGTAGGGCTATTATTCCATTCTAAGCAATTAAAAATAATAATGTATATATTATGTAAATGAGTAATTTTATTTATAAACTTCACTAAGGAATATGAATAATAGAATTACAAGGAATTAACATAATAGGCAATAATAACAAATGCACACAACGTCATAACATTACCCACCTACCTATAATCATCTTACAACTTCACATGCGCTGGGTTTTTTGGTCCTCGCTACTTATCCGGTTAAACAACTTCACAAAGCTTGAGATCGATATTATACTTTTTTACCTTTCTTTCGTCATAAGACGTAGGTCTTAGATTATATAGATAGAGGCATCAAGCTTCAAAAACGGATCGACTTTTTGTCAGCTAATAGTCAAATTAGCTCATTTTTTTATCAGTGTTCTATATACTTACACATAAAATGTATCTTGACGTATTATTTAATAAATAAAATTAGTGTTTACGTATTAAAAAGATGCAGAAATTATAAGACAAAATAAATATAGAAGTTATAAGAAATCACTCATAACTATTTATCGCGCAAAATTGTATGAAAAAGTTGACCTGTTTTTCTCGAAGCATTTCTATGGAGACATTCTATCTATATAATCTAAGAGTATGTTTTTATAGTTATTGAATAAAAAAGAGGCCAATAGCTCCTCGGACACGCACAAAATAGTTCCGTAACCAGTGCTATAGTTTTTTTTTTTTGTAATAAATAAACATGGGATGGACCCCGCCTACGGTTTACGTTTACGGAGTACCAGTGGGAATAAGAATGAAGTTTTTTTTTAATAGATGGAAATGGAATGGTGCGCACGCCGATGTTTACGGGGGCGGGAGGGGGGAGGGAAGGAACGGCCTCCACCCGGTTGCTCTCCAACCATCGTGGTTAATTCTTGCCTAATTCTTCACGATGGACCAACTGAGCTGCCTTCATCCTCATCTATCAGCTATCACTATCCAGTCAGCGTATACCGATAGCGTAGGCGAAGTTACCATTCCATTTTCACACATTAATAGCCTATACTAACGGGATACCATGGCGGGGCACCAGTGGATAATAAATAATGAGGAGAAGTCAGATCAGTTGGCCCATCGTGGTGAGTTCAGTTATAATTAACCATGATGGTTTCCAGGGGGAACCGGCTGTAATCAAAGAGGCCAACTGATGAGCTATGTTGCTAGCGACAGGAACTGATGTTCCCATTACTAACAATCCCTCCTCTTCCCCTAAGTATGAAGTAAGATTGATTTCTAGTGAATTCGTCACGATAAGCCACGTGTGATAAATTCACATGGAATATCAATAATTCGACGTGGTTTTTAGGGGACTGCGAGGAAGTCGACCTTATATGTTAGTTTATTTTGCAATGGGACCTTTAGCCCCATTACTAAAATTTCTCTCCCTCTAGTTTACTTAATTTAAAAGGTGTAGTGTAAATTCCGACACAAAAATAAAACACTATAGTCTCCAGAGACGGTAAAGCACGATTGCTGTTATGTAGGTCACAAATTCTCTGTGGAACTCAATTTCAATACGCGACGTTTACCCGTCCAAGGCAATGCTATCCATGTATTGGAGCAGCTACCGGATTCCTCGTCATTTCTATTATATAATATATTATTATAAAACTATTTCACATATAAATAATTATTTACATCATAAATATTAATTAATATATTTAAGTTCACGTATAAATAAACTTATAAATTCTATTTCCTTTAACGTACATTGTACATATTTGCATTTTTATTTTGTTTTGTTATTCACGTCAAGTCGATATAGCCTTGAATCCACATCTCGGTCATTATCAGACTAAGCATATCTGTTTGACAGAACAACTGTAGAGAACAGACATACATAGCACTTCGCTGTCCAATCTTGTGAATATACTCGTCAAGTTGGTGATTAAAAGAAACAAGTCTTATAGAGGCTGTGTAGGTAGCTGAATAATATCGGAGCTGGGACATTTCAGTTGAAAATTTCACAAAAATGCTTATATGCAGATTTGTAGAACTTAAAATCAACTATCTGAGTTCTCATATTTGTTTAATGACGCGAAAATCGAATGGTGTGGGAGTGCTATCGGTATATGCTTGTGAGCAGGTCCATTGTGACGAATTCACAAGGCATTAACAACGATAATTTACAGAAGTATGTACACGTGGAGATTAACCTAATAGGATATATTGTAAAAAATCTTTATTACTATACTTTTATTTATTTATATATTGCTTGCAATGAGACTATTCCACCTCATTACTAACGATTCCTTCCCCTCAAAACAGTGTCACCACTACTATTTATCAGTAAGAAGTAACAGCTGCTTACAGAGCTTCTTGTCGAGGTTTTCCCAAGAGACTACAGTAGGGGGTTCTCCAAAAAGGATATATTAAGGTTTCTTCAGGGTCGGCAACGCGCACGTGACACCCATAGTGTTGCAGACGCCCATAGGCTACAGTGATCATTCACCATCAAACGGGTTGTATGATTGTTTGTCACCTTAGTAGTAAAAAAAAGTAGCATTGTGAACAATATACATCAATACAAGATAAAATACAAACGTCGTATGAACGGAGTTATCCAAACCTATTGCTGGTATATCTTACCCAGTGCAAAAACGGCAAATATAATTTAGTATAAGTAGTAGATATGAAGGAAGCTTTTGCTTTATCTATAGATACTCTGTGTGAAGTTGCGATGTGTATATGTGTATAGGGAAGTTCCTATGGACATACTTCGTCCTTGAATTTACTAAATGTGGGTAATTTTAAAATATGCGCGGTCGTAATTTCACCCGCATTTACGTCCGTAATGACGTCACAAGTCGCCTTCTTTTGGTGTAAATAACATTGAGTGCAACGTTGTACGCTGTATCGATTTGCTCTGAGACTCATTATCACGGCCGGCCAATGTGGGACCTACGCTGATAACCCGCAACCACAAACTATGACGTTATTGTGCCAGTAATTAAAATCACATTCCTTTAGCCTCTTATTTATGTTAATCGATGTTTAATTTACGAGCTAGATACCTAGGTATGACTTGCGACATCTGTAAACACGTAGATTATCTATTATTTTACTAACCGTTTCCCGTGGTTTTGTTAGGCGAAAATCTGTTTATGTGTGTAACGAATTTCATTCGAATGTTAACAACACATAATGTAGACTGAGATTTAAAAGAGTAACTGTTGAGTTTCTTGCTGGCTCTTTACATCAGATGACAACTCTCCGAACCCTGTATTCATAAAAAATGGCGATTTAAATGTGCTTGTTGTTGCTCAAATCTTGTTGACAACAAGACGATTTCAATTTGAATGCCTTCAGTGTTATTTTTTATTGTTTTTTTATGAAACTTAGAATAGCAAACAAGCTGATGGCCTACCTGATGGAAAGTAGTAACCGTCGCCTATAGACATGAGCAGTAACGTAACAGTGTTTGTCATTAAAAAATACAAAAATCGAAATATCCAAATATCTTTTCCAAGTTTCATGTTTATAATATCAGTGAGATTTAATTCATTTATGACCACTTTACTACTAATATAGATACCTACCTAATTGATTTTTATTGGGGGGAAATGGATTGTTAGTGATGTGGACTACCAGTCCCATTGCTAGCAATATACCATCAGGTCGACCTCCACGTGGTACCCCCTGGGTATAGTATTATATTATCTGTGCCTATGGAAACCATTGTGCTGGAATCCTAGGTGTATTCATCACGATAGGCTAATTGGTGCCCCGTTGGGGGAAAGGGATTGTTAGTGATGGAGACTAAGACTCCCATTGCTAGCAATATACCCAGCTAGGTCGACCTCCTCGCAGTTCTTTCTGGAAACTATCATGGTAAATTCCTTGTGAATTCGTCATGATGGGCTAACTGGCCTGTTTTCATTGTCATCGATCACCCTTCACTGGTGCTCCGCCAGCGTATCCCGTTAACGCAGTCGGGGTTACCATTCCATTTTCACCCATCAAAAAAAAATTGGTGCCCCGTCAATGTATACCGTTAGCGCCGGCGATGTTTTCATTTCGTTATCATCCATTAAAGATTTTTTTTTTATTAATTTTTGTGTTTTGTTTTGATACCTAGATTTTATAAATTAACATGCGCACCTACATACCTACTTATTACCTTATAGAGTAAACATAAATAAAATTGTACTCTGTAGATATGTTTTTAGTTTAGACAATATGTTTTTATTATTTTAGGTATACACCTATTAGTTAAAATTTGTAATGCTCTAAATAATTATATTGTTTACAAATAAACATGCTATGATAAATACCCACTAGGTGCCTACTTATTCATTTTTAGTCGCGAATTACAATGTGATTTCAACCGTGTAGCTGAAATGCAACGAAGCGAGTCATTTTGGCATGGTCCAATAGATATTGTCTGCCTAACTAGTTGATACTAAATATGTATATTTTGTTATACCTAAGTAATTCTATAACAGTTTTTTCAACACAAAAAAATATATTGTCGTAGATATTATTTTACAACTACTTATAAAACAAATTTAAAATATTATTTGCATTGCTAGCAAAATACCACGTGGAAATCAGCTTGACCTACGTGGTCCCCCCTGGAAACCATCGCGCTGAATTTCCAGTGTATTCATCACAATAAGCTAACTGACCTGCATTTTCATTCTCAGCTATCATCCCTCACTGGTGCCCCGGTATACGATTGACGCAGGCGGTGTTACCATTACATTATCGTCCATTAAAAAAATTCGCTAACAAGGGGAAAGGAATTGTTAATGTGTTCTAACTGCCTCCTTGTGACTGAGAATCCCATTGCTAGCAATATACCCAACCAGGTCGACCTCCTCGCGGTTCCCCCTGGAAACTATCATGGTTAATTCATGATGAATTCATCATGATGGGCTAACTGGCCTGTTTTTATTCTCATCTATCACCCTTCACTGGTGCTCCGCCAGCGTGTTCCGTTAGCGCAGGTGGGGTTACTATACCATTTTCACCCATCAAAAAAAAAACTGCCTCCTTTGGTAGCAATATCAAGTCGACTTCCATGCGGTCCCCCCTGGAATCTATCGTGGTTAATAGCTGTTGAATTCATCACGAGAAGTCAACTGGCCTGCCTTCATTATCACTGTCATCATTCACTGGTGCGCCGCCAATGCATACCGATAGCGCAAGCGGGATCCCTATTTTATTTGCACCTATTAAAAAAGAATATGCTGTCATTTCTGGACTATGGTATTATACTACTATACATTGTAATTTCATTGCTATATCTCACTCTTCAAACCGAAACACAGCTATTAAAGCACGTTTAGTTTACAACTGAGTGAGAGAGAGATAGGTAATTACACATGCAAACGACTTTGGTATTTACTTATTTATATATGATTTATTTAATAATAAATATGTTCATTTCTTGTACCTGTCTCCAGCACCCTGTTCACAAGCGGTGGATTCATATTGGCGGGAACCAATAACTCGGAAAATGACAGCGGATTGCTTCACCGAGTAAAGAGGCTTGTAATACACCCCTTATTCACTGTTGGACCCTACTGGCTCGATACCAAACAATTCAACCTAAATCAGGTAACTGGCATGTTTGTTTTGTAACACTTTATTGTATAGTGAAGTTTTATAGGGTACAGAATTCTTAAGAAAAGACTTATCCCATAAAAGGGATGTCTTCTAGTCAACCTTTAAACGTCTGATAAAAATTGTGAATTGGTGGAGACAAAAAAAATAATAGGTAATAAAAAATAATAGGTGTTACAGTTACGAGTACATCGACACTGGCACAAAATAATTTTTGCATGTCTTTTTTCGAGATTGGCGATTTAATAATACGACAAAATATATATATATATATATATATATATATATATATATATATATATATATATATATATATATATATATATATAAAATTAGGTAACTAAAAAAATATATTTTTTGTTTATGCGATATTCTCGCTACTATTAAACCGAGTTTGATAAATTATTTTTGTAATAGATCAAATATTACTCGTACGTATTCCTCGTATCTCTATTAATTTTACGAAGATTACTTTTTACAGAACATAATCTTAAGGTATTACGGCTATAAAAAATTAATTATTTGTACCTATTTTATTAGTGCATAATTTTATTTACTAGTCACATGATGACATTTATTTGTAATTTGATACCATTCTACTTTTGTTTATATTCATACAAAATATATTTAATACTTAATAATATTACAGATAGCAGCCAGATGGGACTTCCTATTAGCAGAATTAGAAACGCCCTTACCTCTGAACAATAAGACCATAGCCGTCATACCGCTTGATGACCAGATAAGGACTCCCGTAGGGCTCGATGCCGGTTTCGCGGGTTACGGAACTGACCGCCATGGGGTTAGTATATTTTATAACCGTTCAATCGTATTTTATTATTGTAAGATAAGCATTAAAGTTGAACGTTTGTAATTATTAACGCTTTCAATTATATTACAGGGTATAATGAGTCAGATCATGCACGGGAGGGAGCTATCCGTCCAGGCAGACGACGTATGCCTCAAACTGGAGCAATACAGATCAAAAGATATGATTTGCACGAAAGGACGTCCGCCAAGATACGATTTCGCGTGTAATGTAAGTCACAGAATATTATATTATGCCATTCATGTTTTTACCATGAAGTAGTTGTTTACATGGCCGTGATTTGGTTTCAAGGGTGGAATATGGCAGTGAATTTACAAGGTACAAAGACATAACACCTTAGTCCTCAGGAATGATGATGCATGGGAGTATCATAGATGAAACAGAAGACTGTTATGTTCACAGTACTGTTCATGTCTATAGGCGATGGTTACCATTTTCCATCAGGTGGACCGTTAGCTTGTTTGCCATTCTAACGTTTCCATCAAGTCAATTACTAACTCCATACTCCAGATTGCAAGACTCTTCACGGAATCGAATAAATCAAAAACATACATAAATATCTGTCACACCTGTCTGCCATTAAGTCAAATACAAGTTACCTTATAATTGACATCTATTCGAAACAGAAGCATTTATAACTAATGCTTACAGCAGGCCTAACGCGTTACAATTACTGTGAACTAGATACGTACGCTTCCATATCCAGTAACATTACTGCCAAACCGTTTTCCAGGATAGTCAGGGGATTAGACAAAGGGTTTAGTTTCCCTTGCACGTAATATTGCAGACGTTTGATCCATTTAATCGCCTCTTAAAACTTATTGAGGATGAATACATGTGATGCAATTGAATACTTAATCCCGTTGCCACACGGAGACATCTAATTTCAAATACAAAAAGACAGTGTTCACAGCGAAAAAATCAAATAATTGCCAGCAAGTCTTCGCATTCATTAAATATGAAAACCGATAACCGAATTATTGACTTTGTTAGATTTGCTTCTATGGGCAAAATAAAAGACATTTTATATTATTGGTTATGGAATGAGCTCCCTATCGCAGTTTTTCCAAGACTACAGCGTGGGGTTCTTCAAAAGGGGGGTACAGAGGTTTCCTCAGGGTCAGCGACACACGCGTAATACCCCTGGTATTGTAGGCGTTCATAGACTACGGTAACCGCTTACCCATCAGGTGAGCTGTATGCTTGTTTGCCACCTCAGTGGTATAAAAAAATATTTTATATTAAAATTGTATGTCGTTTCAGGGCGACAGCGGGAGCGGTCTCGTCGGTGGCGGCAAACTACTTGGTGTCGCGTCCTGGGTTGAAAACGATTCCATCGAGTGCCGCAACGGGAACTTAGTTGTGTTCTCCAGAATAGCAAGCGTTAGGGACTGGATTAGGAAAGTCACCAACATCTAATGTGTTTATGATCACTAATGTAGAAACCAAGTAATTGTATACCAACACCCGTTTATTTGGTAATATACATAGACGCAGCATAACGTACTAATCTAAAGTAACTAAGGTTATGCAGTTAACAACAATAACTTGGTATTCTGCACATCGTGGTTTGTAATAAATAATAAAAAAAAAAAAAAAAAAACTGAAGTACAGTTAATGAAGTAAGTCTGATGTATAACGGGGTTTTTTTTTTAAAAAATCAAAAATTATTATGGTAAATTTATTATGTTATATGTATATTAAGTTTAACAAAATCAGGGTCTTATTTGTACATTCTATTATCTTTTATGGTATACTAGATGTGTGCCAAAGATCGTACATATTAATTTTATATATATTTTAGCCCATATAGTTAGAAATGTACTAAATACATTTTCCAACGACTCCTCGAAATATTTATTGGTTATTTTGTAAAAGTTATGTACGGGACAGTAATAAATATCAAAGTGTGCCATATGCAACATAAGCTCTCAATGTGACTACACTACACTAATGATATCGTGAGCGATTTGACGATATTCAATTTGTGATAAACAATAATCTTAAGAACTTTCTCAAATTATAATTAGATTTAATTTTATAATTCTATTACTGTTGGGAAATAAATAATATTTTTAAATATCTCCTTTTGCTTACTCAATTTCCTTTAAACGTAACCGTGGGTAAAAAATAACAATAACAATACATATGTTCCTGAAAATTTAATGACTTTAATAGAAGAATAACTAAATTAAAACAGTAAGATAGAAGAAAAATCAATCATTATTAACATTATCATTTTTTTCGATTATGTTCAAGCAAAAAGACCAAAATTAATCAATGACCTAACAAAATATACAACAAAAGTCATTAAATAATTAAGTCCAATCAATCAGTTAGTCTATCGTGGACGTCGAACGAAGCAATACATAGGTATCAATGTCTCAACTTCAACCACTAAAATGAACAAGTTACATAATACAACTTACAATTTTGAATAATATTGTGATTAAAAGAAAAAAGCTAAATAATTCTTTTCTACTTATATAATGTGTAATAATATAAAGTGTCGACTACTTATAATATTTATAACTATTCATATGCTTACTTTAAATTTTCACACAAAGAGCGGAGAGGGGGGGAGCGGGCTAGGCGTGCCTGCGATCGCGCGATCACCGACGATCTACGCATACGGTGCAAGCTTTAGCCAGTACAGCCAGTGAGGGCGTTAGTGATCATCATATAAAAACAAAATGCTTCTTTGACGATGTCCAGTTCATAGTTTCTATATGACGGCTAACCACATTCTCATCACTGGCTGCAATGATTACAGTCTGCACGTAAGGTCTTCTCTGACGTGACCTTAAGACCACGCGACCGCAAACACGCCCCACCCGTTCGGGCCGCACGCTCACCTTAATGCCGATACACACCACAATCTCTCTAAACACTAGGGTCACTTATGCCGAATGTTAGACAAATAAGAAAGCGACGACTTCCCAAACCAAAATTACAGTACTAACGATTTCAAGGTGATGTTAATCATAGTCCAGCGGCGTGTGCGCGGGCGCGGCGCCAGCGACGCCCGGCCGCCGGGCTCCTCGCAGCTCGCTGCTCGCTGCTCAAGCCACACTCGCGAACAAATCGTTCTCTAGCACAGTAACGCCACGTTCACAGTCCCACCAAGCATCATTGTCACCAATTCAATGTCCCTCGATACACGCGTCAGTGGGCAGCGCAACTTGTGTACAGTTTCCATGTAGGCAAACAACACGGAGGTGCGGAGGGCGGCCGCCCGGACGCGCCCCACTCGTTGAGCTTCAGCTTACAATTGTTACCTCGATGAGTTAAGCACGCTATACTCCCCGTTAGAGTCATAACAATGTAGCTTTTTTTGGAGTTTTATTTTTTTACAATATATAGGATTTCTTTCTATAATTAATTATATCTAATATTTACAATGGAGGTGAATGGACAATATTCAAAACTCTACATACTTATTATTTCAAAAATCAATCCTGAAATGCCTACCCAAAACGAACATATCTACAATTTTTAATAAAAATTTAAAAGGAAAACTTGCCACAAATAAAAATCTATATACACGTTAGATCGAGTCTGCGATTCCGATTTATAACATTAGCACAACGATACGCAAAAATATATCTCTGTCCAAAAGAAGACTCGGTTGTAATTATCGTAAATTGTCAGTGAACTGAATTAGTTCGATGTAGCTTGTCAAAGTTTACAACAACAAAAGCAAATAAGAAACACAAACTCGATCCAATGTTTATTTAGAGAAAATCATAAAAGGTATGTATGCGGTGCGGTGATGATGTATCGAGTGGGCGGGAGAGCTCATATCTTGTGTATCTTCTGGGAGACGACGACGGGGTTGTTGCGGCGAATCTCCTGCGCGCCGAGCTCCCGGTAGTCGAACGAGCACTCGTGCTTGTCGCTGTACCGGTGCACCGCGCAGAACAGCCCCCCGCAGCGGCACTCGAACCCTGGACAACCAACGACAAGCGTCACACGCGACTCGACAACACAACACACCATACTTACAATGGTCACTGTATGCGCACTATGCTCTCTCACGCTTCGTTCAAAAAGATTAAATTCATTTGTATTTAAGAGAAATCTACACGAACTGTGCCATAAGTTTAACAAGTAATATAGTACAATTATTTGTTAAGGTACAATCAAACTGTATGATCATATATCATAACAATAATTATATCAATAATTGTAAACATGATCGTTACTGAAATACGGATTTGAACGAAAGTTAGTACACAAACAAATGAAATAAACCATATTAAAGATCAACATGCCCAAAAATTATATATAAGTTCACTTTAATTTTCTGGAACCTTTTTGATGTCCATAGCAGAAAAGAAAACATAGCTATAAATTTATTTTTTTAACCATTTTTCCTTTAATTTATCACCTTGATTTATTTCACAAACAAAAAAAATCATGCAAAAAGGTTAAAGATCATATATCAATTCAATTGATTTGTATTCTTTTTTTTTTTGTTTGTTACTTCATAACTCCGTCAATTTTAAATGGATGTGAAAAATTATTACAGAATGATCTCACAGATATTCTATCAAAATCATTAAAAAATTTAAAAATTATTTAAAAAAAAAGTAATTTAGTTTTTAGGTCAAAATAACTAGTCGTTCGTCACAATTGAAATAAGTTTTTTTTTTTTGTAAGACAATTTTTATTATTATCATAATTAACATAAGAAAAACAAGGGGATTAGTTTAATATAGATTATTATAATTATTTTACTCTGTCGTGATTACTTAATTACCTTATAAAACAGTAGGCACGTTATAGATACCGTATTATGACGTGCAATAATTGTTTATTCAATTGGCAAACAGATAAATAGTTCATGCAAACGTGTGTCAATGATTCAAAATGACATATATTCATTTACATAAGCACATAATTCATTTACTGTCTATGATTACTCCTCTCGATGCAAAGAGTGAAAAAAAAAGTTCACCCATTTATTTTCCTGTACAATCTTTGTTGGCTTTTTTTTGTTTCTACTGAATATTCAACTACCTATCCTCTCATTTCTGTTAGCGATATTATAAGAAAACCAAATGTACTTTATCTATAGCGACTTATTCATCTATAAACTTGAAATTCTGTTTATTTATCTGATATTTTTAACCCGTACTTGATGTATTTTCTGTTACAGAGTATTTGTGTTCACTTTTTTTGTTTCAGTTAAATCTTTTTATATTATTTTTTGTTAAATATTTTTGTGATTCATCAATTTCTTTCAGTGGATGTAATAAATAAATAAATAACGATTCGTCAATTTGTTTCAATTACAATTCTGTATAATCAACTAATTATGTTATTTGTTTCTGACATGATTAATCAAATTTAAATACAAATAATCACGCATTACAATATTAAACTGATATGACAGCCGGACTATTGGACCTTATTGGAAAATATAAAAAAGAGCCCCGAAATTAATAAAAATCAGAGTACAAAACTTTTTATAAATATATTTTATTAGATAGATAACACTGTCAATACTGGATTGATGTTATTCAATATGTTTACGTTGTATTTTTTATTAAATCACTGTTAAGTATAGAGGTAATATAATTATCTTATTCATAACTAGCTATTTCCCCCGAGTTGGCCCGTATGAGTCCTATAAATAAATGCGAATGTTTGTAACGATAGATGGATGAATGTTTGTTACTCTTTTGCACAGAAACTACTGAACGGTCTTGTATGAAAATATAAAAACAGGCAGTTTATATCCTAATTTAGTACAAAAGATACTTTGTGTGCTCATTAACGAGGACAAAACCGCGGAATATAGCTAGTCAGTATATTAATTATACTATGTATTTCGCATTTATAATAGTAATAGGATTAGTAAAATAGAATATATCCCTGTTCTTTATGCGCTTTTTTTATACACGCCTATATAAAGAAGGATCTCCATTCTATTGTACTACTACTATGTACTACTAGATATGACAAAGAAACTGACGATCTACTATAGCGACGACAGCAAGCGGTAAGCGTCGCAAATCATGACATAATTCTTAGTCTACTTAATATTATATGCGTGTATTATTTTTATTTATTCGTTTTTTTTATACAACTTAGAATGGCAAACAAGCTGACGGCTCGCCTGTTGGAAAATGGTAACCGTCGCCTATAAACATGAGCAGTAGTATAGGCATAACAGAGTATACTGTTTCGCTCATAATACCCCCCATTGCCATTCTTGAGGACTCAGGTGTTATTCCTCTGTACCCTGTAAATTCACGCCATATCCCACCCTTCAAACCGAAACACAGCCATGCAAACACAACTGCTTTACGGTTGAAACACGAATGGGACAGAGGTACCCAAGCAAACGACTTTTGTACAAAATCTCACTATGGTAAATTTTATGTGATAGATTCACGTTGAAATCATAATTTGCTTATTTCTCAATCTCTCACATCACACACACAAACATTCAGCGGCTTCTCTACTTCACGGATTATACGCAAGCGTATGCCTCACCTGTGAGTCCAACCTTCTTGCGGCATACTGCGCACCGGTTCTTTTTCTTCTTGTCCTTGCCAGGGTCCTTGTCGTCAGCGTCGGTGTCTGAGGTGCCGGTGCTCGCGCCACTGGTGCCCGCTCCGCTCTCCTCCTCCAATTTCTGCAATAACCAACGACAGCATCGTAAGTACAAGAGTTAATTCGCACATCAATGAATTATATCTATTTTTGCAATGGCCCATAAAGTTTTATAAGCATATTCAGTTTCAAAATCGTAAAATAACACAAAAACATCCAAATATAATTTAATCCAAATTAATCACGTTTCTTAATTGAGTAAAAATATGAACCTCCATTCGAATTCCTTTACAAAACACTTTAAAAAACATTAAAAACGTATGACAGAAATCATACCTTCCAAAGGGAATTATAATGCTTGCATTGCTCTAACTTCACAGTAGGATCAGGTAAGGCGAAAATACCCAGCCAATATTCAAACAAAATACGTTATGGCCTCTCTTAAAAGATAATTTAGTCAAGACAAAAAATACAATCTCTGTCAGCAGAATATTCTCATAACAAATACATTTACATTGTCACATTTATAACTAACATTTAGTATCCATATTAGAAATAAAAAAAAACTTTCTTTACAACGTTTTTAAGAACATATTTATTTCGAAAGACTTAATAGATACTCTTGTAGAGTCAAGGTTAATGAACGCCATGGTAGCGTTAATAAAACCTAATTTTATTACGAAACTAGTTCCTACATCATGAAACTAATTTCCTGAATTTAATTAAATTAAATCAATTAGATGAAACTAATTTTATTAGTCTGCAACGCGTAAAACTGGCATGGTGTTAGTTTCTTATTAGCTATATAATTATAATACACCTACCCAACACGCAGGCATTCGGTAGCAATAATTTTAAACCACGTTTATATGATGAGTTAAAGAAACAAAATATCATAGTTATTATTCAAATTTTGTATTACCGATCTTTGAAATGATAGTTTATTCTAATTCCGGATAATATTTGAATTATTAATCTATAAGATATAACGATAAATAAGCAAGATATTCAAACAAACAATTGTTCATGTGAATATCAAGATACGAAACATGTTATTCCAAACAAACTTCAGAAACAAGTCAAATTATTGATAGTGACGCGATAATAAATATGGAGAAAAACACTTATTCGCCAGGTAATCGATAAAAAACGAAAGTTATTTTCCATACCTACCTGCCTACCTGAACATAAGAATAACATCAGAGAACACTGTGTCATTCATAGCACCTTATGCATTGCTATCATTTAGAACTAAATATTACGTCCCTTAGGATTACTCCTCATACCAAAGTATATATTTATTCTATTAATTTCTATACACAATGACACATAGTACACACATTACATTACATTATCAATATTGCCGCCCAGTGAAGCTATCTATATCTAGGATTATGTAAACCTAGATACCGTTCCGATCAGTTGAATACGCTCAATGCGGTCGTCATCTAATTTAACACAAAAATATATTACAATGCTTATTATATTGCTACCTACCTGCCTATTAGACTGCAGTTATCAATGACTACTTTTTCTAATATTTGAGACAAATTAAAAAATATTTAAGAACAGTTAATGACGACATCAGCCGTTATTGTCCAAGGCTGAACATAGGACTCTCCCTATTAGGGGGTTTTGCCAACAGTAGTAATAACAGACGAGTTGACAACCGCAGTTAGGCTTTATTGATGTTTTAAGAGAGACGCTGTCCAACGCTCTACCAATTAATCCCCTCAATCGCCCCTTACGAAAACCAAGAGAAAGGAAGGAGTGGCCCATTCTATGCCATAACCACACGGCAAAGCAATTTCTTATAGTTCATATGAAAAAATAAATAAATAAACACGATAAGACACAAGAAAGAAAGAAATAAACACATTTCTCACGTTACGCAGATCAATATCGATTACTAATAACGGTAGTGAGAAAACCGGTTTCCAAAGGACGTGCATATAAAATCAATGTAGACAATGAAAGCGAATCCGCATCAAGTCAAGCCTGATTCACTCCTTAGTTTAGGAAGCCAATAGATTTATCAACATTACTGTTGACATAAACGTTGATAAATACATAGACTTTGTTCTTAATAGTTTGTAGGATACTAGAGTTTGCTAAGAATACAAGTGCCTTCTCCAAAAGCAACAAGTCTTATGTCTAGTTAGTATCATTATCTAATCCGTGAAAAAATTAATTAAGCCAGAAACAACGTACAAATTATAATACCTAATCGTTCCCCGAAACGATTATCAAATGTAGACAAAACAACAATAATAAATGAGTCGCACTCATAACATAAAACAAACCCGCTTAAGAGATCTTTTGCCGTCGTCTGTTTCAATAAGACGCTCATTCTTTTCAAGCCTCGGCGAAGTTTTCGACTTGGCATCCTTATTAGACGCAGTAGCAGGCTCGTCGTAAATCTCGTTGCGGTTTTCACGTATCTCGACTTTTTTCACTTTTACCTCCTCAGAAGGACGAGTGAAATTGAAATCTTTTGGTATTTCCTTCTCTTCTATATTCTTCTGTCCTAAATGACTATATTCAACTTTCTCGTTCGTACCATCTGGCGTGGGTAATGGCGTACTATCATTTATTTCAATGGATAAATGCTTATTTTCAAAACTCTTGGATCGTGATATATTAATACCCGATTCTAAAGGAGAATTTTGACTATTGTTGCTAGACTTGCTATTGCGCCGTATTGCTTTCTTGAATATCCTCTTTCCTTTCGATTCTTTTTTACTAGGGTCATTTTCCATCATTAGAAGTTTATTTTAGATTGGACATTTTGACTGGAATCAAAGCAATAGTGCTAAACGTTGCGTCCCAAGGAACACATAACTGGATACATTCATAGCATCTTTTTACTTTGTAGCTATATAATTTTGGTGAGTCTATTAAGCTAAAATGTCTAAAAGAAATGTGACTAAAGTTTTTTAAGCAAATTTTTGTCATTTTATAAGAATAAAATAATACTTAGAAACAACTAGAGTAACAGTTCCATTTTTAACAGAATTGGAGCAGATGCTATCAATATATCGTCCATTAAGTTTCGCACTACATAAAGATCCTACAGAAAGCATTTTCTAATTGATGACAGATGCAAATTATAAAACTGTTCTTTATTTACCACACTTCAAGATATAAAAGAGCCCCCATTTCAAGTTTGTAGATTTGGGGGAAAAAGTATCAAAAAGGTAATGTAATAAACATAATGGAACCACAAATATTGTTGCAGAGCTGAACTATGATTTTAATATTGAAAATATAACTATAAAAGTCAAATTCGTTTTCCTGTTGTGTATAAAATGTCTATTTGACAACAAATTCTTATTTTAAAAAGTCATTACTTGTTGCTACTAGTAGGAATCAGAAAAAGTTCGTATTTATGATACACCATTATGGCAAGAAATAAGAAATTAAAATTGAGCATTAAATGCGTAATTAATATGCGTGTATTAAGTATCTATTATATAAGAAATCACAATATTGTTAATACTTTTCTTGGACAGTACGCTTGAAGCATTAACTGGATCTATTTATCCACATATACTTCACTAAACGTTTCTATCTAAAGACATACACTGGATTAATTCAACCGCTTATCTGTTCTAGTTTTAGTTAGCGTACATTCATTGTGAACTTTGTCACTTGATAATTTATATACTATTGCGAAGTACGAGATATTATAAGCTAGCTATAAATTAGATTAAGGAATTTTTGAATATTTTATAGATTTAAAACTAGCGATCAGGTAGATAAATAGACTATATTGTTTTCTCCAAAAGGCGATTTTAAAATGCCAGAAATAAAAATTACAAGACATACTCGTATGAAATCTTTGGATACAGAAGAGTAACGTGATGTGAAGCACGATATCTGCGTATGAATATACATTCATACGTACCTACTTATAAGAGTAATAATAAAATCCAAATACTACGAAATCTTCCATAATATTTACGATGTTATAAACTTATTCATTAATGAAGCCAAAGGTTATCCGGTATAGCTAGACGATACCGCCAAAAGGTTAGGCGAATCGCTGCGATCTATTCCTCTATAACAATTATCAAGTAACCAACGACTCTGAAAATGAGAATCTAATATAAATAATTACAAAATAATTAAAATTCCTTATTTGGCAATACTTGTCTACGTTAAAATTGAGCGCATTATAGACAATCCCAATAAATCAATATTTATATGCAATTATTTAGATTTTTAAGACGTGAAGTTACGGACTAGCTTAAGATTGACCAGAGGGAGACTTTGTACAAAAGTCGATTGCTTGGGTACCTCTGTCCCATTCGTGTTTCAACCGTGAAGCAGTTGTGTTGGCATGACTGTGTTTCGGTTTGAAGGGTGGGATATGGCGTGAATTTACTGGGTACAGAGGAATAACACCTGAGTCCTCAGGAAACGCATGGGAAGTATCATGGGCGAAACAATATACTCTGTTATGTCCATGGTACTGCTCATGTCTATAGGCAACGGTTACCACTTTCCATCAGGTGGGCCGTCAGCTTGTTTGCCATTCTAAGTTGCATAAAAAAAAAAAAAAAAAAAAAAAAAAAAAAAAAAAAAAAAAACCTTTTACGACTCTATCATGACTTGACTTCTGTATATTTATAAAACAACAAACTAGTGTAAACATGTCTATAAATAATTTAATATATATGAGTATTAATTTCTTGTGAATACGCGGAATTTGGATATAATGAATCACCTATTCAATCTTTCTATCGTTCAATACAGATTACATACATCTTTTCCGTTATAAAAAGAAATCCACAATTTCGTTTCCACTTTCAGTTTCGATTTCATTAAATTTAATGTAATAATACTACAGCATACATTTCGCTTTATCTACTTCTTACCTGCGACGCCTGTAATCATTTCACTGATTTACTTTTCCCCGTGACTATAAAACCTGATAAGATGCAACTAAGACTATTAACGTCTGCAAATAAGAACTAAATTACGTATAATCGCAAACCATAACTCAATATTAAAATATTAAAGAAAAATACTTTGCTATGCCAACTTTTGTTCTGCGAGATAACTTTACCAAAACGTAGAAGAAACCAATGTTGTGGCAAGTTATTTTTGCTCTTAATCCATACAGATACGCTTGTGCTAGTACTGTACGATAAAATACGAGTAATATCTGTTGAGTTAATAGTTCCAGTGGAAACAACACTTGAAGTCTGTTAGCTATTAACCGTGTACAGCATGTACGTCATCTGAACCGCCTACAATGGTTACCGTATAGAAACGTAAGGCGTATTTGTGAACAAATAATGAACTTAATTTCAAGCATTACTTACCTGTATACATAGAATTATCGTACGCCTACATACAAGTAATGAGGCCAATAGACAGAATGTGAGATCATTGTGATCATAAATTATATTCCAAATTCGAATTGGGCCAATAGAGCTATATGGACCAAGCCACATAAAATATTCAGCGATAGGAAATTCAGAATACAATAAACAATTCCATTCGCGGTGAACACTATGTAAGACTAGTAAAAACCGGTAATAAAGTAGAACAATAATGTGTTCTCTATTTAATACTCACGACTACAATAAAACCAAGTGTATTTCATAGTCAAATATGTAAATGTACATAATTTATAGGTAAACATAATGTGTGCACAGTTTAGCGGAATTCTCAATGTCGTCGACAGCGAGGTTACGTACGTATCGAGACTTTTCCGAGTGTATAAAACATCTAATGAACATAAGCATCTATAATAAATACATTAAAATATCTCTTTATAAAAGCATGGAGAAGGAAAAATACTTCATGTAAATTACATACATGAATTAATTACTTAATTCCGCTTCTACTTTTAGAAAAATAATGTTATTTGGATATTACGTTAGAAAACAGTCGAAGATATAATACTGACGCCATTGATAATTTCCCAATCGACTAAAATTACTCAACCGAGTCAGTGCGAGCGGTTACATGGACTAAAACATTAAAACCAGTTCGCTAGCATGGAACTGTGATGACACTACTTTCATCACCTCCGTTTTTAATAGAGGTGATAAAGGTAGTGAAATAATAATTAGAACAGTGACGAATTAAAATGGTTAGTATAAAACCAAATTGTCTAGACTATTAGTGACATCATTGTTCATGTCAATCTATTAATATTATATTTAGTTAATTTGATTTATGATACCCAAATTACATTTAAATGTACTACAAAACCAAATAGACATGACACATTTAGTTAATGATAAAGTTAAATGTATAAAGCCGATTTGGAATATTACAGAGAATCACCAGTAACGACATACCATATAAAGAATTTAGTTGGGATCCATCAGAATTGCGATCAATCCAGTAAACACCACAGACATAGATCAAGACAGATGGCGCTTCTACTTACTGTACAAAAGTTATTGATAACAAACTCACTAATTCACTTTGTGAAAATGTAATGCTGTTTTTGTCAATCCCTTCACGCAACATCACCTTTATCGTGATCAAGGAGTTAGAACTTTAAAGTGTGTAACATCTATTTAAATCCATGTCTGTGGTATAATCCCTGATTAAGTGACTCGTGATATATTAACAGTAAGACAAGAGAAATACGGCCTCACGTCTGTATGTGTTTGCTGTGCGGGCAGCGTCGGCACGGTGGGCGCGGCGGCCGCCAGCGGCGTCGGCGCGGCCGGCACGAACGGCGCTGACACCGGCGACGGCGTCGTCGCTGGTGGCTGCTGTTTCTTCTTCAGCGCCTCCTGAAAAATATACATTTTATATTATAGTAAAAACCAAAAATATATCAGTCATTTGCGGGATTTTTTTTATTTTTTTTTTTTATTATCTTAGTAGTTTGTATTCAGACAAATTCAAACTTTTTAAAAAAAGCAACATCTGAATTTCTTGCCCCTTTTTCTTGGCTAAAATTGCATTCCGAATGGGCGGTAATAAAAAAAATTACTATTCAAAAATGTAAATTTACTTGAATAAAAACATTTCTTTCTTTTATCGATTTCAAAGGAGATCAAATTGACTGTATTTTTTAAACTGCGTCGTTTTTATAATTTCCTTTGTTTGAAACATCTGAACCGAATTATAAAAATTAACATCTGATTAATAAGAAACTTCAAACAGAAGGAGATTCACATTCTCGGGTATTTTCATTTGTCTTCACCAATTCTGATAATATTTTGCAATCTATAAGTCGCATCGATCTCATATTTATCAAATTAAGTAGCAATTTATACAGAGCAAAATCCATTATTGAACAAATAAGCATACATATTTATTTATTTGTGTCTTCTTAGAACTACACGCACTTAGTCGGAACTTCTGTTATCGGTGAATGACAGTCATTAAAAGAAACATGTCTCGTAAAAGTATGGTATAGGCTACAAACCGTAAAGGTCACGACGGCTATTTTACGTTATACATTTAAAATATAAACCTCTATGTACCACTCAACTAAGATAGTGGACCAGAGTATTACGCTTAACAGACAAAAATTCTTTATACAAGATAAATAAAATACATTCTAACAATCGTCATTAATGAATATAAAAAAAATGAGCAGTTAGATTAAAACCTTGGAAAATTGTATGTAACATGTAGGTACACCTTTTTATCCATGTAGAGATTGTTAATATCCAATATCTATATATTGAGTTTTTCTGGTCTTTGATGACCACCCATTACGATATCGCCCATACCAGTCGGATATCTATATTCATTACGAGCGGGTTCTTCTTATCTATTATATCTTAGGTAACCAAGATGTAATATATGTTATTGGACCAATATATATATATATATATATATATATATATATATATATATATATATATATATATATATATATATATATATATATATATATATATATATATATATATATATATATATTTTTTTATATCCTAGTCTAAATATATATATATCAGCCTTAAAAAAATAGTCATAGACGTAATTATATAATGAGAACCTGACCTTCAATTTTAATCAATTACCAAAGATAACAAATATGAGTTTCTAAACGAAAGCAACAAAATCAGGAAGTGTGACTTTGAGTTATTAAACGATCCTAATTAACGTCATTACCCCAAATAACGTTTATGTACCACCACGTTTAAATTTGTGTCGAAATTATTTTGATTTTTATCACAGAACAAAGCAAAATTTCAAGAAAAATATTGTCAAATTCAAATATATTTTGAATTGCCTTTTTTTATACGCAGTGTACATTGACTCCATACAATCTTGAAACATCTCTTTTCCTTGAATATAAATAAAGTCCTTATAATAGTTATTATTAATTATTGTCTACATTAACTTATCAAAGAGGAAGAATTTATCATTTTTATAGCCATTTAAAGTAATCATTTTCATTAAACAAGTAGACCGCGACTTCTTTCAAGAACTTTAAATGACGAAACTCGTTCATTTCTCAAGATAGAAAACATCCATTTTGTTGACCCGCAATATAAATTATACGCAATCAAAAACGCTACTCGTGGCGTCGTAGTCCTGCGTTGAATAAAATTACCGAATAATAAATTCTAGTAGGACAGCAACTGTTTAAAAGTTCCATGAAAAAAAAATGAACTACCGCTACGGCACCTGCAGGTACTCGTATATCTACTTACATTTGATACCGTTATCCATATCATATAATATATGATACGGATATCTCTTACCATCATCATCTTTATATTTTTGTCATGGAATATAATTTTAGAGTTTATTCCTCAGAAAAAAAAAAATACTTATAAAAATACAGCCACAATACGAACCCAGCTGTTTTTTTTAATCAATTGAATAAAATGTATTTTATACATATTTTATGAGTAAACAAAATTAATCGATTCACACATATAATAGACACCAGCTCCTCAGAGCAGAGTTCCATATTATTTTAATTTTATTTTATTCTAAATACCTATGTGTAAATTTAAGTTGTTTGCGAGGAAACATAAATAAATATATTATTATTATTATATACCTAATACTACTCAACAATTTCATGTGACGCAATTACACGTGTCGTTACTACAAAACGACATTTATTTTTGTTATTTACGTATAACATTTTACAAATAAATAGAGAAATCCGAATTACGCAGCACGTGTTTTAAATAAAAACGCGAAATATTTCTCACTACAACATAAAAATTATTTACGATTCACCCCAATACAACAATGTCGAATAAACCCACTAGACGAGTGGCAAACGATTCTATCTATCGATAGAATCGTTACCACTAACGTAATCGCAGTCGAGTCTATAAAATAGAACGAGACAGCGATGTCCCGTATGTTTTTTCTCGTGTAAGCGCTAACCGAAATATATCTAGCAATAGATTCGTTTGGCACTTGTTTAGGGAGCAGGTCTTTTATTGCGACGCGACATGTAACTAGTAGTAAAAATATTGAAAGCCTGGTTTTTAACTCGTTATTCTTTTTTAATATAATAACTAAGTTCATTAACTGTCCCCCCCCCCCCCCCCCCATTGGGGGAAAGGGATTGTTAGTAAGGGGGTCTAACAACGTCATTACTGGCAATATACCCTATCAGGTCGATCTCCACGAGGTTACCTCTGGAAACCATCGTGGTGAATTATTGTTAAATTCATCACAAGGAGCTAACTGTTCTACTTTTATCTTCACCTTCATTTATCATCTTTCACTGGGGCTCCGCCAACGTATACCGATAGCGCAGGCGGAGTTATTATTCCATATTTACCCCCATTAAAAAAAACTATAGTTACTGGTGTGCTGTTCGTTATTTTTTGTTAAAATATATTTAATATTCATGAAAAAAAAAACGTAAAGATATAGGTGTACATTATTATCTTAAATAATATTTCCTGTCATACATGACAGAAACATATTTAAGCATTCATTCATTCATTCATTCGTATATCATATACTGACACATCATTTCAATAACTCAATTACAATGATGAGAGGTCAATGCCTTGACGCATTAAACAGGGGTGTGTTGTTAGGGCTGCTACAAACGAGCGGCATTTTGCCAACGAGTGAGGCCAACAGGTGCTGGTGACGCGCACACGACAAATGTCTACGTGTGAAGATTGTAAATGGGCCGAAAATATAATTAAAACAGTATATGTAGAAAAAAAAAGAACAAGACTATAATGTAGACGTATAATAGATAGACCAAAGACACTAATAAAGATATGGAACCTCTATTATATTTTTTCATTCGTTGGTAATCTGTATAAATGAACAATGCTTATTAATCAGAGCATTAGAGTATATAGCGGTGTACACACACATCCACTGCCCTTGAATATGACGTTTATTACGTTACGTTTTCATATTATTTGATATGATATCGTACCGTATCGGATGCTAATAACCAATATTCCAAATCCAATACCAAGTGGTACTCTTACATAATTATTCTAAATGATATCGTTTTGATTCGGCCATTTTGTCGCCACACACGCACACATTAAACTATAGAAAATATAATACACATACAGCACATACGCAAACAATTAATACATTATCATACGATAAGGCCCCACAGTCCAGCAGGGGCGTCAACCTGTGATATTGAATCTGCTAACCTAGGTAACCTATGAGATATTTCAGTTTAAAATTGTTATATTTTTTTTAATGCACAAAAACATACAGTAATAATAACAATTAGAAACAATGTAAACAAAGATGAAATTATCTCTAAAAGAATCTCTGCCAGTCAACATAATGGCATAGGAAGTAGTGAGTGGGCAGCAGTAGTGCAAAACAGAAATCTAAACAACAATAATAAGTATTTATGTAATTTACAAATAATATTGTACATGTTCAAACAAAAATCGTTCCAATAGGCGGAGAATGATGTTTTATTCGTAATTAAAACTACTACTTAGCATTCAAAATCCAAAAAAACTCCAAAAACATTCACAAATATTTACGCTCGTAATTTTAACTTCAACTTCACGTTTTATTAGACTCCGCAATCTCGAACAGAATCGTGGTAGGCTAATATCTCATAATTAGAAAATCTTATAAAGAATAACAGTATGAAAAGCAGTTATTTATAATGTACTTATATAGTCATACATTTTACTTGTTCAATATCGAATCAGAATATGACACCGTTCACATCGTATAACGAACAAGTTTACCTCGCTTCTCTAAAAACTGTATTTCCTTCCCAGATACAACATTTCCGCAGGAAAGTACAATGTTATTTTAAACACTGTCATCGATTTTGTCATTATTGTTTACTTGCTTTTATCCGCGATTTTGTCCGCGTGAGCGAGACATGTTTACTGTCCGGGATAAAACAGTAGCCTTTATCCTTCTAGATATCATATAGTACGTATATATTAAATTTCATAGTAATTGGTTAAAACGCTAAGGTACTATAAGGTATCAAACAAACAAACCCACTTACGCATTTATTTATAATATTAGTAAGAATACGATTTCGTTGAAAATAAAAATTTAAAATAAATATTGCGTGTCGAAATGTCGAAATAAAATGTTGCAATATGATAGATTTTTAGTATATACATTTATCATCACTATCGCCTTTCCTTATCAGAATCAATGTCGGATCAGCTCGTTATGTGTACTTTTAAAATCATACGAATATGTCTCGCTATTTCGCACGTCTTTTTCTCCGTTATTCATGAAATAAATAATTGTTGGGAGCGTTGTGGTGTCATGACTTTGTATTAATAACCCAAAAGAAGAAGACCAATACAATCACAAGACGTGAATTCATACCGTGTACTTTTTTTGTATTTTATTATGGTCCAGTCAGTCTCTGGCGATAGGTAAACACCATTAACAAATCAAATTAGTGCTATATTGAATTCCAATACCAATACAGATACAATTACTTTTAGAAAAGATGAAAAAATATACAATTGTCGATTATATAGTCCTTTTTGAGTGTTCGAAATTCGTGTGTAGATCTACAAAAGAATGTTTGTAGATTCATGAACATAATGACACGAAAAATAACAATAGTTATGAAGCCGAGATATGACGGCAACGGTTATCAACGTTTTGAAGTTAAACTAATGATGATTGAGTGAAGGATTAGGATCATAATAACCGAGTAACTGAACACACAATATAAATTTTATGACTAAATATATTTATAATCATATATTACCTATACATTCATATAAAAGACTCGATTTTTCCTAGATCTCCTTCATAGGGTGTAAATCAACTGAATGACAATTCGTACGTTTCTCTACCGTGAAATTTTTGCCGATCTAATTCGATAAGACATCCGGGGAACCACGAACAAAAAAATCAAGAAAATCCCGCTCAAATGTCAAGACAATGTTGATTGTTTTTTTCGATGTTCGGGGGATTGTCCATCAAGAATTCGTCCCTCCAGGCCAGACAGTTGATGGAAAATTCTACGTCGATGTGCTCAGACATCCAGAATTGGCGCGAGAGGGGCGTTGGATTCTTCACCACGACAATGCCCCTGCCCACCTCTCTTGTTGTCCGTGAGTTTTTGAGTAAAAATTCCATTACGGTGACCGGAACTGCCCACACTCTCTTGTTGTCCGTGAGTTTTTGTTGGATTCTTCACCACGACAATGCCCCTGCCCACACCTCTCTTGTTGTCGAACACCCCCTATTCGCCGGATTTGGCCCCGTGTGACTTCTTCTTGTTCCCAAAAACCAAATTGGTACTTCGGGGGCGGCATTTGGGGGACATAAATGAGGCACATGTGTTTTCGACGCTCCACGGTGACGCACACAACGCAGAGAATTTGCTTTGAACGTCAGAACTCGTGACCCTCAAATTGATGCGACGTACGTTTTTTTATTAGCTTAAAGTACAAAAGTACAGGAAAGTTCTATCGCGTACTCGACACAGGCGCACCTATGTATCTCGAGAAATAGATCGATAACGTTTGAAAAAAATTGTAATAAATCATTACAAAGTGTTCCATAAAAAAAGAAAACTTCAATTGTAAAAACTCAGTTATTTTGATTTGTAAACTAAACTACGGGACCGATTTTGATAAAATTTCTATAGGACCGACTGTAAGTATATTCTTTTAGATAAAAAATATTTTTCCAAATCGGTTTAAAACTGATGGAGTTATACAAACCTAAAAAAAAATATATAGCCGAATTGAGTACCTCCTTCTTTTTGAAGCCGGTTGATAAAGACGAGACTTCAAAAAGGAAGACGAAAAATAACTCCTTTTTTTTTTTATAATACTTAGAATAACAAACAAGCTAATGGCTTACGTGATGAAAAGCGGCAAGGGTCACTTATATACATGGAGAATATCACGGACATCACAGTATGCATACTGTATAGTATAATAAATATAGACAAATTCAAAACCTTCCTCCTTTCAGGAGTCGTGAATAATAATTGTGTGATACATTCGCTACTTTAAATTCATTTTGATTATTAATATTATTCGAAAATAAACAAATTTTTTTTTTCAATTAATACGAGATTAACAGGCGGCAAATACCTTTAACGACCCTAAGGTATTAGAAATTATAGTGAAGAGCATACTTTTTAAACTTGAAGTTGAATAACGTGTGAATAATAAAAACTACTTTCTAAAACTAAACGACATGTAACTATTTTTATGGTGACATTTTAAAACGTTACAGCGTACCTAGTCACCAAAATTATTTCCTACTTTCCGCATATTTCTAAAATTAAATCTATTTTGAATAGTCATTTCATGCTGCATCTATACTAATATTATAATGAAAGACTTATTTATTTATACTTTATTGTACACACTAATAATATATAAAAAGTATGCCAGAAGTAAGCAAAAGTACAAAGACGAGCTTAACTCTACAAGAGTTCTCTTCCAGCAAATTCAAAGTGGAGAGAAACATCAATGATTTATTGAATAGATAAACTCAAAAATTAGTTAACCGATTTTAAAAATTCTATCGCCTATACAAAGCTACACTATAAACGAATAAAATAGGCTGTATATTATTTTTTAAAATTACAGATTCCTACAAAAATTATAATAATATAACCCAAGGTAACAAAAATTTGCTTATACAGTCATTGTTTATATATATCTAATAAGTGTATATCTAATAATTACAGTTATAAGTACCGTTTATTGTTCAAATTAGTCAATCAAAATACGGGTAAAATCGAAACATGATGACTATTTAGTTGAATAAAGACGATAATCTTTATTTAACTAAATAGTTTCATAATCATGGTTGATTATGTACATGTAAATTCCTCTTTAATTTATTCCAATTGCGACCTTTTATTTAAAAGTTACGACGGATATAAAAATGCTAAAAGTAAGAAAAATGCCGCGGTGAGTGGACAACCTTACGATTAGAAGTTTTTTTTTTTTTCTATTGGTCTAAATACTAGTTAAATTACTTTTACTACTAATTAATAAAACTACTAAAGCTTCGTATGGGATAGATAGAAAGGCAATTTATCCCATGCGAAGTTGGTACATGTCACTAGTCGGTATATAAAATATCTTCATTTATAATTAGAGATAATAATGTAGAAAACAGATACACAGCCTCAAGTGTCCCAATCATATGGCTACTTTCTGCAAATTAAGGTGAACAGTTACCTATATAAGATGCTCCAATTTTAGCTCAAGTGAATTTGTACTATGAAAGGATTGCTCTTTTTAGAAGGTTAAGAGTATCTTTTTTTACACAAACACAATCGTGAACGATTTGATACGTCGTTCTTGCGTTTCTTTCGGACCGGTTGATGTTAAATAATTAAAACACGTTAATAAGACATTTGACGTTTTGACCAAAGGAATCAACTAAGGAATCTTCTATGAAATGACATTCCGAATTTTTGGACTTTCGTGTTTTTGTTTATAACAAAATTGGCCCAATAAATGAAGCCTAACATTTTGTTCGTCATAAAACCTACCATAAAAGTTCAAAGGAACGATAATTTAACACTTTAAATATTTTAAAATGGTATGTTTTATGTATTTTTAACAACAAATTTGTATTTCTTTCAGCTTCGAAATTTCGGAAAACATTTCATAGTAGGTCCTCTGGGTTTGTATTCTAACTCTTGTTTAACGCTCATTGTATTAGCACTGCCGATTAAGATAATTAGCCGGCTTACCTTAAAGCAAACTGAGCAGAGGCCGTCTGTGGATGGGTTGCCATAAAACCCGCAGCCTGAGCGGCACAAAGCCTCCATTGGATTCGATTCACGCTCCATTGTTCGACTAAAATTTCACTTGAACGTAACAACAAGTCTAAACACTTCACTTGTAGTCAACAGTACGATTGCACTAACAGTATATTGCACTTGTTTGTCGCACACAATGTCTCACAATAATCACAGTATAATGTCCACTAAAACGTTTCAATTTAGATGCTTATCTCTGGCTTGCTGTGTCGGCGGTAAGTGGCTTTCCTTGCCAATGAGTTGAATCTATATTTTTTATGTCAGGATCGCAGAGGTCCCTGCAAATAAAACAAAATTATACACGTTACAAACAAATATTGCTATTGGTCTGATTCATTTATATCTATATACCCCAACGAAATATCTGGATGTTGAATGTCGCCTTTACCACAACGGCAATGACTACCTCATTAGATATTATAATTGTGAGCATATTCATTTTTTTTAAACAATATTATAAATCACTAATCATATCTATTACGGTTGTGGCTAGCCACGATGACGTTTTTGATATCCTTTGTATTCTGATATGTGATGTGACGTATTACAATAATATTACGGTAACTGTTTCTAATGATTACGTACTACTAATACGAAGACTTTCTTTCATATTTACGGATCTTAAAGAGCAGGCAAATGTCTAAAATCCCTTTATACTGTTGCGACAGTATAAAGGCTTATGGTATATATTAGATAAATATACGTTATTTAAATATAAGAGCACGTATGTAGGTGTACACTGTGTTATCACTTCGAATAATTTCTAATCTATAATTTATTCCATTATAATAACAAATAATTTTGATTTCTATCATTATTAGTTGTATTCTATTACTTTACACCTAAAGCCTTCCATATATATAGTGCTTATTATTTATATAAAACAATAAAAAAGCGACGAATGACGGTAAAGCACCTGCAGGAAACAATTAATATGATATAGAAAGTGGTATCTGGAAGCAGAATACGATTTCGTAGAGGCAAAACATAATATGCATAACGACAAGTTTGCGTAACAAGAGAGAGCTATACGGGCAAAAGTGGAACGCGCCCGCGAAACGGAGTACTCGTGTTGCCCCGCGCCAAGGTCGGACTCGGCCCAACGTAGCCGCTGCAATCGACTACCAACCGGAAAATGCATTTAATGTATTACAAAGTATTCACCTAACAACTATAGAATATTTTTAGTCACATAACAAATATAAATTAGATACTTGAGACGAGTTCTGAAAATCGATGACGCAAAACAGGCGAGGCCTTTAGCACTCTATTCTCACTGCCTACCGTAAGGGACTTAATCATAGATGCTATGTAGATACTTATTCAATTCGAGTGAATTGATTCAACCTTCTCTTAAAAATTATACATGTTTGTAGTAACATCAACTACCTTATATACGCATTTTCAGGATTTAAGAATAATTTAAATTAAAGGAACCGAAAAAGAACAATTTGAATGCGGGTTTAGTTTAAAAAAGTAACCATTTTAAGTTGCCGTTTACAATCCTGTTGCAACAAAGAATTCGGCAACAAAAGGACAACAGATGTTCTTTTCTGTTTCTATTCCACACATACATACAGCAGCGTATCTATCGACAATTTCATTTGCAAATTGTCTAGAGCGGCTGACTACATACAGATTAGCCAATAAATATAAAAACCGTAATCGATTGCTTGGGCTTCCATAAAATAGGGTACAAATTAGTACAAATGCAGTGTTGGTTAGTATATTACATGTGGTACGTGTATATCGATACTTGAGCTACCTCTATGAAAAACGACTGTATCAACACAATAACAATGAGAATGACACCGCTACCCGCTAACGCAACCTCACAGCGATGTAACTTTTTATTTAATAAATTATCAGCTTTATGTTATTTTATAATAAATATGAAAATATATTTGTCGTGACACTGTGAATATCAGATGACACATTGTTATCAAAACTAACTGGTGTCTAACAAAAGAATATTATCAATTTCCGTTTTTTTTTTTTTTTTGTATAAGCGAAAATGTTCAAAAAGTGATAAGGATACAAAAAAGAAATTATCTTGAAACAATCTTTATACGATAACAAAATACCAAGATTGCTTATTTGGCGTGTACAAATATGATTCACTTTTAACTTTTGCTATTGGCTACATCTAAATGTGCACCAATTACTAATTATTGCAATAATGAATCTTCGGTGGGGAGAACGCGCATCCATGAGGTCATTAGCACTGGGAATGGACTTGGGGGAGTCATCGACCGGGCATCACGCAGGGGTGCAAATGCAATGCGTCGGCGCCCGCGCACGCTACCGCTTTATTAGCTGCACCGCTGCACTCAGCTATCGCTGGATATGTTCAAGTTACAATCCCATCAGCACAAAGTCCAGTTACACGAGCACAGTACGTGACCAACATGCCCTTATTAGACACGTGTAATTCAAAAGAATCTGCTTACACTACGCTTCACGGAGGTTAAGTGGAATTTAGTAATCAATCATTCCTTTTAACGTGTGTAATATTAATAATAACAATGAACACCTTAGTCTTTAGGAATGGAATGCGTTAGCATAAAGGATATCATAAGCAACACAGTATATTACGTCCATGGTACTGTTTATATCTATAGGCGACAGTTACCACCTCAGTTGCATAAAAAATAATTAATAATAAGCCTTTATTGTATTATATTCATTTCTCCCCATAGAACTATATTTAAAATATGAAAAATCTATTTATTACCTACTAAGTTACTTAGTTGTTGAACGACAACGCTTCACGGAGGTTAAGTGGAATTTAGTAATCAATCATTCCTTTTAACGTGTGTAATATTAATAATAACAATGAACACCTTAGTCTTTAGGAATGGAATGCGTTAGCATAAAGGATATCATAATATATATATATATATATATATATATATATATATATATATATATATATATATATTTAAAATATGAAAAATCTATATATAGTTACTTACACACTTATATATATATATATATATATATATATATATACATATATATAGATACACACACACAAATATATACTTCACATTGTTTGAAATTAGGAGACGTCCTCGACTCCGCCCGCATATTTTATGTAGTTATGGACCATTTCATTACCATATTATTTAGGAAGTTACATATAAAAAAAGAACATCATTAATGTTCTTATTTTAATGTTATAACTACCGGTTTAACATACGTATAATATGATCGAGAATGCTTCAGGACCATTCGGGACCTTTAATCATATTCGTTCTAATTTTCACAAAATTTCATTGAAATCGTCAATGTTTATCCGTTGTAAACTTAACAAAAAGAGTCAATATTACATTTTCGTTTATAATATAGGATACGGTTGTTATTGTACTTAATTCTATGAACACTGCACGAAAACAGCGAAATTTTAGTGACTCAGGCTTCAATCTAAATAACCAATGAGTCATACTCATACACTACTAAAGCTAGATTACTGAATTTTTTGATGATACACTTTCCAGAAGATGAATGTAGCATTCGGGTCTAAGGAAAATGCAGGTTCCATGTATTCGTAACAGATAAACAGACCAGGAATAAATTTAAGAGAATAATTATGGTACTAACTTCTTATCTGTTCAGAAAATACACGCTTGTAGTATTCGGGCTAAGGAAAACTATAATGTGTTCCGTGAAATCATAATAGAAAAACAATATAGTTTAAAAATAAATTCAAGAAAAAAAAAATAAACAGAATGCAGATAAAAACATCATCTATAATGGTCGCTATAAGCCAGACCCAGCTAACTTATTGAAATTTGTACATACAAATATTTAAAGATTACAAGAAACTGCCAATTGACTATTTCTTTGATAAACTAGTAAGCTACAAACGTAGACCAATGCCAAAGACATTACTGACGACGATGGCTCTTCATAAAATTAAAAACCTTCCAATTTAATCCGAATTGCTTCCAAATTACATCATTCAACCGCCCTGATGCGAGGGTGAATATTTTTACACGGACACTCAATGTGAATTAGTATATGGACATAATTTTTTGCAACATCGCTGGCAAATTTAAAGGCTCACACAATATTACAACGAAATAAGTATGCCAAGGCGACTATCAACACTCGGCCAGTCGGAAACGTGATGTTCAATTATAGCATTACGATAGTGGCGATACCGAAACTCTATTGCCAAATTAACGCTATTGGTCGAGAACCACGTTAAGTCGATTAAATCGGTTATGAGTTAATGATGTTCTCAGTATAACGCGGAGCTAAATTTATCAGTTTAATTTTTATGAGTTTTATTAGTCTTTTTTTTTTATTTTACATATGTTTCTTCTCCATCATTTTCCCCCTGAAACCCATAAACAACCATATTTAATTAAAACGTTTAAAACATTTTTTTCGTGTCACTAGCCAACTAGAATTACTTTCCGACTTCCTCATAATACTTCGTGATCTTTTATTCTTTATTACCTCATTATATTTCCGCAATAGTGTATTATAGTAAATAAATATACCTAATCCCCGGATATAGCTAATAAATACTCAATTATTATAACAACCGGACGTCATCCATGAAAGCGGATCGAGATATTTAATTTAATTGATATAGGACGAACAAAACGACATCGTCTAAGATAAATGATATTGTCCGTATGTGTATGTCTAGGCGGTCGTCGCGGTATATATGCGCCGTGCCCCGCTGACCCACTTGCCAAGTGTTCGCTACGCAATTCGAGCGCGACCTGCTTCGCGTTGCACCGACGCTGATGCTAGGCCGCCAGATGTCCTAATAATGCAGGACATATAACCTTTTAAACAATTCAGTACTTGAATTTTGATGCATGTGGCTTTTGCAACTCCTTTGAAATGTAATAAAACTAAACCATAAGACACTGACATAAAGTTGTTGATACAAGGTCATCGCATCACTAAAGCCATTTATTACATTTTGGTTGGTTACACGCGTGGTTTATAGTGGTATACCATTTTTATTCATTGTTCAGCATATACATACATATAATATTTATTCAGAACTAAACCCAATAATTAACATTAATTCAATATTACACTATTCTATGTTGAAATAGAATTTTTTTTCGTGCCGACTTATTTTATCAGTACAATCATAAAGATAAGCCCTACCCAGTAACCACCCTACAAATGATTAAACTGTTCTTGGCTAGACTAAAACAGGTGCAGTACACACGACCGAAGTAACCAAAAACATCTGTGAACCTTCTGGCATATATACCACATGTGTTTAAACTCATCACCTTGCTCTGCTTAGATTTCTTGATGACGCTACCTCCCACGGACTATAGAAAACGAAAACTCTAAATATAATATATTTACATATTCCACGTAGATAAACATAATACAAATGAAATCCAATACAAATAAACTCATATTTGATCAGACTAAATGATTTATCATTTCTTGTCAATATTTCAAAAATGGCATACTAATGCATTCTGATTACAATAACGACGTTATGAGACCCTCTCAGATTCGACTAAAATGTTTAAATATTTACTAGTTAATAGGTATAACAGACTGAATAGATAGATTTGTGCTCAAATTCGGATATAGACACACTGTTCGAGTTTAAAACCTTTATTAGAATTTTATATACGTTTCCACTGTTTAAATCACTATTAAGTCCACTTAAACAAAATCATAAGTATTAGATTGAATTTAACAAACAATTTTTACGCATATAATTTTTCATAAAATCCATCCACCTCTCTTTTACAATTTCTGATACTAAGACTTATTCCTTAAGCACATCTTCATTAATTAATAAAAACTTATTAAGACATTAAATTTCTAGACTTTCTCGTGATAAGAACTCACTAATTACACATAATATACAATATAATAAAATTACGAAAATATTCAACATAGCGAAGACCAATACAAATTTAATACAAATAAAACAAATTAATTTAGAGACTAATACACTTATTGCTTTTGTGGGTTTAGAAAAGGCCTTTCATAAAGTGGACTAGAAGATTATGACAAGGATACTAAAAGACAGGTTACTTTAGGTACACAGAAATACCTAATCAATACCTATAAAAATACAATACAATTAGGAGATGAGAAAAGACAAACAAGAGAAGGTTATACAAAAACCAATACTCCGACTGTAAAATATAAGTGATTCTTAAATAGTTTTGATTTTTTTTATCTAACTTTATTCTACAAATGTATCCTGTTTAAACAAAACTTTAATCTAAGACACGGTCTATTACGTTCCAAATTTTTTAACGGCTTAAGAGTGAACGAGTAAGATTATTAGTAGGATTCTTTTATTATTCAATCAGTTATACTATTGCATATTATAAATATAATCCTAATTCATGTTTATAGGCCACTTCCTATTAAAATAAGTCATCAAATAGTTTGTCATTCAAATTATTATTATAATTAAAAATATTTCCAACGCCAAATATTAAATAACATCTAGGCTAGCATCTAATGAATAGTATTGAGGTCGACGAGACTTTAATAGTAGGTATAAATGAAACGATCTGTTCATTGAGTTCTATAGTTAGGTGCAGTGCTCGAATTTTCTTCAGGTTGAGACAAAATACAGGTCTGACCACTCGATCAACGGTAACAGTAACGGTTCGAGACAAAAATCGTGCAGTGCACAGAAAATTCTTACAAAAAAAAAAAAGTGGCGTCATTTATATGCTGCATCGTCAATAGTAGCCTAACCGGCCTGCCACACAACATTACCAACATAGGCCAATTTTAACATACACATGGTTCAGATGGGCCATTACATTAACGCACTTTATTGGAAAATAATGAAGTGGCCTTTGTCATTTTAACACGCTATTAACTCTAATGTATGTCTAGTATAATATACATTTAGATTCTTGATTTCTAAATGGTTAGTGGACTTAAATATTTCTAGCTCAATTGATTAGCTAAAAATATAACATTTGAAGCAGCCAAATGTTTGAAATACCACCGTGATACAAACATTCTTCATTTGGTTTTACCAAGCGTTCATTTCCGAGGTTAAATGGAATTCCGTCAGAATACAAATATTTTTGTCAATAATAAGAACTAGGATGATTTAATATTAATGCGCTTGTTGCAGCATGTTGATTTAGTAAAAATAAATCAATTTCTCTTAAAATTTATTTCCTCTAAAAATGTAAACATTATATAGAAAGAATTAGGAAAATCAGTTTCATAGTGTCAAGCTTTAAATTAAACAGAAGCCCTCGTTTTTGGTACAGAATCTTTATTATAAACTTCAGAAACCACAAATACAATACAGTATTAACGCTGATTGAGGTCAAACAAAATATTTCCTTCATACGAACTAAAAAAAAATAAGCAATAATCTATGATGTGCCAGTAAAACCACGACGTATATACCGGAAACGTCATATACACAAAACAAAAATAGACTGGCCAGGGTCTCGTGCGAAACTTCCGCGTGGTTTTTGCATCAAGGAAACAAACCGGCGCGACAACTGTCGATCATAGTATCGACAAGTTTGCTCAGTAGATACAAAGCAAACAGCCAGGACGGGAAGGACAATGACATTAGCATTTGAAGGAAGAGCTTGCGTCACACAAGCGTGGAACAATGACGCGGCGACAATCGAACACGCACGGCAAGATGGCTGCCGCGGCGTCAGCTGATCGCGCACACGCAGCGCAGCTGTGACCACTGGTTAAACATATCGCCCTCTCTTTCAATCGCGAAAGATTAACACAATGGATTGAATAGCATTGTATGCAACACAATGCTTACTGGACACTTTGCTGGATGCAGGTATGTTGCACATTTAATTCAATCGATTTGTACAAGACTACGAAAATTTGTAAAAAAAAAAAAGGAACAGGTAAAATTTTAAACCCAAATCGACGCCCTCTAATCGAATTGACTTGAAACCGACGCAAAAAATAAAAACCAGTTACTGTATTTTAATAATCTTGCCTAGATTTGACATTTAAACAGTTTTGTTTTACAATAACAATGCGCAGTTATAAAGACAATGATAATGACATTAGGTATGTTTAAAATAGACAAAGAAACGGTGGAATTCAACATTTTATTCTTCTGTACTTACTTAATATACATTTATATTCGTATTCAGACACTAATATGAAAAATTGTGCATATAATCAAAGTTACAAGTATGATTCCGATCGCTTTAATTAAATTATTTCTCAAGTTATAAACACGTGTTTTTTTTTATAAGGTAAATATAAAAAGTATTTATCTGTTAACTATAGACATATATCATATAATAATAATGCAAGCGATATATTTTCATTACAAATATACCGAAGCATGTAAGTAAATTGGTTATTTACGCTACACGCCAGAAGAATACTTGCATGCAATACGGTTTGTGAAATCGTCAATGAAGGTATCGACCTACATGTATTAAAGAAACGAAATGTGAAACGAAAAATTACATTTACGAAAATTAACACGTTCGTGTCATCATGGTGTGTCACCTTTGTACAAAACAAACTTTCTAGAGTGAATGCGAGTTTAACGTAGACCTCAATAACACGATAAGCTGATAAAAATAAATCGGCAAAATACAAAGCTGTAAATGTTAAATGAATATTGTATTCAACTATTATCAGTAATAATGACTGCCAAGAATTCGTTACATCATTAAATGTAGTAATTAGTGACTAATTCGAATTAAAAATCTATTTCTTTTCTTTAAAATACTTGGATTCTTTTTTGACTAAACCTTTTGGGTACTATGAATTGCATAAAAGTTCCAAGCACGTGAGGACGTTGACCTTCTGGCATCAAGGTCGATGCGGCGGCCTTCAAATAGCCTCGTCTAGCTGCCTCGCAGGCTCCTCTCGGACGGGCAGAGATCACAACGCAGCAACGCACACAAAAACGGCATACACTTAACTACAAACAAGTATTACCTTCGAATGGAAATGCGAGCCCATGGCCATGTAGAAACAACGCCTGAAAGCGCTGTACGGTCACAAAATCCAAAAGTAAACCACATGTAATCCGAATAGAGGTGAAACACACTAATTTGCACTATTATCTGATGAGATAAGGTGCATTAGTCGCACTTTGACGTTCACTGTTTACTATATTGTATCGTATGTCGGCCTCGCCAAAGCGAGCTCCGAACCGCTTGACGTGCTGTCGAGAACTGCCCGAAGCCGAGGCGCCCGCCCGAGTCGAACAGAGAAGGCAGGCAGCAGTCGCGCCGCCCGCAACTATTCGCGTCAGCGTGTCGCTTCATTCCACACGCGCACGCACTAACCAATACAAACAAGCCAATGCTTGATATTCGCAAACTATAAACACATGCACGACTAGGCCACTCATCTCGACATCACACAACAAAATGCTACAGTAATATCGCTACATTAGCACAAACTGCTCAATAACACCTTTATCTATGTACCTCGTGATATCAAGTCTAAACTGCGACTCAGAATATAAACTTAGTATTTAGAAACCACACTGATGACGCCGTATGTTATTTATTTCTTTTTTAATATAGTAAAAGGAAATGTTTTGCCCAAAATAGTCCTGACAGATGCTGGCTCTGTTCAAAAGTTCTAAAGTAAATAACAAACGATTGCAAACGATTGTTAATTATAAGCATGTTTAAGACCAACGAAACTTTAAACACAAAAGATACAATAATTTTTTATTCCTGTTTTTGTTAAGTTTAAACAATTTGAGTATGAAAATCTCTTCGAAACTTACACATCTATTGTAGGTAAGTAGTATGTATTTGCAATACGTTTTTCTTTTTCTAATAACCTATCTGCTGCTAGCTCACGCATATTTTTTTTTTCCTTGAATACCTTAATTAATTTAAATAAAAAATTGCCCAATCGATCTATCCGTTCTCAAGAGATATCTTTACCAATGAATATTTATTTCATTTTCATCTATATGTATTAATATACATATAGATGAAATAACTGAATAATATAATAATAATATAATATGAATGAATAAACATAGAACATTTAATGATTTGCGTTTTAAGAATAAAAGCAAATAAATGCAACGACATTAATATTACCACGCATACGCATAGCATGTTCGTGTCGATACACAACTTTCGATGCCTTTCTTCGCCGCAGCGTGATCTCCCGAAACTATGAAATCATCGACAATTATTTAAGTATGTAATAGGTTTCTTACACGCTGCTAGATTAGAATATAGAAAACGTAACATTTTTAATTCGTGTCGTTCAATTATTCGCCACAGATATTTAAATATCGGATAAATTTTCGAAATCAAAAGTACATTGCACTCCCGTGAGATGAAAGTGAAAACTAAGGTCATTATTCGAATATTAGCGGTCAATCAACTTTGAGTAAACAAGCACTAAAGGAATTTAAATATATTAGAACAACTGTTTACTTATTATACAAATATAAATAATTATATCTTAATTATGACCACTAATTTATTTGTTTCAAGAACAATAATTGAATGTCACTAATGGATTGTGACAAAGTAATATCATAAACAAAGCCATGTGTGAGCAGAGTGTACGAGCATGAATAGTGCGAGGGCCAAACAGCAGCGGCGGTGTCGGTGGCGGGCGTTGGACGCAGACAAAGCCGCGGACGACAGCGCGAGTCGTCGATCTCCCCCGAATTAGTCCTGGGCCGGGGCCGCTGACCTCCAGTACGCCCGCTGCCACTGTCGCGCCGTACGCCGCCGCTTGGTAATTCCTTGCCCTACAACCTACACTACACGCTACAACAACCCCCTATGAGACACTACCTCACAATGAGATCAGCAATAAGTAAGATTTAGGTAAACAAAGCATGACTAACATACCCAAGAACAAAGAGCGTGAAGTTTCGACAAAGACGAGTAAAGAAGATTCATGTAAGGTCAATGAAATAAAAGCACGTGGAACGAGAACAGACAACGCTCTGGGCACGACGCATTAACAGGAGTACACGTGTTTTCATGTGCGTTTCAAAAGATCACTTACTTGGCACCGAAAGTTACATAAATTTTAACAAAGATCATTGTCGTCATTATCTATCTTAGTCATTATCACCGACATATTAATGTTATCATTCTGTCAGTCCATTCAGCGTGCTCATAATAATTTTGTCTGCTGATACACCATATTTTGAGAAGTGTGGCAAATTTCTGGAAATATCCTAAAAATATATAATAAAATGCAAATTGTAATGAACGCTTACCTGATTTTGGAAAAGCGAGTTCCGTACCAAACAAATGTCTTTCCAAGTGCGCAGTCCCTTCAGCTCACAACCGGGCGACACCACGTCTGTGCGGTTGAGGTCAGCATCCACCGGCATCACAATGAATGGTTACTCTACCTGTACAAACATGGCCAATATTAACAAATGTACAATACTATTCAGATACAGACTTTTTTTCCAGAAATCTATAATACTGTTCCTGTATTATCCGTAGTTGTTATCTGTAGATAAGTAACATCAGATTTTAGAATACATTTACGCATCATTGTTACACCGTCTTCTAGACGATTAGTCGTTACATTTATCAGCTAGTCATTTTTTAAACAATAGTACTTATGGAATTTGAAAAATTCGTATTTATATCTGCACTTTTTTGTTCACGTGATGAATATACATGGTGATAACTAAATGTACCGTCATGCGTATATTTAGACTACAATTTTATGCCTTCATTTCTTATAAAAACATGCTAAAATATAGTACAATTTTAATAAACAAACTTCGTCGCTACCTCAAGATAGTTTACATTTAAATTTCGTCTAAACAATGACCACAAATACGATACATTAGTACATCATCCAATTTCGTTTACAGGATTTTAATTAAATTAACAACTCTAAATTAAATAATAATTGGAAGCTATTTTCAGGTATATGGAATAAATATATTACAATATGAAATAGATTGATTTTAGTAAACAAAAAAGTTTATGTAAAATTAATAAAATTAAGAAGCTCGAAAATAAGGTATTGTAGGCAAAATGAGGGTATTTGTGTACCGTATATAAAAGAATGAACATAAACGACAATACATAAAAATGAACGCTGTCAATCGAATCCGTTAAATCGTATCGTAAAATTGTGATTTTGAAAAAATGCATCCAATATTTTGGGAAGTAATGTTTCTAATGTCTACAATCGACAACACTAGTATAAGAAATAGTAGTAAGAGAGTTTGATTCCGAAATTATTTTTTATACCCGACATGACTCGAAGCAACGTCGTCAGCACCACACTAAATAAAGTTCTATACCAAACACATTATTCAAGTAAGTCATTATAAATATGTTCATTCATTATTACATAATAATATACATGCTTGTTGCATCAAAGCGAGCGATGAGCGAGTCACGCCGACATACCGAGTTTACCGGGTCCATTCGGCGTCAATGAAGAAAAGAAATTTATTGAAACAAATTACACCCATGGAACAACTTTGCTATCATGCAGCCACTATATATAACCTGATTTGAAAGAGCTCTTTTATGGAAAAATGTATAAGCAGACTATTTATAAACAAAGGATTCAATCTAGTTCTTTATAACTTAAGAAAAGTGATAAAATTATAATGCCCCAATTCTTCTACATATTTACAAATGTTTCAATATAGTAACAACAACATAGTGACAATCAAATGAGTGAAACTACTTATAACTCTACATATATCAGAAGTTTACAAATACTTAATCAACATATGTAAATATTAAATTGTAGATAAATAGCAGAATTGAGACTCCATTCTGTGTACCACATATCACTGTGAGTAATAACAGTTTAAACTTTGTATTGTATAAAGAATTGAATATGAATGTGGGCATTTTGAGTGTTATATTCACCACAACAGTAACAGTTGACTATTGTTGAAATATCTCTGGCTATACCTTTAGGTATTATTATATATTCATGAGTATATTTTTTTACAAAATATAATAAATGTAAATTAAATTTGATCAATCAATACACATAATAAAATCGTAACTGATCGCTGTCTGTACATGGAAGATATATAGGAAAAACTATTATAGGGCAGCTTTATGAACACAACAGAACCCAAAACAATGATCATTAGATTTTTTTTCTGTTTGTCTGTATGTTTTTGCATGTTAATCTTAGAATTAGAATTTTGAATAGTCTTTACTTAGGAAATTACCACACAATTCAGATAGCAGTTTCAGCTAAGTAGAATGACCAAAATTCTTAACTGTTGTAATATATTTATTCTTGGGATAATAAATAAGTAATACATTTAATATAACTAAAATATATGTGCAACAACTAGGTCTACAAATGATCTTACTACATAATGTTATGTATACATATCATCAAAGCTAAAGCTGTAATGGTGCAATAATGGTTAAAAATCAGTTGTAAATATGGTTAATATATATCTAACCTTATATTTTCAAACAGTGAAATCCCCAACAAAAACGGGTTAGTTTTTTCATAATGCTGAAACAAACATAAAACGTAATATCTAAAACTAATTTACGAATTATTGAAAAATTAAGTCACTTTATGTACAGAGAATAAAATTTAATAGTTTTATAATAAATATATAAATAGGTCATAATTGGACTGGGTAATTATCAAAATCTATTAGCTCATTATCATAATTACTTATAAATTATCTCTTTCAAATGTATCCCTAGGCTAAAGAAATTTCACAACAATACCATTATAATTGATTGCTTTATCCATTGAAAATAAATTAGTCAAGATAGAATGAACTAAATGCATGATTTAATAAGAATAAACATTATTCACCACATTTTTCATAGGTATCATTGCTTTTTTTACCTTTCAAAGATGTTTGTTGTTAAAACAGTTGTATATTGTGTAACAAATATATTATTACTTCTCAAATTGATGATTCATTATAAGTTAATATAATCATCTTCATACCATACATGTTCCTAATATATGGTATATTAGGACATAATGTAAATGTCTGACTACATGACACATAAAGCTATTTTCATACTTCATATAAAAATGAATCCCATAATAGCTACTATAGCATATAATTATCATATTTGTTTGTACCTCAAATAAAATAAATGTATTAATGAGAGTCCAAATTTATTTTTCTAAAATTTTCTTTGAAAAATTGTTATTAGTTTTACTGTTAACTATAATAATATTATTTAACTGTTTCTATATCATCTCTGATCTATGCACAAACAAAAATTTTTTTAAAAATTCTTTAGTCAGATCTGGGTATTCTCAGTTATGCCCAATGTTTTACAGGTTTCTCATAACATGAGTATTATTAGCTTAAAGACAAAATAACAGGTGTAGTAGTATGAAGCTTGAAGGTGTAATAATTTAATACACTGCCTCACTTTCTGATGATCACAGGTTTAATCACACAATACAACCATTTATACTTAGGAGTAGTCTTTGTATTGGTCTGGATGTTTGCTTCTTTTTTTTTAATGGATGATAATGGAGTGGTAACCCCACCTGCACTAATAGTATACATGCACTAATGGAACCCCAGTGAGAGATAATAGATGATAATGAAAAAGCAGGTCAATTAGCCCATCGTTATGAATACACCCAGAATTCAGCATGATGGTTTCTAGGGGGACCATGTGGAGCCTGGGTGTTTGCTATATATGTATATATTAAACAGAAAGTAAGTCTGTCAGTTATCTAGTACCCAGGTTGCCTGTAAGAGATTGCTTTAAGCGATAAGGCCACCTTTTGTATATGCACATTCTGTATAAATAATCCTTGTGCACATCTCTATTGTGCGCAATAAAGAGATTATTATTATTATACGAGGTCTGCTTAGTTTAGGGCTAGATGGCGCTGTATAATATGTAGAATAGTATTTATCTATTATTATTTAAATAAAACTCACTTATTTGTAATACTGAACAACAATATATCAAATACAGTAATATTTGAAAACCAAACAAGATAAAATCTCTGGTGCCAAAGAACAAATATAATGTCACAAATCAATTCTAACCTATAAATGGTTAAAATCAATTGAAAATTCATTAGGAGAGCCCAATTAGCTATTACATCTAGCAACATTCAATACATATGTAACTTCTGTACAATTATTATTCTAACTTCGCATTACACCATAATTGCTGATGAGATCAAGCATCTAATAAAAAATACCCACACACACACACAAACAAATAAACCCCACCATGTTATAGTTTACTACAGGAAGTCCATAAGTTGAGATACCCAATTTTATGAAAATTATGTATAGCTCGAATGAGCATATGAAAAGCTTTATTCTTTACATATAACGTAGTTTAAAACCTATTTCAAGAATGGAAGAATCTATTCGGTACATCTTTCAAGGTGGTGTCATGCAAAAAATGCGTATTGAAATTAAGTGTGCTATAGTTTAGACCTATGGTTCCCGTGGTACTTGCATTAGTTAACTCATAAACATGCAATTATATCCTAAAGTTAACCATTTCAACAATGCCCGTTCCTCTGTGGAACAGAAACAAAGAAAATATTGGAGAACACAGTAATTGGCATTCACGAAGAAAATGGCGTCATATCACTAGTCACGGAACAAGGTACAATTTCATCATACGAAAGCACATTACACAATCACATATTTACACCACAGAAACCAAATACATGCTGTAGAAATTATTTACTTCATAGAAGTACTCACTTTGAATAAAAATTCCAAAGAAAATCATCCAAAAACTCAAAGGACTGATGACAAGGCACTCCACTCACCGTTTGCAAAACCAGACTAATGTCACGTGACCGACTGGGTTACTAGGATAAATAAAACTACTATAATAATGTCTAAATGGTACAAAAATATACAAAAGGAAATGTTTGCAATAAAATAATAATTTGTAAAATATGAACACATCTCAGAATTTAATATTCTCATATTATGTAGCATGCAATGTACATAAAGCAACATCTAAACAATTTAAATAATATGTTCCACAATCCCACTTTAATTATTTATAAAATAATTATAGCTTTACAATTACAAATAATATCAAATCGGTCAAAAATATAAAAGATTACATAAAAATATAAAAATATAAAATGTTGTAAACTAACCACCTATATTCTACGTTTACTCGCCCAATAATTTGTTAATAGTTAACAAATTATAGTATATATAGTAGTAATTGGCAATATAGATAAACGTCAATGTCTGTTAACTCCTAAGTCACTGTCACCATTGTCATGTGTCTGTATTTCTATCTGAAATGACTGTACCTATCTTTCGCTGTTACCTTGATTTGAAGTTTAACCTATAAAGTGAAGAATTTCATATTTTAAACAATTTTACTATAATATATTAAAATTACACGAGAATTTAAAAATGCCAACAATATCTGTGAAGAGAGATTTGCTTTTTGAAGCACTTGGCAAAACTTATAGTAAGATTTTATGTAATGATTTACTTCATAGTAAGATTACAACTTGGCACTCAATTTTATTAAAAACTTGTAATTTTCAGCTGATGACGAGTTTCAAGATTTATGTTTTGAATTTGGCTTAGAGCTAGATGAAGTTGTAAGTATATCTTGCTTTATTGAATAATAGTGAAGTTTCATTTAAAAAACTCCAGTTTTTTCTCTGTTTAATCAATTTAGTAGGTTTTTCTAAATAAATGGTAATTTTTTTCTAAATAAATGTTCAAGAATTGGAATTCTGATTAGATTGAAGTTCTCCGTTTTTTACCAGTTTGGTATATAAGGCTAAATTATAAAGACCTCCATCCTCACAACTGTATTTCATATTATTTTTATTTCAAATTATTTTCATTTTGACCATTAACTAAAGATTTTAAAATTTTATAATAATAATACTCATTATTAATAAAACATTAAAATTTTAACTGCTGAAATATAGTTTTAAAATAAGTATGTTCCAATTTTTTTGACAAATTCTTATGCATGATTCTTGATTGTCAATAAGTTAGGATAGTGTACTACTGACCCATGACACTCTTTTTGTTTTGTGCTATTTCATTACATTTCATGTTTTGAGCTTAATTAGAGGAACTTAATTACTGAATTTATATTTTTCTATGATTATTATATTCTATAAGTAAAGCATATTAAATTGTTAAATCTGCAGACAACTGAGAAACAGATGTTAATCAAAGAACAAGGTGACCAGGCAGGTGCTGGTGTCTCAGAAGAAATACTGTATAGAATTGACATACCTGCCAATCGTTATGATTTACTCTGCCTAGAGGGACTAGTGGAAGGAATATTGGTATTCCAAAATAAGTAAGTTGTATTTATTATTAGTTAATTATTTTATTCTTTATTCTTTTATTGTACACAAAACATACTGTTAATCACGATTCATTATAAACATAATGTACAAAGGCGAGCTTATCTCTAATAAGAGATTTATTCCAGCAAAACCTTTTCATGTTAATTGTGTTATTTTAAAAATAAAAATAGGCAGTCATATGATCTGCATATATTGTATAAATACATAAGATATGTATACACAAAGAATAATACAAAGTACACATTATAAATTACATAAAATACATAAACCCTGTAAACAGTATATGTATATACTTACACAAACATACATATAAACATATATAAATATACATACACATATACACAATATGTCAGCATAATGATATAATGATGTCAGTAATGCTCTCTTAGATGACGCTTAAACATGCCTATACTTGCTGATTCCCTTATTTCCGATGACAGACTATTAATTATTATTACTTAAGTTAATATGGCAATAAAATTGCAGGATAAGAAAGCATAAGACCTTAGTCCTCAGGAATGGCAATACATAAGGAGTGCCATGGACATCATAATGTATTCTTGTCTATGGAGCAGTTCATGTCTATAGACCACTTCAGATGGACCATCAACTTGGTAATTATGGCAAGATACTTAAAAAACCCAACTTTCAAAATCCTTATTAATCTTTTTTTCTCATGAAGAATTTAGGATGTATGTCCCTGTTGTATGAAGCCCACCATATATTCTAGATTCTCATGTTTAATATGCAGATGTAATAATGTTGCATCTCAGTAATAGTTATTATAATGTCAAAAGAAACATGCTACAATGTAAACAACAGCCAATTTATCAATGGGAATAATTATACTAACAGTGTCTTTTTTTTTTATACAACTCAGATTGGCAAACAAGCTGACGGTCCACCTGATGGAAAGTGGTAACCGTCACCTATAAGCATGAGCAGTACCATGGACATAACAGAGTATACTATTTCGCCCATGATACTCCCCGTGTGTTGCCATTCCTGAGGACTCAGGTGTTATTCCTCTGTACCCAGTAAATTCATGCCATATCCCACCCTTCAAACCGAAACACAGCCATGCAAACACAAATAATAAGATTCATAACAGTGAGAAACAAAAATTTTTAATCATTTGTTTCTTGTTTATCACTACAGATAATAGTTGAAGTTTGGTTATGTTATAATATAATAATATTGAAATAAATTGGCAATAAACATCCCTTGTTCTAATAGTATTGAAATTATTTAAAATTTTCAGGAAGGCTCCACCTCAGTACCGGCTAAAAAAGTATGAAGACTGTTATTCATTACACCTCACTCCTGCCACAGCACAGATCAGGCCTTATGCTGTTGCTGCAGTCCTTAAAGGCATCACTTTCACCAAGGAATCATATGATAGTTTCATAGATTTACAGGTATAGTGTATATTAATCTGGACTAATATTGTAAAGGGAAAAGATTTTATTTTTTACTAACTTTTTGCCTGCTACTTCATACACGTAGATTTCAGAAGTAGGATAAACACTGTAATAGATTACTTCTAAATTTGTTATAAGGCATTAATATACTTCATAATAAATTCAACAGATCTTAAATTATATGCAAATAATTAGTATATCAGTATAATGTATTTTATTTATATTAATATATTTTAATACATTTAACCATATTCTGCAAATATATGAAATCTCAGAATTTAAATCAACTATATTGATTTCAATTAATATTTAATTTAATTATTATAGGACAAATTACATCAAAACATTTGCAGAAAGAGAACCTTAGTAGCTATTGGTACTCATGATTTGGACACTGTTAAAGGACCTTTTGTTTATGATGCTTTGCCACCAGATCAGATCAAGTTCAAAGCTTTAAATCAACAGAAAGAAATGACAGCATCAGAACTAATGGAATTATATTCGGTATGTAATATTATTTAATTATAAATTTTCTTTTGACATTTTAAACTATACTATCTTCATGAACGAAAATATGCATTCTTTTTATTTCTTTAGAATAGTGATCTTAATGAAACAGTTACTTATAATAAGTAGACAAAAACGTAAATGGTTTGTCTGTCACTTCAGTAATTTTTTTATATTATTTATATAGATAATAAATTGTTACCATGGCCTATGAACACCTCATTTTTGCAGAACCCCATGTCGTAGCTTGTTAGGAATTACCTCATATGTTGAAAAAATTACAATACCAAATGATTAATAAACCAAGTAAATACGTACCTTTAAAATAGACTTCTTCACTTCAGACTCCACACAATCAAAATTGTTACAACCCTCCCATGTAACAATTTCGATTACAACAATTATTTTTACGATATGACGCGGCACACGTGTGAGCGAGTAACACACGTGCTCTTACTATGATACCTGTCGCTGTAAACTCTCACTAACTTAGCTCTTAACCCTCTGACCGAATATTTTTTTTTTTCACAACAATAAACCACATTGTTTTGACAATAAATAGCAGTATGAGTATCTAGCCATCTAGCGAGATTCTAAGATACAATATTAATTTACCAAAACAAAAATCGCGAAATAACAACGTCAATAAGCATAAAAAATGCGAGCACGTGGAAATCGCGGGATGCATAAAATTAAACTAGTAGATACTGCACACGGAAATCGCGGGATACCTGGTCAGAGGGTTAATGATAATGATTCCATGGGGGTATTAATTCTACTTGCATATTTTAATAACAATGGTATTATTGCACCATAATTTGAATTATGAAGTTAATTAATATATTGTTCAATAATTATCTTTTTCCAGAGCCATGCCCAATTGAAACAGTATTTGGGCATTATACGGGATAGTCCTGTTTATCCAATAATTAAAGACAAGGACGGCATAGTGTTGTCAATGCCACCAATCATCAATGGAGACCATTCTAAAATTACATTAAACACCAAAAATGTCTTCATCGAATGCACTGCCACTGATCTAACTAAGGTTAGTTAATTAGTTAATGTTTAGAACAAGCCATTAACATCTTGTTACTGGATACTGTCTCTCCTAATTAAAAGAAAATACTACTACTTCTCAAGCTATGGCGGCTGGGGGGAAAGGGATTGTTAGTAATGAAGACTGAGAATCCCATTGCTAGCAATATACCCAACCAGGTCGACCTCCTCTCAGTTCTCCCTGGAAACTATCATGGTTAATTCCTGATGAATTCATCATGATGAGCCAACTTGCCTGTTTGCATTCTCATCTATCACCCTTCACTGGTGCTTTGCTAGCGTATCCCGTTAGCACAGGCGTGTTACCATACCATTTTCACCCACAAAAAAAAGCCATGGGGGCCTGGTCGCTTGATATATGTTCTTATTTCATATTTGTTGTTTTACATGGATGTATAGTGCACTGTCCTTGTAAATATCTCTTACGGCATCCATAGAAAAAAGAGTATTAAAATATGTTAAACATAAATGTTATAAATTTTCAATTATATAAATATATTGTATGTAATTTTCCATATTACACTAAAATATAAATTATTATGCCATAACCCAAACTACTATTGAGTATACTAAATGATTGACTGGTAGAGAATGTCTATAGCATTAAGTCTGCCTTTTGCATTACATTTTATTGGTCAATAAAATTTGAATAAATATATACTTCTTAAAAATAGGGAACTGTAAAGAAAAAGTATAATTTCTTTTATTTAAATTTGTTTTTATACCTTTCCAGGCTATTATAGTACTCGACACAATAGTCTGTATGTTCTCCAAATATTGCACCAACCAGTATGAGGTACAGCAATGTAAGGTATACAGTCCAGAGGGAACTTATGAACTCTACCCAAAATTGGAATATAGGGAAGAATTAATCAATGTTGATAAAGCAAATAATTATATTGGAATCAAGTAAGTTAGTAGTATATATTTTATATTTTTTATATCTCTTATTCGAAATTGACAGTAAAATTATTGTATAATAACTATTGTAAGCCATACTTTATTGTAATTAATTATGTGGTTATACTCACGTTCGGGGACACCCGACTAGTTTCCAACTCAATAAGAGCCCTTATTTATGAGTGTGGATACTGCGATTTTACCTTACGAATAGACCTGGGAATCAAACTCGCAAAGTGCTATATAATCCCCACCACCACTATTATTTCTTATAAATGTGGTTGAATAACTAATTTAAAAAAAAATGCAGGGATTAAGGCAGAATGATTGCGCTTCCTAGATCATTCTCCATCTACCACAGGGAGACTTTATACAAAAGTCGTCTGCTTGGGTACCTCTGCACCATTCGTGTTTCTACCGTAAAGTAGTTGTATGTGCACAGCTGTGTTTAGATTTGAAAAATATGGCAGTGTAATTACAGAGTACTGAGGCGTAACACCTTAGTCCTTAGGAATGGCAACGCATGAAGGATATCATAAGCGACACAATAAATTCTGTTATGTCCATGGTACTGTTCCTGTTTATAGACGATAGTTACCACCTAAGTTGCATAAACCACTTTCCAAAATTTATTTATTTCTTTATACAAAGATAGTTACATTACAGGGTTTGGTATCTCCTGTTTATTGACATTCTCACTTGCATATACAATTTGTATATTGTAGCGAGGATGGTGACAAGTTGGCGGCATTACTGTCGCGAATGTGCCTGCCGACACGGCTGGCGGAGCCCGCGTCGCTGGCGGTGCGGGTGCCGCCCACCAGGCATGACGTCATACACGCTTGCGACCTCTATGAAGACATCGCCATCGCTTACGGGTTCGTTTCTCTTTAGACGCCTTTTATTGAAATTGGGATTATACCTGTGTTGTTGTCATCCATATATTCTTCAAACAATATTGTTGTGACCACTAGTGTGGTAGTAATGATAGTGTGGGATTACAATGGATCACCACGTTTTTCCTCTAGAATATTAAAAACAGTAAAGGAAACAATGCACCAGAACGAGATAAAGAAAACACGAAAGAAAACCCTATGTCAAACCACCTGCCAGGGTTATACTTTTTTCATATACATATAAGTATATTTCTGATAGATAATTTTAAAAAGGCAGCGAATATTTAACGTTAATTACAACATTTTTTATAATTAATTTTGTTTTTTTTTTTTTTTATTTTATCATTGAAAATGAATTTATATTGATCATTATTATAAGAATTTTGCTACTAACACATAATGTGGATGTAAAAGTCAGAAATTAAAATTATTGTTACCTCCGACAGAAGCACAATCGGCCAGGGTTTAGGGCTTCAAGGAGAAAACCCGACGTATTAAATATAATATAGATATGAAAGTTTTTAATGCTTAATTCATGTTTTATATTTAACATCGTAGTATATCGGAAATACTGAAAATATTTGAAAATTAACTCACAGTCCCTATTTTACCAAAGTCAGTTTGAAAACTCTAAATTACATAAAATTCACATTGACATTTATTTTTCCCATTTTGAAATTATTTTATATTTTACAACCGCATCTTAAGGAGGCGCGCGTGGTGACCACGGGCGCCCCGACTGAGAAGCTGACCGAACAACTGCGGCTCAGTGCGCACACGCAGGCTTCACGGAGGCGCTCACTTTCAACTCGTTAGCTGTTATTAAATATAACATAGAATCCCATTATGAAAGTCAATTTAATGCTTAATTCATGTTTTTATATTTAACATCGTAGTATATCGGAAATACTGAAAATGTTCCGAGCGTAAATTAACTCACAGTCCCTATTTTACCAAAAAACGTCTTTTCATACACGCTCGCCGGTTACGGGTACTTTTAATTTAGCCCTTCTTCAGCACGTCGCCTATTTGGTATAGATCCATACTGATGGAGAAAGAATGAGTCTATGAGAGGAGTTTTGGAAATAGATGGAGAAAGGTAAATGTTATAAAAGCTATTTTTTTTTTAAATTCATATTACATAATGAAATAATTATAACATTCTTACATTGCAGTGTTCTCGAGAAGACATATCAACGAAACTAGGACTCAAAATTGAAGATATACCAGCAGCACACATCTCAAATCCCAAGACGCTGGAGTTCCAAGTAGTTCGAACTGTCCTGCTGCCTGGTTTACTGAAGACACTGGCAGCCAACAAGAAAATGCCCCTACCGTTGAAACTGTTTGAAATAAGCGACGTGGTACTAGCGGATAAGACTGCTGGTTAGTTACTTTATCTCGATTATAACAGATAACAAATAACTCTGCAATGAAAAACCCCATCTAAATGTATATAGATATAGATAAAAATTGATAGAAGAGTTTTTTTTTTTTTTAGTTTATTCATTACAAACCTTTCCTCTTTATAGTTTTTAAATTAAAATGAAACGTCAATCATACAGAGACTGGAGCACGTAACTGGCGACGCATCTGCGCGGTGCACTGCGGGCGAGCGGCCGGGTTCCAGTTCGTGCACGGGTGCTCGACCGGCTCATGTTGCGTATGCCGCTGGCGTTCGCTGCGACAGACGGACGAGCTTACCCTCAGGGCCTGCTCTGACGTAAATTTTTTACATGAACGAATTTTCCTTTTGTGTAAGACGCAAGTAATCACACGTGTTGTGCAAGTAGTTGCACATCACGTGTGAGGTAGCAAACATTTTAAAAAATTAATTATGCCTTAAAATCTTAGAACAGGGTTGTCAGATACAAATATTGATATTTACCCAAATGTTAAATATTTTTTCTCCAAATTAATACGAATTTCAAGACTTTTACTCTGTCACAAACTTGTGTCGTTTTTACTACATTTTGCTACATGTTACAAAAATTGAATGACAAAAAAAAAGACATTTTGTTTTTGTTCTTTTTTTTCTGTTATGTATATTCAAAGTAATGCAAAGTAAATGCACAATATTATATATAAAAATGTTATTGAGGTAATAAAAGACATAATTATTATTATAGAATTTACAAATACTAAAATAATTACCCAAAATTTCCAAATAATTACTCAAATTTATCCAAGCCCATTTTACTTTTTCCAAGACTTTCTGTAAGGATTTTATTTCTCAGAAATGATTACCCAAAATTGCGAAATAAATAGCCAATCTGGCAAGGCTGCCTAAGAAAAGTCGAACATAAAGGGAAATTTATCTGCAGATAAAATGTTCCTTGTGTACCCTAGCCTTTATTACTTATATTACATTCTTTATCATGAAAGCCATTTAAGTTTATTGTTATTATTATTACTGCTAGATGGGTATTGTATAAAGGTATTTATAATCTACCACCTGGCGATTTATTTTATAAAAGGATAATGGTAATCTTTATTGCAATGCTTGGTGTACCAGTCATGTAAAGGATTTGTCCAGTTGACACATCAAGACGATTTCACCAGTAATTAATCCTGGTGGTTTCCAGGGAGGATCGTGGAGATCGACTTGACAAAATAGTAATGGAGCCGCTACCATTAACAATTGTCTTAACTTAGAAAATTAAATCTATATCATACATTCGTTTCATTGAGTACGGATGTGCAAAGGCGCTGTCTCCCATAATGGCAACAAATATATTGAAATGCAATAATTGTAATACAATAGTGAACTATTATCTTTTGTTCAAAATAAATGTGATGTTATGGAACAAAGTCTCATTCGTATTGTTACGACTTCATTTTCACAATCATCAATCTTTTCATACACACTACGAAGATACGAAAGATTATGCGGAAAAAGGACGGTAAAGAGAACGGGATATAGAAAATTTTATCACTATTGAAAAATTCCGATTTTTGTGTTCAGCACTTCCCCATAGTTTTGATCATAGATCTATACAAATTATTAAAAGATATGAGTCGTGTTGCAAGAGGAGTTTTAAAGGAAATAGACGGAAAAAAGATAAAAATGTTATAAAAAGCTATTTTTTTTTTTCACAATATATAAACACAAAATGCAAAAAATTATAATTTTCATTCTTGGATTGCTTCATATTCAGAGAAAAATGGAAATTAAATCGAGAAGACATAAATATCATCGAAAACGCAATCTAATTGTTTGATAAATAGTGAACATAAACGTAAGTGCGAGGGCAGCACACATCAATCAAACAAAACATAGCAGCGGACACGCAAGTGAGTTGAACATAGCCAATAGTCACAACACAGTCCCATCCATTAGTAGTGGAAAAATCATTTGCTGATATTGCTTCTGGCGGAAAATGGAAAAATGGAAAAAAGTCAGAAGATTGGATAGTTGTGAAAAACTTGAAATAGATTTATGGGGAAAAGAGGACAAGCAAGTACAGAACTAGCGGATAAGAGCAGCAGATGTAAAGATACTTTTTATAAATAAAGTTGATAAAAATACTTCCAGGACATATCTTCATATACAAATAACTCTAGCGCAATGAAAAACCCCATGAAATTTCAAATGTATATAGATATAGAGTAAAAAATATGGATAGTCTATGGCCTGATGGAATTTCGTTTCGTCGGTTTTTTTTTTTTAAAAAGACATTTATTGACAAGTTTTTAAATACAAAATAACAATGCATAATAGAACCTCTTTATAGTTTTTAAATTGAAAAGATCAGTAAAATGATAAAACGTCAATCAACATAGAGTCGAGCACGTAACTGGCGACGCTCATGATATACATATTTTAGGTAGCATTCATGATGATTTTGGATATTCTGGAAACTGCGGGCGAGCATTCTTCACGGTAGACCGTTTGGTGGTGTCGCAATATTTCCGGAAAAGTTTTCGTGCAGTGTCGGTGATTAAATGTGAAAGTTCGCGAATAATAGCAATTAATGCAGAGACTAGTGATAAACAAATGGTTATTATGAGTGTTTACATGCCGCGATGTGCGATCTGCTTAGGCGAGATCTGTGCAATTGTTGAGAATAATCCAACGTATTTATTCTTGGTGATTACAATGCGACAGATGGATTCGGTAAGGACGTTTACATTTCTGTACAGAACAACAGCTGATTTGTGCGGATATAGAGAAATTGCTTTGAATTCGATAGTTATACTTTTTTAGCGATGAACGATCATATTTTAGTAACACAAGCTTCTTGGAAGTCTATTACAGAGATAAATATCTTTATGATATATATTGGTCTGATCATTTCCCTATTCAAATAAAATGTAACATAAATATATTAAAAAAATTAATGGAAGACATTGTAATAAAATATTGAATTAGAGACTATGAACAGATACAATTATATAATAATTATTGTAATAAAAAGTTTGAAATTGAGTTCCCATCTGAGCTTGCTAATTGTTGTGATAGAGAGTTTTTTCATAAGACCATAATAAACCAATTATACATAATGAATACATTCAGAAGCTGCAGCTTTACAGGCCTGTCACAAACTTGTAATCGTTTTTACTACATTTTGCTACATGGCAAAAATAATGACTAAAAAAAAGGCATTTTGTTTATGTATAAAGAAATGTATGAGAGTCGTAAGAGATTTTTAAAATGGTGTCAAAATAACCAAGACCAAATAAAAATGGATATAATTCTTTGCCGCTCCAGAAGTGACTTTAGTGGGTTTGGAGAGCGACAAATAGTCTTATTATATAATGGTATTAATTGTCCTAAACAAATAGCTAATATGTTTTATTTTAGAGTAACATAAAGGACAAAACTTACAGTCGACTACAAATGCTTGTAGTAAAAAGAAGTAGGTCAAATGCATAATTTTACATGTAAAATATTTGAATTTATTATAAAGAACATTTAGAGGAAAGTCCCCTGGGCATGATGGCCTTTAGCTTTTTCAGGCAAGACATTTCTGCTCTCAATGGACGTTTTGTATTTCTACCTACCAAGGATATGTTGAAAACGATTGTTGTACCAATACTTAAAACAGGACGAAATATCGGACAGCGGTAATTACAGGCTATATCACTGGCTACAATAACAGAAGGTGTTTGAAGTTTCTTGAACATAGACGACAGGGAAATTTATTTGGCAGATACTGAATCGCCATTCTGTGTCTCAAGCATTTATTACAGATATATTATGCATGTTTCTTTATCATGAAAGCCTTTGATATGGTATCTTTATTTTATGGATTAAATTGATAAGACTACTCCTACAGAGTTAGATGAGGGTAATTGTAATAAAGATATTTATAATCATACCGATTAAAATGCCGGGCGACTTGTTTAATATGTATGTAAATGGCCTAATTGAGGAGCTCAGCGGAATGCATGCTGGGTGTTATATTGATGGAGTAAGCGTCAATAACATAAGCTATGCCGACGACATGGTACTGCTGAGCCCCTCAATTGGAGCTTTAAGAAAAATGCTAGCTGTGTGTGAAGCATACGCGAAAAACCATGGTCTGGTATATAATTCATCATGTAATTATGACATTTGTATCTAGACATAAAAAACCGAAGTATTTTCATATCTAATGGAAATGTACTTGACGTGGTAACTGATTTTAAATATCTCCGCACATTATTGCAAATACTTTAAAAGATGACCTGGATATAGAACGCAGAAGAGTGGCAGTTAGTTAACATGTTGGCCCCATTTTACTAGATGTACAAAACAAGTAAAAATAACCCTGTTTAAAGCTTTTTGTCAGCGTTCACAAGTAGCATATGCTGGCTATAGTCAAAAAACCAATGCTCTTCAGTGTACAATAATGCCTTCAGGGCACTGTTAAGAGAATGTAGTGCGTCACACATGTTTGCACACATACAGATGATTTTTCAATACGACGCAAACGAATTGTTTCCTGGTGGGTAGGGTGCGTGTTAGCTCAAACAGTGTCCTGAAGACAATTGCTGATAAAATGGACTGTCCCATCCTAAAATATTGGGTGGGAATGGTTATCAATGTAGTGACCGCTCATTTTAACAATTATCAATTTGTAACTAACAAAATGGGCCTTATGTTGTCTAATTAAATAAATATTATTATTATTATTATTATATATTTTAAATTACTATAAACTTAATTAATAATCATTTCTATATACAGATCCAGCGTATTTCCCTGGACGTTGTGCAGAAGTCGTAATGGACGGGCAAGTTATTGGCAAAATAGGAGTTATCCATCCGACTGTGCTGGCAGCTTTTGACCTCACCAATCCTTGTTCAGCGGTTGAAATCAATATAGAACCATTTGTATAAAATATTATAATAAAAAAATATTTATTTATTTTGCATTTTTTTATATTTCTCATTTATTATTCATTTGGTTAGGTCATGAAATATTAAAACTGAATAATTCTAAGTGTTTTGATATTTGGACTAGTCGTATTTCAGTAACTTTTAAGTATTGCAATGATTTTCTTATGGATTGGCAATACGCACGTTGTACGAAAATGGACGTAATTCATATAATATTTGTTGCCAAAGGAGTTTCACTGAAATGCTTTCGTCGAAGCTTATGACAGCACTGTCAGCTATATTGATTTACGATCTTGATATATTTTTTTTTTAATTCAAATATGTAGAAAATATGAAAAAAATTTACCAACACTATGTTTTCCCATACAGAATACTGATGTTCTTTGTGACATCAGTATCATGTGAATTAATTTTACTATAAAACGCCCTTTGTCGAGGCCCGACGTGCGCCATTTAAAATAAATTGTACATTAGTGTAAATTTAAAGAACCATTGGTTAATAAATATATAAAATATGTTGCTGAAAAAATTTATTGAGTGTTTCATAAAAAAAAAGAGCACAAACAATTATAATAGTGGACTATTAATCACATTTATTTTATATGCATATACCTACCTAATATTAAGTAGAATGACGTTCTAACTAGAACAAGTGAACAATATTTAATTGTTTATCACGTCATAAAGATACTTATAATGTTTACTAGCTACATTTTGCCAAACATTTTAAATTGATAACAAGAAATTATTTACAATAGTAATTTATATATACTATATGATATATTTCAACATCCAAAATCATTATTGTTAAGGCACTTCCATTTTAATTGACTATGTTTTAACATTGGCAAACAGAAAAGAAATAACCAAGTTTCGTATGCTACGCGATACATATTTGTACGTGCATATCTTCATATGATTTTTATATGAGTAAGGTCTCTACCCATTATCAAATATTTTAATAAACAGTACTACATCAATTAGGCTACTAATGGTATGGTTGTGGTTTAGATAAGTACTACTTTAGTTACTTTAAGCCTGTCAAATTTCGAATTTGATAATATTCACTGTTCACCCTTTCTTTAAACTAGAGAAGCTAAGATTACTAGCTCATGTGTATTGGCTGCTTAAAAATAATGAGATTTACAAAGGCTTTAACTTTAACATTATACGTATATAAAACAATAACGACAATCTTTACCAACCACATAATATTATAATCCTGAAATCCTGAGTGACTACTCGTCATTGTTGACACTACTACAGCTTTGAAAATCAACTTTATGTAGATTTTTGTATATATAGATAATAAATAAAAATAAATTTCATACTGTCTCCACCAAGGTAGTTGAGGAAACTTATTAGAATACAGAATATGTATAAATTAACAATATGTAAATACAATAACATCTGTAATAAGTTGGTACTTTAAGTACCTATCTCTCCAGAGCGTAAAATGTATTCTAACATTAAAAAATACTGATCCTAAATACTGTAAATACTATTATTGTTGCAAATTAAATTATTAGTTGACACATTCACAACACAACCTATAAACTATAATTAATAATATTTAAATTCATCGATATTTATAATACCTTTTGTCATGGAGAGTCACATAATTTTTACATTTCACTACATCAAAGATCATCATGATTGAATGTCTAGTAAGAAAAATGTATAATTGGGATGTTTATGTATTTAAATTAGGATTTTCTTCAATAAATGTACAATTTACTTCTGACCTCAAGCACCAATTCATGACAATCTTACACATAAAACAGTTCAGCTAATTTTTTGTCTAATGTAATGCTGAATAACATGTGTGTACATAAAGTGTATATTAATTGACTATATTTAAACAGTATTGTTTTGAAGACAATTATTCCAAGTACTGTTACAATATAAATGGCGGACGGATATCTAAGCTGCTTCTCATTAAAAAAACATCATAATTCATTTAATTTCATTTCAATCAAGTAATAATTGTATATCAAACATTTTTTCTAACTCAGATCTGTTAAAGTCTGGGGCTATAATGAACGGGCAGAGATAAAATGAGAGTTCTTGAAGATTTGGTGCACTAGTCTTTATTACTTTAGCAACCTGCATAGTAACATGCAAACACCTGGACAGGCTCAAGTATGTTAGATTTTGAAAAGTGTTATTTGAGAAATATGCAAGTAAAGCACTTGTAGAGAAATACCCATGACGAAGTTTCAGAGAATGTAAATTTTTCAATCTATACAAGTGTAATAAACTTGAATCGAATAAAGTTTTACAAGTCATTATATGTAGCACCTGTAGAAATTTGCAGTTCGATATATACCTTATAATATCATCATTTAATGTGTCCCCATAAATATGCAAAGCCCTCAATGAGGACTGTTTGGTTCTCAATAAGGATTCTAGAAAATCAGCTGGAATATTTTTCATTTTCTCCATGCTAATACTCACTAAATTTGTACACTGCAACATGCTATACAGACTACTTTGTGTCAATGCAAAATTTGATAATACCAATGTTTCTAAATTTTTCAATTTTTCAAATGGTAGATGGTATACAAAATTTCCATTAGCATTTTCTGGATTCTGAACAATCAAAGAGTTACGAAAACTCAAGAATTTTAAATTAGGCCAGTGTCCCAGATCTTCAAAAATACAACTATCAACTTGAGAAATACTGATTTCTAAATGGGTCAAATTAGGGCAGTAACTTATTAGGGAAGATCTAACTTGAGAATACAACTTGAAATACTGTAATTTAACATTTTTTAAATACTTAGCAACAAAAGGCACAATACTTTCACTAATCCTGACATAATTCTTCATACAGACTATAAGCCGTGTGTTGTCCCAGACGCATGGTGTGAGGCACAGTTGCTGCCACCTCATGCAGACTTTAGCAATGGCTAAAAGTGACTCAAAGTCAATCATGGAAAAAATATATATCAGTATTTCATTTGGTAGGTCATTTATGGTAAGAGTGTTGCTGTTTAACTGAGCACCTGTCATCTCGAGGTGCACCATGCTCGATGACAGCAGGCCCCCCTATGGTAGCACTGCAACCAATAAAGTAGAATAAGAACAATGAACACTACTTATGGAACTACAATAAAAATCACAAAAGTAATATTGTTGCTAACTTTGAGAAGTTGAAATATAATCAATTCATTAGTCTTGAAACAAAGCAGCTACTTCCCTAATTAACTTTAAGGTCACGAACCTTAGGTAAAAATGAATATTGTTTGTATATATATGTATATTAATATCCACGCTATAACTGTATAACAACATACATCATTACCTCAGATTTACCTTGCTTCCTATTTGAGATAATCGTAATGTTTGCATTAGTAAAATCATAATTTATGTACTTTTTTAGACACAGATGTTCACAATGTAAAAAATAACTCAAAAGTAATACGCTTCATTTGGAATTAAATATTGCATTCTAAAAATAGTGAGAATGAATGTTTAATAAATCAATTTTTAAAAGAAATATTAAAAATAACTTTCATCTTGATACTATTTTTGTATGACGGAATTGATGTATCTGACATTAGATAGAATTGACTTTGACATTCTAGGCAAGGAATATTTTTTAGTACGTTTGTTCCGTTGTAGAACAGGCTAAGGTCGGAAAACATGGTGCCTAGTCTTTAATATGATAATTTGGAATGCAAGAAATACTTAAAATGTCAAGTGTGTCAGTCATCATCTGTACCATAGAAAAAAAAAATTTTTTTAACCTCATGATGATTTAGCTGACATATCAGATGGCGAAGGCTAAATCCGGCCCCCTACTATGACCGACCAACCGTAGGACTGGCCCATATTATACCTAGATATCTAAAGTGATGAGATAGATAATGTTTTTTTTTTCATGGGTGATAATATTATAGTAACTCCGATTGCGCGATCGGTGCCTATACACTGGTAGAATACCAATACAAGATAATAGGTGAAAATGAAAGCAGGCCAGTTAGCCCATCGCGACGACTTTAGCAAGATCAAATCTAGATTCCAAATAATCCGTTATAAAAAATTCTAAAAGCCGGACCTATACTGAAGACGTTTGCTCACAAATACAAACAGCACAAATCTTTGCATGTTTTTTTTTTACAACACAGGGAGCAAACGAGCATGCGACTCACCTGATGGTAAGTGATTACCGCCGGTCACAAATCTATAGTTCAGATATAAACTCTAATCAAAAGCAGCTTAATTATCCATATTCTCTTTATATTACTATACTCTCTGTTATTGATGTTGAATTATTAATGATGAATCCTTTACATAAATAATTAACTGATCTTGAAAATATCTCATTAGTAAACATGGGTTAGGGAAAATTTTGATTTTGTTCTTCTGTGGTTTCGCTACATTGTCACATTGGTTCAAACTGTTACAGGCATGTGACGGTAAATTAAGTGTTGAGAAAGCATTTTCATGTAAAATATATGTAGTAATTTTTTAAAAACTTTATGTACATTCTTTCGAAGTTTTCCTCACATATTCTATATTTTTCACATTACTAACATACTTCCCTCCCTTCCCCATCGCCATTGCCCACATCTAGGTAAACGCGAAAGAAATCGTATCGATTTGGAAAAAAATATATGTCATTTGGGTAAAAAATCAAAAACAGCATCTGGCAACCCTGGAAGGAGAGTGAGATCTCATAAGGCACTCGTGCATCTATAACTACATGTATATGTCTGTATTATATCTTCTTATCTTACCTAGTAGAATCTATAGGATAGTTAAAATGATACATACTTATTTTTTTATTATTGTTCTTACATATTTGCAGTATCTACTTACACGTATATTTTCATTTTTTACATTCAGACATTCTTACATACACTTGATGAAATGCTAAAACAAACGATTCACATCAACCGTGAATTCGAGCACTGGCTGACGCTAAACCAGTGCCTGTCGTCTTTACGCTCACATACTGCCTTCATGCTTACAATAATGAATAGTTACGTGAAAACGTGTAAACCACTCCAGAAAGTCGTGATGATATTAAATGTAGTGAATAATAATAAAAATAATTACTGAAACCTTTCAATATTCGCAATTTCATTATTTACAACGTAGTCATAGATTGATATCTACACATTCTATAGCTTACTTCTTTTTTATACCTACCACTGAGGTGGCAAACAAACATACCTATGGACTGCAATGCCAGGGGTATTAAGCGTGCGTTGCCGACTCTTGAAAAACCTTTTTATAATTATTTATTATAAGTATTTATTTATAAAGATACATACTACGGTACTTATTGTCATATAATAATATCTAATGTGTTAATAATTTATGCGGCGAAAATATTCGACGTGTTTCGAATATTGCTCGTAGGTATAAACACCGAATTCAGGCACTGACCGAGTTAGCACAAACCGGTTTTTTCCAATCGAAGCGAGTACGCGGCAAGTGGCTAGTATCAAAGTGCCAACGCAAACGAGCCGAGTTTGTCACTATTCCTATCTGAGTAGATTTGCATCTGTAGACAAATATTTTTAAAAACTTTACACTTTAAAAAAAAATAAAAAAAAAGTAAAAAAAAGTATTTTTTAACTTTTTTTTTATTTTTTTTTTTTTATTTTTTGTTTACATTCCTAAATTATTTCCCTGTGGTATAATAGTAGTAGCTCTGACGTCAGGGAAAAGGCGTAGCCTGGTGGCGCACTGTGGCCAAGTTTATTATCTGAGGCTTCCTTATCTAAGGTTGAGTAAAACGAAAAAATATTTTTGTCTATTTATTTATAGAGGTAAATTAATAAATAAATACATCTAGAAAGAAGTACATTTAAGTGAATCAAAATACTATTTATAAAACCGGTGGTAAATAAGTTGCTGCTGGCGTTGATACAGTGCCGTATCCTGAAGGAGGCAAATATCCGGTAGTCGGTGATGGAGCCGGAACTGCAATGGGAGCTGGGGATTGGGCTGGAGTGGGTGCAGGAAGTGGTTCGGAAGGAGGAGCAGGTTTCGGAGGCAAATAGTTTGTTTCAGGCACCTGGACAGGGCCAGGTGAACTAAACTGTAATGTGGTTGGACTTAACGGTTTAATCGGCTCAGGTGTGCCACCTACAGATGGTACATTGGCTGATAAACTGACATCTACCTGAGCGTTGCCTCCCGCTACAGGAGGTAGATACTTAGGAGCATTAGTCGACACACTGTCAGAAGCAACTATATTCGGTGCGGTTGATGTTGGTACGTTGTAATTGTAACCACTGGGGCCCGCGCCCGAAGATGCCTGACTACCAGACGTGGCAGCATTTTGAGTTCCGTAGTTATAACCGGAAGATGTTCCACCCGAACTTGCCTGTGAACCTGACGCGCCTGAGCTTTGGCTGCCATAATTGTACCCGCTTGCACCGCTAGCAGATCCGCCAGTAGCAGCTGTAGAAGCCGCAGTGGAACTTGAGTAGCCGATATTGACGGTATCGCCACTCGATGGAACTGGATACGCGTAATACATTTGCTGCTCCCGTGTCCTGTCAACAGTTGGCGCTTGAGTGGAGACAGTCGAAGGTCGCGTTGGTAGATCAAACGATATATTCGGTTTATTATACACGTACCCATCTTGACGCTTCACACGAACAATTTCTGGACTGTAGTCTTGTGGGGATGACTGCACATCGAGAAAATTTGCTTTTACATTTAAAGTGATCAGATATATAAAGCCAATTGCGTATTTTATACGTACAAACATTTTGTAAACACGTTAAGGTATATTGATTTGTTAACTAGACATCTATCTGCAAAAAGACAGCTTCCATTTTAGTTGCCATTATTTATAATAATTTTGAGGAAGTTACCTCTGCAATATTGTGACATACTTCCACTGTTAACCCTTCAACTGTTTATTTATAAAATTGTATTACAATACATTGTTTTTTTCTATTTATAAAAAACTGAGAAAATAAAATAGAATAAAGAAAGTAACTGATGAGGACAGAGTGCTTAAGGTTTCTAAGAATATGCAAATGATGTTGCATTTGTGACCAATTTCATTGTTTGTACTTTCTTATTCCTCCAGTTTTTACAATAACACTAATGGAATCGTGATTAACACTTCTTTTAAATAAATATATCAATATCATTTAAACTCAGCTTGATATACACTACAAATAATTGTATTACTGTCTGAGTACCTTTTACTTATTATGAGAAGCCCACCGCTAAAGGGTTAATGTGGTTTAGCAAAATTACGAAGTAAGAAGATTAACAGAATGCAATTACTTTTAGTGTTATACCTATTTACTTGATAATAATATTCTTTGTTTAGGAATTCATTGTAGCAGTAATGAAATATTAGGAGTACAAATAAGTTTCCGCCGTTTTATTGTGGATGGCGCGGCACGGAGTTTCGGTTTTTCGCAGATGATCTTAAAAAATAGTTTCGACATTCAAGACCAACATAACCTATTAATATTATTGATTTGATATTGGTAAAATATAATTTTTATAACTTGAAAATGTCAAAATTTGAGCCAAATAAGCGTCATTTGCGGGAAATATTAATTTACTTCTTTAATTTAAAGAAATCTGCTGCTAAGGCGCATCAATTGCTCGTAGAAGCATATGGTGAGGGTGCTTTTGAGAGAACGTGTCGAGAGTGGTTTCAAAAGTTTAAAAACGGTGATTTCGACGTAGAAGACAAAGATCGCAGTGGAAGGCCAAAAATTTACGAGGATGCAGAATTGGAGGAATTATTGGAGGAGGATTCATCTCAAACACAAAAAGAACTTGCTCTAACATTAGAAGTCACTCAGCAAGCAGTCTCACATCGTTTAAAATCATTAGGAATGATTCATAAACAAGGAAATTGGGTTCCGTACGAATTAAAGCCGAGAGATATTGAACGCCGATTATGCTTAAGTGAAATGCTGCTAGCTAGACATAAAAAAAAGGGTTTTTTACATCGTATCGTAACTGGTGATGAGAAGTGGATACATTATGACAATCCAAAAAGAAAAAAATCATGGGGATTACCTGGCCACGCGTCAACATCAACAGCAAAACCGAATATTCACGGAAAAAAACTTATGCTGTGTATTTAATAAGGTGTAGTGTATTATGAGTTGCTTAATCCGAGCGAAACAATTACTGGAGCCCTCTATCGAACACAATTGATGAGATTGAATGAAAGAAAAAATATATCTAGACACGAAAAAATTATTCTTCTGCATGACAATGCTCGTCCACATGTTGACGTAAAAAAGATTTGGAAACACTTGATTGGGAAGTGTTACCCCACCCGCCGTATTCACCAGACATTGCACCGTCCGATTATCACCTGTTTCGGTCCATGGCACATGCTCTGACAACGCAGCGGTTTACATCTTATGAGGATACCAAAAATTGGGTTGATTCGTGGATAGCCTCAAAAGACAAGGAGTTCTTCAGACGTGGAATTCGAATGCTGCCTGAGAGATGGGAAAAAGTGGTTGCAAGTGATGGGCAATATTTTATATAAATCTATATTACCGTTCTTCTATAATAAATATTTAATTTGTGTTAAAAAACGGCGGAAACTTATTTGTACTCCTAATAAAAGATTTTTATCTTCATCAACCGTTTTGTCTTTTTAATAATCATGTAATTTTAGACATAGTTACATTTAAATAAATATATCTGTTTTTATAAACGTGACAGAGATTTAAAAGAATAACTGTTGAATTTCTTGCGGGCTCCTCTCAGCTGATAACAACTTTCCGAACCCTGCAGTAAATTAAAAAAAGAAAAAAAAATTCAACAAGTCCATTTGAATAAAGATGATTTGAATTAAAAAAAAATATTTTGACAAATTTTGGCTAATTAAATAAATAATTAGGCCAAATAGGTTGAGAGGGTATGTATAAAACACACCTATTTCCTTCTAATGCTACATTGAATAACAGATACCTACTAGCCGACCTGATAGAAATTGTAAACCGTCGCCAAAAATATAAAATACTTATGTAGTAGGACGTAATTTGATACGTCTTACTACAGTAAACTTTCTGGCCGACAGTGTGGTGCTTACTTTTTCAAAATATTGTGAGAAAAAAACTTAAAAAAGAAATCAAAGACTGTAAACATTTGGGTGGAGGGAGTCTTTATTATTTGAAAGGGAGTCGGTATTATCTGAAAAATATTAAATAAAAACATAAGCACATTTGTCGTCTGCATACTCTACTCTCTTACAATGATATTAATTACAATGGCTCGTTATAGTATAGTAAACGAGTATATCCAACGAGTTAAAGTGAAAGGAAATGTTAGTGTACGCACACGCTGGGTCCATAGTAAACGTTATATTAGTGTCTCGCTGTATTTCTGGTTCGTATGCACTCATTATTTTTTTTAACTTATTCTCTTAAGTAACAATATAAATGATTCAAATCAGCCAGATAATGGCAGGAATTAATAACTACATGCCTACTTGTACTAGAAGTGTGTTCGAATTTTGAATATTAAAAACAACAATATTCGTTTAAACACTTAATAACCAGTTTTTTTTTTAACAGTGATCAACCGAATAGTGATTAGGAACTTCGTACATTAATTGTTTAGTTAATTAATACATTAAATGCCTATCTATTCGTATTTACTTTATTATTACATATAAAACGATTACAATGCATTCTATGAACTCATGAGTTTCATCTATTCCCTGAAGTTAATATATACCAACTTCTTAATATTCAACTATTTAATTAATAAATTTATGCAAATTTAAAGATTATAGTCTTGTTTACTTATTTATTTTTATTTCAGTATCACTTATTTTGATTAACAAACTCAATATGCACTTGTTTTTCTCGATGCGTTTCTCAACTGTTGTGACGGCCTTCAAAACAAGTTTAAAATTTAGCCAAATGTTCAGTGGCACAAGCGTAGGAAGTATCTATTTTAATTTAAAATTAATTCATGTTAAATGTTATTAATATTGAATATTATAATTACTTCATACTTAACATATACGTGTACATTAAAACCTTTAAATTATTTAATGTAAATTATGTACAATAAAGATTTTAGAATACACTACAATACTTTTTTTTTTTAAAACGACTAAAAAATGGATTGCATATCTGTGTTTTTTTTCTTTATTTTACTTACTTGGTTTCACCTTAACTGCAAGTGTATTACTGCATTTCAAGGAGAGTCTAGTGGGTCGTCGCCACGCCCAGAAATACCCAGATTTGTTTGGCGCACCCCCCAGGGTTGAGTTGCTTTCAGTTATAAACAAAAATATGTCTAAAAATAAATATGTTTCCTTTTTAAGAAGCCGGGCTCCTCCTACATGATGATCTTAAATACGCTAACGCTTAGCTCTTCATCTTATAATGGCCAGCAGATAATTTTTAAAGTCGGTTGTATTCAAGTTTAGAAAAATAAAGTTGCAATCACTATGGATAGAAAAATAACAAAATATAATAAAATATTTCATAATTAATCGAGTCGGAATTTTATCGAGAGTTTTAAAACTATTACAATTTGCAATTTCGGGTGGAATTTAACTTAGAAGATACCTAACATAATGTCAATTAACACGTATTTCATATAAAACATGAAATCACCTAAATGTCCGATTCGGTTTCCGTGATTTCTAATTTTAATTTAATTTTTTTCCCAAAATTTAATTTTATTAAATTTCCCAATTTACAATGATTTAGAAAATTTAGAAAATGGTGAAAAAGATATATAAATGCTATTTATTTTATATCGCATTAAAATTAAGGCATTCTTAGGTTACACTATCCGTTTACCATCAGACGGGATATATGTCTTTTTTGCCACCTTCGTGGTATAAAAAAAAGTGACAATGAACGCATTGCAAATATTAATATTACTATTTCAGGTAATTATTGCAGCTGTGTATACCCGTTTCAACTAGGTATTTCTCAAACAACAATACCTACATTTTCTGAACAATGGTGCTCAAACTGTACGCGGTGTGTGACGGGCCGCCATCTTTGTCGGTACGTCAAGCGTTGGCCAAGCTAGAGTTGCCTTTCGAATTGGTCGAGGTGGACTATTGTACAGGAGCTCACATGACATCCGAATATGCATTGGTAAATAAAGAGATATTTATTTCTTACTAGCTGTTTGAATCCGTATTAGCTGCGTATAAAATCCGTTTTGCTGTTTAAGCGTAATTAATTAACAAACATACAAACGTCGTTACAAAATTTTACATCTATAATACTAGTAAGATAATAGTAGTCCTTACTAATATTATAAAAAAGGGGAAAAGGGAAAAAATAAGAAAAAGTGAGTTTGTTATGTTTAATTCTTGTCGAATTAATCATGGTGGGCCAACTGACCTGCATTCATTCTCACCTATCATCTTTCACTGGTGCCTCGTCGGTGTATACCGATAGCATGGGCCATTACCATTCCATTTTCACCCATTAAAAAAAATATTATAAAAAATTAAGTGTTTGCTTGTTAAGTTATAGCGCCTTAACGGCTTAACCAATTACTATTAAGTTTTTTTTAATAGTCTTACCTGCGCTAACGGTATCCGATGGCGGGGCACCAGTGAGGGGTGATAAGTGAGAATGAAAAGGCAGGTCAATTAGCCCATAGTGATGAATACATTTGGTATTCAGTACGATGGTATCCAGGGGGGACCACGTGGATATCGACTTCACGGTATATTGCTAGTATTGGAACTGGTAGTCCGCATTACTAAAAATCCTTTTCCGCCATTACAATGAAGTTTGGTATACACATACTATATAGCATGAAGATAGTTATAGGCTTACGTTTTATCTCTGTCAGCGAACATTCCCCGGTCACGCGGACAAAGTCGTGAATAAAAGCTAGTAATTAATATAGTCGAGAAGTAACATATCAAGCACAGAATCAAAATATAAAACTATTTTATTGGATTTTATACCAAAATCGGTCAAATCCCTGTATTTTCGAAAATAAATAACTTTTCCAATGAAAAGTCCTTCAAATATTTCATGCTTACAAAACAAGCGGTCACGTAATCTGCTTAAGTCCAAAATAGTTTTTAATGGGTAGACTACAGTCAAAGAACTACATTTCATAGGTAAAGGTAAAAAATAAAATTAATTACATACTATTTGATTAACATTGTTGTTTCATTAATGACTTATTTATTTATACTTATGCACACATTAAAATCCTGATGGCATTCTCTACCGTTTAATATCAGTAATTCTGTAATTTTTTTTTATGTTAACTTTATTTCAATATCTTATAGTTTATGCAGTTATCAAAAATATATATTAATTATATACAAAATTTTACATACATAGAAACATATCTGTCACGCCTGTCTCCCATTAGGGTAGGCAGAAACAATGGAACGCCAAATGCTTCGATTCAAACAAACCTCTTTCGCTTCTTCCACATTCATCAATCTTGTCATACACGCTCGTCGGTTACGGGTACTTTTAATTTGGCCCTTCTTCAGCACGTCGCCTATTTGGTCGACATACGTCCGTCTAGGGCGTCTAGGGCATTCTTGCTCGATAAATCTCTTTCGTAATTCTTCTTTCATCCATTAAAAAAAAAAATACAAAATTTTATATATATTATATATATAAATATGTTAAAAATATAGTCTATCTATTATATACACACCTGACATCTACCTGCTATAAATATCAAGAACAAGTACTTAGAAAATTATTTAAATATAAAAAAATTCTTTGAGATCACTGCCAGTTGGTAAGGTACCTCAGTAATTCTAAATCTATCTATATTGCTAGATTTTGAATTACATTCGTATGACTGGTCCCTTTCCTCTCTTCTGGTGTAAAATCATAATTATATTCCAGATGAATCCTCAAAAAGAAATACCGGTGTTGGACGACGATGGATTCTACCTGAGCGAGAGCAACGCCATACTGCAGTACCTCTGTGACAAATATAGGCCCGGCACGCCTTTATACCCAGTGGATTCTAAGATAAGGTCAGCCAATGCTTATTCTATGAACTACACAAGGAAATAATATCATGCTAGGAATACCTAAGTAAGAAGAGGGGGAAAGGGTTTGTTAGTAATGTGGACTACCAGTCCCATTGCTAGCAATATACTCGTACCTAATTGAGTCAACCTTCTCGTTCTCCGTGAAAACCGTCGTGTTGAATTCCAAGTGTATTTATAACTGGCCTGCTTTTTTGGGGAGAAGGGATCGTTAGTAATGCGGGCTACCAGTCCCATTGCTAGCAATATACCCTGTCAGGTCGACCTCCACGCGGTTCCCTCTGGAAGCCATCGTGCTGAGTTCCAGGTGTATTAATTACGATGGGCTGACTGACCTGCTTTTTTCATTATTCACTTATCATCCCTCACGGTGCTGACGGTGCTCCGCCAGCGTATACCGTTAGCGTAGGCGGGGTTACCATTCCATTAATCATGCATTAACACTAGAAAAAAAACTGGCCTGCTTTTTCGATCTCACCAATGATCTCTCACTAATGCTCCACCAGCGTACTTCTGTTTTTTTTATGAATGACAATGGAATGGTTATCCCGCCTGCGCTATCAATATACACTGGCAGGGCACCAGTGAGGGTTAAGTGAAGACGAAGCAGGTCAGTTAGTTCATCGTTTATTTTATTTTATAATTATAAATTCACTATGTCTAATCAATCACGATGTTTTCCAAGGGCAACCGCGAGGAGGTCGACCTGATAGAGTATTTTGCTAGTAATAAGGTACTTATCCCCATTACTAACAATCTCTTTTCTCCTCAGCGTATACTGTTAACGCAAAGGCCGGCAGCACACCTGCAATGCCGTTGCTATTGTGGATCATGAGCGGCAGTAGTCACTTTAGTGTTGTGAGAAATGATCGGAAACTCGAGCTCCGAGTCGAAGTAATGAGTCTTTTGAGTGTTAAAGGTGCTCGTTTACCCCTGTGTTGTAAAAAAAAGACCACTCTATTGTCATTCATGAAAAAAACCTAAGTATAGATAATTTGGTGGCAAACAATCTGCAGAGTAGCGTATCGGAAATATTAGTAGAAGACACTAATAGTGATAAATTCACTATTAGCGACTTCTACTATGAAGCGACTTCTTTTATGATTCTGAATGGTGAATTACTGTTTATTAGAGTGTTATTTTCCGCCTATACAAAATTGTATACCCACCAGTTACAACATGAGTTAACATAGCCAATGTGGAAGGAAAAAGGATTCTTAGTAATGAGAATCTAAAAGACCCATTGCTAGCAATATACTAGGTCGACCTTCACGCAGCTCCTCCTGGAAACCATTATGTTTAACTCGTATAGAATTCGTCACGATGGGCTAACTGGTCTCCTTTCATTCTCACCCATCATCTGTCACTGTTGTCTTGCCGGTGTATGCCGATAGTGCAAGCGGTAAAGTATGATTAATTGTATTTATTTTTCAGAGCCATTATAAATCACCGACTGTGCTTCAATTTATCAACATACTACGCCAATATCAGTGCATATACGGTAAGTTTTTCTTTCACATTTCGTCGAATACGTCACTTTCCATTACCTACATACATTACCAGAGGAAGACTTTGAACAAAAAGTCGATTGCTTGGGTACCTCTGTCCCATTCGTGTTTCAACCATGAAGCAGTTGTGTTCGCATGGCTGTGTTTCGGTTTGAAGGGTGGAATATAGCGTGCATTTACTGGGTACAGAGGAATAACACCTGAGTCCTCAGGAATTGCAACGCAAGCGGGGTATCATGGGCAAAACAGTATACTCTATTATGTCTATGGTACTACTAATGTCTATAGGCGACGGTTACCACTTTCCATCAGGTGGGCCGTCAGCTTGTTTGTCATTCTAAGTTGTATAAAAAAAATTTAAACGATGGTATAAGAATAGTAGCTCCACCTGCGCTATCGGATATATCATCAGTCACTGGCTGGCATCATATATTAGTCGGTAGTCCCCATTATTGACAATCAGTACCCCTTACCTCCGCCTACATACGATTTTTTTAATGGATGATAATGAAATAGCAACCCCGCCTGCGCTAATGATATACCAGTGAGAGATGATTAATGAGGATGAAAAGACAAGTCAATTTGCCGATCGTGATGAATTTACCTGGAGTCAAACATGATGAATTCACCTAGAATCAAACATGATGGTTTCCAAGGGAGACTGCGAGGAGGTCGTCTTGACAGGGTATATTGCTAGTAATGGGAAAACTAAATTCCATTACTAACAATCCATTCCCCCATCTGCATACATTACATACTTTTAGCATTAAGTTCGCCATGTACACATATATGAACTAATAAATAAAAAAATGCAGTGCTACAAACAGGAATGAGAATTTATAGTAATGGCAATACCCCTTTCAGTTAAGGCTGGACATTATTGACACCTGGTGGAGTTTGGAATTCATCTTTATAAGATAGAACATCCTTGTACTACTTCCATACATATTTATATACATATCTTGAATACGGCGAAACTGGTCAGGTAATGAAATATAGTTAAATAAATATATGTAGAAGTAGAACAAGGATATCCTAATTCACAAAGATAAATATTCCATTTATTATAGCACATAATCTAAGTACATACAGCACTGATAACTTACTAGGGTTTCGTGCTAAAAAATTACAAAGTACTCCGTATAAAGGAAGTGCGTGCACTCGTAGGTACATATAGTTAGATAAGTAGGTTATGTTATATTTCATCATCATCAGCATTTGACTGTCCACTGCTGAACATAAGCTTCCCCCTTGGGGGGTTTTACCAGTAGTTACCATGTTTAGCAGGCGAATTGGCAATCGCAGTCAGGCTTTAGGGATGTTTTAAGAGAGACGTTGCTGCCTATTTCTCGCCCCTCTTAGTCGGCTTTTATGATACCCACAGGATAGGAAAGGGTGGCCTATTCTATGCCGGGACCACACGGCCATGTTGTAGTTGGTTTGGCAAAAGTCTCAAAAATGATATTTAAAAAAAAAATTCCAACTAATGTTGGTAAAACTTAATACTTATATATGTTTATCAGCTAGAGATCATTGAACCCAGACAATGTTACCGTGATAATCGTATTACAAACATCACCTACTTATCCAATAAAAACAGGTCTTGTTTACTGTCTATAGAAAAACTAGTATAATTTAGGAATCTCTTTCTTTTTTATTACTTCTCTTTGTTGAAAATATGGTAATCGAAATTTTGTTGTATAGTTTTTGATATTGTAGACATCTTCATATTAAACTGACCTCGAGCCTGCAAATCTTTTCATACATTGATAGGTAATATTTACACGCTTTTCTTTAACCTCCCTCATTCACAACTTAACTCATGAAGAATATCACGCTTGTTCTAAATGTGTTTTTAATGAACACATATTTTTGTTATTACTGGTATATTTTTCAACTAGTGGTACCACTTTGACCACATAGCCCAAAGAACTGACAACCGATGGTAAAGAAAGGCTCTTGAGTAGCGACCTCGTATAGGCAGTGTAGGACAACCCCTTCCCACCCCCACTAGATGGAATTACGACCGCAAATGCATTTTTTTTATACCACTGAGATGGCAAACAAGCATACGGCCCACCTGATGGTAAGTGGTTAATTGCAGAGAGTTTTTTTTTTATGGGTGAAAATGAAACAGTAACCCCGCCTGAACTGTCGGTATACATTATCTGGGCACCAATGAGGAATGATAGATGAGGATTAAAACAGGTCATTCGGCCCATCGTGACAAATTCAACAACACTTAATCACCATGGTTTCCAGGGGGAACCGCGTGGAAGTCAACCTGATATGGTAATTTGCTAGCAATGGAGTTGTGATATCCTATTGCTAACAATCCCTTTCCCCCAATTGCAGGGAATCTGTGGATACAGATGGCTCAGGAGCGTTATTTATGGCAATATATGGGGGAGGCCTATATTCAGCAGTGAACATGATGGCTGACTAAATGGCTGAGATGATGATGCTGAGTTGTCAAAAATCAATAAGTACTTATAATTTGTTTGTTTCAGATGGCACCAATATTCTTTGATTACGAACGCAGCCCATTAGGTCTGAAGAAAGTCCATATGGCGATGGATGTTTTTGAAACTTACTTAGAACGTCTGGGGACGAGCTATGCTGCAGCAAATCATGTCACCATCGCAGATTTCCCACTTATTAACTCCACGATGACACTTGAAGCTATTGATTTTGATATCTCAAAATACAAAAGAGTATGTATATATTAAATTCATATACAGTTCCGATAGTATAATGTGATTGTTGCTAATGATTTTTCGATCATACACCACTAAGTGATTTTTAATGATCAAATCCATAACGCTAACACGTTAAATATATTGTGATCTAAATATTATCTTATTAAAAAGTTATATTCTTATATTACAGATTAATAAATGGTATAATGATTTTAAACAAAACTATCCAGACTTATGGAAGATTTCTGAGGAAGCAATGAAGATAATCCAACATTTTGCTGCAAATCCTCCCGATTTATCCGGTCTGAATCATCCTATCCACCCAATACGTAAAGTTAAAAAATAGAGATATATTAAAATAACGCATTTATTTCTTTATACAACAACACAATAATTGTACATCAAAATAATGAACTAATACATAAACTGAATTTAACATTTATTGTTTGTACTTATTTCAAATAATAAATTTAACTTTACAATCGCTTCTTTGTCCAAATTTATTTTAAACACATCTCTTCATGTAACCGAGGCAAGAGTTTGTACAGCAATCAGTATGAAAATTACACTGAAATTAGAAAAAACATTTTTTTATTATTGTTGGTATAACTTCATTGGTCATATGTGAGGTGTAATTTTTAAAAGAAAAAAAATCATATAAAACGATTGCTAATCCAAAATTCAAATTGGTAAATGAAATAAAGTCCGCAAAATAATTTTGCTTGACGTTATTAAATATAAGTACATGGTTTCTTTACGAAGGATTCCAAAGCTCAGATTCTAAAGCAGATGATGACAGTGATAATATAATGACACTATCTTTTGTTTGCAACTTTATGCGCTTAGATTTTGGAAGTGGAATACTAATAAAATAGATCTATTAGATAATGTAACAAACGAAATATATACCAGATTTAAGTTGTATCTTTAAAGATACAACTGTGACAAACAAATCGCATCCAATTTGGTGCACTAGTTTTTGCATGATGCTGTAATAAATATGCAAACACGTAGACAAAAAATCTACAAATTATTATATTACTTGCTCCATATCAATTATTTATAGATATCTTCTATGCAGAGACAATAGGCTAGGTACAATTTTATTATAAGAAAAAAGAATAGACCATGGTTTCTATACCATATCAGCCGTTGACTATCCAGTGATAAACATAGGCCTTCCTCATAAAGGGGGAGGGGGGATTACCAGTAGTATCACGCTAGGCAGGCGGATTGGCAACCGCAGATGGGCTTTGGTGGTGTTTTAAGAAGGACGCTGTTATCCATCCCTTGACCATTAAATTCCCTTAGTCGCCTCTTACAACACACACGGGAAAGGAAGATGTATCCCATTCTATGCCAGGAGCACACGGCTGTGATCATTATGTTTGCAGTAAAAACTCGTAGTATGCATTCCGACGATTGAAAATAGTTACCAAATCATAATCTATTTATACAAATAAAAATAAATTGCCTAATGCACTTATCACAGAAGCACATCACTTCAGAACGCCGCTCCTATTTTAGGAATTATTTCTTTGTTATTTTTATAATTGTAAGAACAAGTTATATGTGATAGAAAATGTTTGAAAAATTCTATAGAAAAGTGAAAATGTTTGGATTAAAAAATCTACATAAAAAAATTGAGCGAATGAGCGGGAGGAAAGATTTGGTTTTATTTTCTTCATCCGTACGCACTTGCAAAGCCGAGACGGGAACATTATATTGAATGAATGATTTCAATAATTATCATGAGTACTGTGTTATACTTATTAATATGATTATACTCGTATAGTGTTACTTACATACTGTCCAACTTTGACACACTCTTTACTTGGAGAAACGGGAGCCTGATTTGTTGTTACTTCTTCGATTTTAGCATCTTTATCCTCTGTCATAGCATTATTAGGTTCATCATGGTCTTTAATATCAGTTTCGGAAATTTTACCATTATCTATTACATTACTGGTCACTAGCTCAATAATTACAACAAAGGATAAAAACAAAATAATAGGTGTGACACGAGACATTGTGGACAAAAGGTATTCGACACTAACGGGTACTACTTGAAGATACATGATTATATACTGTCAACAAATGTGCGGCTTTTACGATTAACCTATCTATACCAAAGTATGCTACCCGCATACCTAATGGGTAACGGCAGATAATATAACAGTAAACAACGCAAACAGGGTGGTACAATTCTTTAAAAAAAACATAAACATTTCATTAAGAAATTCTTATTAAGTAAAAGCTCATTACTATAACGATTAGGTTATAGTAATATGGAATATTCAACGAACCTGTTATTTTAGACGTAATACATTTAAATAAATATTCGTACACATACTGTTAATAGAGGTTTTTAAAAATATCAAATAGTTCAATTTCTTGTAATTGCAGTAAAATCACAAAACTTAAATAACATTTGACTTTGTATTTGGTAATATCATAAACACGAATGTGTATTTATCTGTTTGATTTGTTCAACTATCAAATCTCTTTAGTTGAGCAGGGCATTGAAATTAGATGAAATGATCCACGAGAAATGCAGCAGCCATAGATTCTTTTACACAACTACCACTGCCATCTGATAATCATCATTCGGCCTTCCATTGTCCTCTGCTAAACAAAATATAAGCTATGTCCAACAACGGACAATTCAAAATATACATTGTTTATAGACACATTTGTAGTATTTTAAATTCAAATATTTCAGCTTTAATACAATTTAGCATGATCCACATATGATTTGTTTCTTTTAAATTGATCTTTCCAAATATAGCGTTTCCATGTGTGACCACTCAATTTAAAAGGCATTAGTCGAAAATAACGCTAACTTTACTCTTTGGTTGAATATATAGAAATCAAGTCTGATTGACAAATATCAAAAGTAAACCCAGTCCTGGATTAAAAATAAGAATCAACCTATAGGGCTCCATTGTAATAGGTAAATCGCTGCTACTCCACTTTTTTTCTTACCTATCTAATGATTTTTAATATTGTCATTGACTGCTCCAAATAGTTCGTAATACTTAATTACCTGTTATTAGTGTATAATCTATTGACAACCGATAAAGCAATGGTGGAGGAAAATCGACTCTATGTACCTACCATACAAAAATAGACGTAATGGGCAAATATATTAAAACCCAATAATATTACTTATTTAAAAAACTAAATCGTTTTGAGAAGATGAACAGATATTTTCTTTTGCTTTCTCCAAAAAATTACGGAAATGAACTTATTATAGATTATTAATTTCAGAAAACAATGAACAGAAGTTTTAAAAATAAAAATATTGTTATAAATACAAATAATTATAAGAGAAGATCCTACAAGGAGCCTAAGTTAAATCGGTAAATGCATAATATTTCGCAATGTGTTTTAAATCAATTCCGCCAATTTGAAGAGAAAGTAATAAATTTTATTATAAATCACACAGTCCTATGATCAATTTAGCATGAAAGGTTGAAAAATTATTATATTTCAAAATAATTTTGTTTGGAAAAAGTTGTAAGAAATAAATAATATTTTAGAGTTTTATATTCTTACGAAATTACTAATATATATATGTATTATTTGATTGATTACCTACTGATAAATCATCTCTCACAAACCCTAAAAAATTATTGTGATACGAGTATGGTAGAATTATTAAAAATACAGATGTCGTGTAAACTTTCTTTATTAGATATAGGTAAGCTGTAGCGAAAATTTTAATTATTGCCAATACTAAGTTTTAACAGAAAAATGTAATAAGCAATTTCAATTCCAGCTACAGCATTTATAAAAACTGAACAATTGTTATAAGATGGATTGAAAAGGAAATGTATTCTTTAAAGAAACTACGCGATCGATCAAATATTATACTTTCAAACATTTTTTTCACTTCGAATTCTTTGGAATAAGTTGTCCAATTTCATGAATTTTTTACGGTCCCTATATTATATCATCCATTTCACTGTAGGCCTCTGAAAGGTATGTTCAAAACGGTTGGAGTGTTATTATTTTTTGGTGGTCGTGGTTGACGTGGAACCAAAGACACTAATGGTGCCTGATTGTCAATAGGATTATTAAGCAAGTTGGGCACCACGCCGTTACCCGTCACTGGTTTGAGAAGAGTAGTTGGCAATTTCAATAAACCATCGAACAGCTTCTTGCAGAATTCTCCCGAGGTCCTTTCGGCCATATTGCCCCACAAACCCATTTGGCAGTATCTAAAAAATGGATAATATAACATAATACGTTCAGAAATTATTGTATTGTTTATTTTCATAATAATTATTACTGAGCTTCGAATTGATATAATCTTTTAACTAAGCCTGTTACTCGTATTAATCCGTACAAAAAGAAATTGGGAATAATAGAATAGTATTAAAAAAAAATTGAGAATTCGTTTGCCCTTGCTGGTAAAATAATCGATATAAAAGTAAAATTAACATCCTGCTGTATTAGTGTTGTACAATATCAGAAGGTTCAATATACAGATCGAAAATACATAGATTACGATATTTGTTTTTACTTCTTAACAAATTGCATGAACGAGTTTATATAACTGTTAGATATTCTTTGTTTTGCTTACTGTTCTTGAGCACGAAATACATCGTAAATCTGCTTAGTGATATAGCAGACAACTGTTCTTATATTTTTAAGAATAGGTATCGATTTATTTGTTCAGAACGGAGAAACGGTTTTTAAAAATGCTTTGATTTTACTAGTTTGACTTACCTGAAATTTTGTCCCAGAGAAATATCACTATCGATTTTTATATATTGATCATTATCCTTGGAAAATGGTAATAGGTCGGGAAACTTTGACTCCTTTTTTGTTCCAAGAGGGTGTAGGCTATGAGCGAATTTGGCTATCATGCCTACAAAAGATTTACGGACATGCGCATCTGTAGATGAAATCTCATCTTTTTCTATAGAATTTCCATCTTCATCTAGAGGATCGAATAAATAAGCTAATTCATCTCCATGCGCTGGCCCTTTAATGTTACTTTTTTTTGCATCTTCGTTTTCTTCATTGTTTTCTATAATAACGATAAAAACATATATTTTTTTAAACACGAGTATAATGTTCTAGTGTATAAACTTACAAAATGATTTTAATTTTTTTGATATTTACTTCACTTAGTCATTACAATATCTAAATTTACAGGCTCCGAACTAACCGAGCATGCAGAATTTCTTGTTCTCATAAAAAATTTTATTGCCTTATACTATACTTGAATTTCTCTAATATCTCACGTATATAACAATATATTTTATTTCGAATATAAAAAATTAATTAGTATACCAGCTAGTATCACTCCAGGTAAGAAATGCGATCCTTTTGTAAGATTGCCCACAAATTCAAAGCTGTAGAGGTAAGACGGGGCCCCAGTGGCCCACTCTTTAACGCTTTGATATGCAGGGAAATTGAACAAGGCATCTCCTATAAACAAATACATATATCAAAATAATTAGCAGTTTTTTTTGTATATGACGAACGAGCAAACGGTTTACCTAATGGAAACTGACTAACACCTAGAAACATCACATTTATAATAACGTTGATAAAGACCATTCTTGAAAATTAAGTCAATATGAAACCTTGGACACGACATTATAAAGAAATACAATGATTACATTGCTGTTTCACACCAAAACTAAATAACAACATGAAAATTCTGGACTGAATATTTTATAAATTAATTTGAGTTAAAACATCGACTATCTTTATTTTATTTTTAATACAATAACCTCTAATTCGAATCTATTTAAAATATATTTTTAATCAAAGATTTGAAGCGCCTCATGTCTGTTTCATGTCATCGCTGTAGGTAAAAGCTCCTTTTGTGAGAATACAAAAAAAATGTAATAGGGACCCTTTTATTCACCAAGACCCTTCTCATAGAGTGCGCGAGTCCAGTCCGACAGCTGTTACATTCGTTTATTACTATTAGCTAAATCGAATACCACGTGTATTGATATAATTGGATAATTGTTCAAAATTGTGGCTAAATATGCGCTTGACACTTATATGAATCCTGCAATTTCGTCAAATATCTCTTTATTATTATTACTAGTAATATGCCTACCTGTTGCTTCGACGATTTTCGTAAGTCCGTCAATTGAAGAAATTGTGTTCTGTACTGACTGATTTCTTATCGCACTATACGATTGATAAAAATCTCCCAATGGAAACACTTTTTGCACTTGATCCAATTTTAACGAAGACAGTATGAGACCTTCAACATCCGTAACAACGGTTTGCAAACCTCCAATTATGTCTTTCTTAATAAAGTCAGAAACTTCTTCCAATTGTTTCTTCAAGAAATTCGAGTATTTACCTGAAATTATTTTTCATTATTATAGGTACATAAACTCTGTGGCTCTTATTTTTAAAAACTTATGTAACTCATGATTTTCTTGCATAACAGAATTCTAGTAACCTACAACATAACTAATCGAAATCATTTTATGTATCTTTATTTTTCTACCGTTCTTCAATAAAATATAATTCTAACAAATACCGAATACAGCTCGTGAGGTTTCCGCGGAAGTAACACCCGTAAGCAAAGGAGCATGCTGCCTTTTCTTTTTAAGCGAATTTGCTGGCATTTCTTCAACTAATATAGGTAAGGCACGATAATCGTCCGCACCTTCCACACGCGCACCAGTACCTGAAAAATACGTTAAAAATATTTTTTTCATTTCACTGCTCTTATATTTTCAACAACAAAATACAAAGTTAACTTACCACTACGTCCTGCCACTTCATCCAAAAAGTTTTGTGTTGTAAAATCTACATTCGAATCTTGGTCCGCCTATCAAATCATAATATATGTATTAGAATTGTTTATGATACAAAATTGAGTACATATAGTAACTTAATTTTTGTACTGTGTTACCTTTATGATCTTCTCAACAGGAAGCGCCCTTAGACAAAGTGCAAGACGTTCTACTGGTTTTGACGGGCAATTTGTCCGAGCTGCTAAATCTTCAGCATGTTTCTCTGGGCTAGTTCGTACAGCACCTGGTGATAATGGAGCTCCTGATAATGCAGCCACACCTTTAGAACTCCGATCTTCAGGAGACAGGGATAGCATGGACGCAGCACTAGCTCCAGAACCTTGTCCCATTATAATAACTTTAGTTGGGTCTCCTCCAAAGAACTGAATGTAGTCTTTAACCTTAAACATTGTATTTGAATAATATTGATTTGTTTTGCACAACACAAAATACAAACTGTATTTTGAAAGCATGAATTTATGTAGTCTAATTGAGAGAGTATAATTCCATCCTTCAAACTATTTCTAAACAATTTTAATTGACTTTTATATAATTTATTATTATTAAAAACCAACTTTTGTACACTTACCCAAGACATAGCGGCATGCAAGTCGAACATACCCGCATTACCCGAAGCATCCTTACGACCGTTTGTAATGAAACCAAGAGACCCAAGGCGATATTGAGCCACCACTACTATCGTGTCTGCTTGAACCAAATGCTTACCCTTTAAAGAGATCATAAAAATTAAGATTAATTCTTATTCTACAAATCAAAATAGGAAATATATCCTTGAAATCAACTCAATGACGATTGGAATGATCTAATCAAAACATTTGAAATACTGAGTTAATTTTGAAAATAGAATTTAAAGGGAAAAAATCTATATGTTAATGGACGGCATAAAAATACATTTTCATCTCCAAGAGGTGACTAAGAGAAAACAAAACACAATAAACTAATATAAAACAAGAAATCGAAATAAAACTCTATTCTTAGCCTCTCGGTAATCATTGTAATATTAGGATTAATATCTTTTTTTCTTAGGGGAGATCTGTAAAATGAGACGGCATTAGACTATTACGGTTATAGTACTATAGTCACAAAACTCACCCCATAAGGGTGCGCCGAACCAGTTCTATAATTGCCTCCGTGTATGAAGAAAACGACAGGAGAACCTGTAATATATATATTTTTGCAAAATTTTAATCAGTTAAAACATTAGTATACTATTATTTGTGTGTGTGTGTGTGTGTGTGTATGTATAGGTACTCATCCAGTAGAATTATGATTTTCTTACAGAGGGAAACTTTATACAAAAGTCGATTGCCTGGGTACCTCTGTCCCATTCGTGTTTCAACCGTGAAACAGTTGTGTTTGCATGGCTGTGTTTCGGTTTGAAGGGTTGGATATAGCGTGAATTTACAGGGTACAGAGGAATAACACCTGAGTCCTCAGGAATGGCAACGCATGGGGGGTATCATGAGCGAAACATTATACTCTGTTATGTCCATGGTACTGCTCATGTCTATAGGCGACAGTTACCACTTTCCATCAGGTGGGCCGTCAGCTTGTTTGCTATTCTAAGTTGTATAAAAAAAAAAGATACATAGAGGAAATCATAAGAATGTTATTGTAAAAACCTGAAAGATTTATTATTGAAATATGTTTAGCCAATGAGTTAAAAGCAATGTTCTTTTGCCGGATCAGTCATTCACTGACTAGGTAGTGATTTATATTGTTTTGATAAACGTTACATCCATCATTATAAAGCTATCCATACTAAATTAATTACAGGACGCAACATGTCGTTTTTAAATTTAGAGCCAATTTGTTTGTGCAAAAGGTACAGTTTCTTTCATAGAATACTTCCGTAAAAGGTTGCTATTGATTTTGATTTAATCCTTTATTATTATAAGTGAGAAAGCACTTATACTATTACCATACATTTTTATTTAACTATATTATATAACCAGATCGTTTAACCCTTTATATTACCCCTCTTTAGAGACTCACCTTTTTCGTCTCCTGGCATTTTCGGACTGAAGACATTTAGGCAGAGGCAGTCTTCATTTCCGAAAATGTTCATTAACCTTGGCTGAGGACAAGCGGAACAAGGTTTGGATGCAGTTAGTTCTCCGGCCAGGATCCGTCGCACCGGCCTTTGAAATCTCCGAGGACCCACTGGCGGTTCCGCATATCTATAGAACAGAATAAGTACCGAGTATACTACGTAGCTTAAGTATCTCTAATTGCCTATACTATTTATTGCAATATTCAATACAGTCAAATTGGGGGAAAGGGATTGTTAGTAATGGATCTAATTGACTCATTGCTAGCAATACACCCTGTCAGATCGACCTCCAAGCGGTTCCCCCTGGAAACCATTGTGATTCTTATTAATTTGTTCTTGTTCTTCTTGCATTCGTCACGACGGGCTAAATGACCTGCTTTTTCATTCTCACCTATCATCTCTCACTGGTGCCCCGCGAGCGTATACCGATAGCGCAAGCGGGGTTACCATTCCATTATCACCCATTAAAAAATACAGTAAAATTTTCAAGCAAGGAAAAATTTGCAAGTATAAGCAAATTCTTGCTTAGTAAAAATTCTACTGCATTGTGTAATAATTTAAGATTTTATTTAATCTAGACAAAAAAGAACAAACCTCATGACAAAATTTACGTCATTACGGGAATAAACCTTGTGTTCAGAGCTGGAGAAGGTATCGCATAATACATTACAGGTGCATTGAATATGTCCGCTTACAGAATCTTTTTCTGTGTTTCTGTTACCTACTACTGTAAATGCCCAATTTCACATCATACTTTTATAATGTTTTTTATCTAAATATATACATATGACATAAATACAATTCTTATGTAAAAATTTTAAACAACTAAAATTGTTATCAGAACATCCGCAAATATTGCATCCGCACAGTGATTTCGTGATAAATAAATGGCAATATTTATTATTTTGATGGTAAGGAATTATTTGTGTCATAAAATAAACCTACTTTCTTAGAGACTTTACAGATTTATAACACAAGTTCTTACTTGCTGTGATTATTACAAAAGCTTTAGCAAATAGGTGGTATCTGCCATAAACTGTAGTGTAAAATTTTGAGCCAAAAATAGTCACTCAAAGTAGGTACAAAATTTCGTTCGCTAAACTAGGTTTAGTAAGTGGTACTAATGACTATATCAAGGTGAACTCCAGGACTGGAGTTTAATATTTATTAAACTGAATAACTTGCTTCTAAGAGCATAGTCAAACTTTAATTTTTTTATACAACATGTAATGGCAATCAAGCTGACAGTAAGGAATGGAAATAAATATACTGTAAAACCCATGGTAGGTATCCTTTATGCATTTTCATTTTAGACGATTATGGTGTTATGTTTCCGTATAAATTTCTAAAATGCTAAAACCTTATATAGATAGAGCATTGAATATCAAAAACGAGTCAACATTTTGTCAGCTAATTGTCAAATTAGCCGACTCATTTTTTATCAGTGTTCTATATACATACGCACACAATGTATCTTGACGTATCTATATTTAATTATAATAATACATTTTAATAAATAAATGAGTTTTTGTGTTTGCATTGTAAAACGCAAAAATTATAAAACTAAATATAAAAGTTATAAAGGAAACACTCAACTATTTATCACGCAATAATTCAAGAAAAAATTTACTTGCTTTTCTCGAAGCATTTGTATGGAAACACTATCTATATAATTTAAGGCTAAAACCCTGAACATGAATAGTAATTAAATCGCAATCAGTAGTACCTACGAAGTACTATGTATAGGGGAAGGGATTTTTAGTAATGAGTACCCTATCAGGTCGACTTCCATGTGGTTTCCTTAGTTATTTCTTAGTGATCTCGAAATGATAGGCCGCCTGACCTGCTTTCTTTTTTAATCCTCATCTATCATCATTCGTTTGTACCCAGCCAACATAAAATAGTAAAGGTTAGCATTTTATTTTCATCCTATTATATGTCTTAAGTTTTATACTACTATTGCAAGGAAGATGATTATTGCACCAAAACAAACCTTATCCCAAAAAATGTGTAGTAACCGAGCTTCGGATCCTTGATTCCTTCTATTCGAGAGCTTCGTCCATATTTCTGCACGAAAACCACAGCTGCATCAGGCTCTGGCGGAGAAGCAGGATTACCACCCACCACAGCATCAGCTGGCCACCATAGGCTCGTCATTACACCACACCATATCCACAACCATACAGATCTCATTTTACCAGCGAAATAAAATAAACTTTATTTGTTACCTACTGCAATCTATTTTTAACGGATGTCCTGTGATATCACTTCAATATTTTAGTGGAAAAAAAAAATACGACTGGGCGGATTATTGAATTCTAAAGCGCTTACTGTTTATTTCATTATCTTTATTATTTTTGATCATGAAAAAGCTAATTACTTAGTAAACATTACCTAAATTTAATTTAATATCTCGTTTCGATTTCTTATATTGGATAAAATTGGAATGGTAACTCCACCTGGGTTTTGGTTGTGATGATAGGTAAACAAAATGTTAGAACGAATTCATCAAGAATTTACCACTATGATATTTGGAAAGACCCTTTGGCATTTGGACCATTTGGGAAGATAAGTATACCCTCTCAGGTTAACCTCCACGCAGTCAACCTGAGACGGTATATTTATAGTACCATTTACTCAAGCATATGCGCCATTTTATTGTCAACCACAAAAAATCCTTCAAGATGGAACTTTACCTTTTTTTTCAAAGTGTGAAAATGTAGTAGCGACTCCGTTTGTACTGTCGGTATACACTGGCGGAACAACATTAAAGGATCGTTCATGAAGACGAGGATGAAATAGGTGAGTTGACCCGTCGTGACGAATTAAATACATAGTTATAAACATCAACATTTTGTTGGGGGGAACCGTGTGGCGGTTGACCTAATATTGCTAGCAAGGAGGCAGTTTTTTTATTATTTAAAAAAAATATATATATAATACACAGTATAATTTTTGCCTTACTCAAAAATCTCACGTGGTTTATCCAGGTATCAGCGAACCGCTAGTTAGACCCCATTAACAATCTCTTCCCCTTAAAGTTTGTTACGACGTCGCCCACGCTATATCCAATATCGATATCGATATCGGGTACGCCTTACCTTTATATTTAATAACATTATATTGAGGGGGAAAGGAATTGTTAGTATTAAGGTCATTGCTAGCCCACATCCACTTGGTTTCCCTTAGAAACCATAGAGATTAATTCTTGAATTCGTCACGATGGACTAACTGACCTTATCTTAACCTATCATCCCTCGCTGGTGCCCCGCCAGCGTATACCAATATAGCGCAGGCAGGATTACCATGCCATTTTCACTCATTAAAAAAAAATTGCTCCTGCGCAAATATATGTGTTGGAATTAAACATTTACAAATTAAACATATTTTCAACATTTGTGCCAAATAAAATGTTTTTGCGGGGAGTTTTACTTCATTATTTTATTATGAAAAAATAATGTTGCTGAAGTTCATCGTACTTCAGCAACATTATTTTTTCATAACATTTTTAACATTTTAGTGGAAGTATATTTTTTTTTATTTATTTATTTAGGTTTACCAACAATTGTTTACACAAAATAATGTAAATATATATACAATTATGGAGCTTAGAACTAAGTGTAACAATTTTTATAGGCAAACACAGCATATATTGATACATGTATAATAATAAGTACGGAGTATATAGTGATCATGCTCTAGCTAAGCAAACATGTTGGAAGTAGTTCGCATGTTTTAAAGCTGATGATTTTGAACTGAAAGACAAGGAGCGACCTGACCTGTCAAAAAAATTTAAAGATAAAGAGCTGGAGGCATCGCTCAATGAAGACTCATATCATACACTTCAAGAATTGTCTACATCATGCATCATTGGAAATCGACTTATCGACGGTAGGAATACGTCTCAAAATATTAGTTATAATCCATAAGGAGGGACATTGGGTCCCATATGAATTGAAACCAAGGGGCATGAGAGGCATCTTTTGACATGTGAACTGCTGCTTCAACGGGAGGAGAGAAAAGGTTTTTTTTGCTGGTGATGAACATCCATTACAACAATCCGAGCGGCAGAAAGTCATCTATTAAGCTCGGCCAACCATCAAGATCAGCGGCAAAGCAAAATATCCATGGGTTTAAGCTCCTGCTATTTATTTGGTGGGATCAGAGAGGTGTGACTTATTATAAATTGTTGAACCGAACGAAACTATGACAGTAGATCGCTACCGACTGCATTTGATGCGATTGAGTCATGCAATGAAAGAATAATGGCCGAAATACTCCGAAGAACAAGACAAAGTTTTTTTGCTGCACGACAATGCTCGTCCACGTTTCGCAAAACCGGTACAAATGTACCTAAAAACACTTAAATGGGAAGTCCTACCCCACCCGCCGTATTTTCCAGATATCGCTTCTTCAGATTACTATTTGTTTCGTTCTCTGAGCAGAAGTTTACTTCTTACGAAGAGTGTCAAAAATGGGTCAATTCATGAATTGCATCAAAAAACGAGGTGTTCTTCCGACACGGTATTCGTAGCCTGCCCGGAAGATGGTCAAAAGTAGTAAAAAGCGATGGGGAATATTTCCACTAGTGTATTTTTTTTTTTTTACTTTCCATTGATAAAAATATTTTATAACATTAAAAAAACGCTACGCATTAATGCCAACATCTAATAGATAATTTATTAACCGGTTGTTAATAATTTTTTCTAAAGTTTTCGAAATGGATGTTAGGATTGAAATTGGTCTGAAATTTTCGGGTTTGTTACCCTCTTCTTCTTTGTGCATTTGCGTTATAAGAGCCTGCTCCAAAGCATTAGGGAAAATCCCCTGTTCACATTATAGATTCAATAGATGGCATAACAGAGTTACAATCATTTCATGTGCTACTTTTAAAATACTAGTTTGTAATTCATAAATTCCAGTTACAATGTCCCTTTTTAACTCATCAGAACTGAATGTGTCTCAGCAGGGTCTGTGTCGTATAGCACAAATGAAGAATTAGGAGGGTTTTCAGGCTCATAAATATTAGGATCCTAAATAGTGAAGGAGGCCACCTTAATTTTATCTACCTGTACCTTAACAATATTGGAAAAATGATGTGTGTTGTGTTGATGCCATCTCCAGTAAATTCAAGTCTTGTAATTTTTTAGGATTTCTTTGAGCAATACAGTTTACAGTATCCCATAATTTTTGGGTTATATTGTACATTACTTAGTTTTTCTCTCTTAAATTTTCGTTTCTGATTTTTAATCAAATTATTACAATGGTTACGGTATCGTTTGTATATTATTTTTAATATTTCATTAAGTGGATCTTCATTTTTTTTTGCATATTATTGTAATTTCTAATACAAGGTACCAATCCTACTGTCATCTAGGGTTTGAGGATTCTATCCAGGTTGTCTGAGTTTGCTTTCTGCTTTAGCAATGACACAAATACTAGTATAGTATTCTATTATCTGTGGCAATGAGTTCGCCTTTTGTATATGCATATTCTATATAAACACTACTTTTATACATCTCTACTGTGCACAATAAAAAGTATATTATTATTATTCTTTATTTTACAGGAATTGTGATTAAATTTGTGACTAATAAGACACTGTTGAATTCTATTAATTATTTATAAACGTGTTCGGATTATTTAATTTAATCAAATCCAATTCAATAACGAATATATCAGATAGCGGTTACCCAATATGTTATCAAAGTAAAGAAACCGATTGAAATCGATATACATAACAGATATGTATGAACAATATCGAAATTATGTAACAAAAAAGTGACGTGTTGAATGGGTGACTCGAGCCATCACTTTTTTTTTATCTATATTTAACTTTCAATATTGACAAAATATTTAGAAAAGATCTTACTATTTTGTGATAATTTTAAAGGTATTTAAGATAATTTTGTTAAACGGAGTTGGCAACATTTTAGAACGAATTGTCGTCTTAGAAATTATTGAAAATTTATTTATTTATTCTTTCATTACATAATATATGTAATTTATTTACAGTCAATTTTGTACTCTACGTAATAATACGTTACCTGCGTGTACAGAATAAGTCCATAAAATATAATTCTAAAAACATAACTTGCACGATAATGTTGCTAGTGCATTAAAGTAATTTATTATATTGTGGAAATAAAATGAACAGTAATTTCTGAAAATAGGTAGATATATATTTTGTAACGTGATTCTATATAATATATTACAAAGTAGTCATAAATATATTTAATAAATGGTATTAAATATATTTATGACTACTTTGTAATATATTAATTTTACCAAACTATCAAATTAAAATATTAATTCAGAGTCGCTATTATATAATCCAATCTGCAATCCAAAGTATTATATATTTGACAGTGTATTTAACCATATTGTAATACCAAATAATTTATATGCTATGTAAAAATTGCCAAAAGTGTAAGTTGTTGTTGGCACATTCAGTACTTTTGTTGTTACACTAACATTTTAATTTGATAACTTAGTAAAATGAATCTATTGCGAAATAGTTATATACATATTTTTTTAAAAAGTAAATGATGACATATTAGTTTTTGGGAATCACTCACCGTTTTTATTTCCACGAAACGTAAATTAATTTAGTGTACTAGCAACATTATCGTAGAAATTAATTTTATCAATTTTATGCTCTCGCTTTATACACATAGAGTATAAAATTGACTGATTATTAGCAAAATCCGTGGAATTCTGCCCAGTTCTTTCTACAATCATTCTTGAAGCGGTAAATCCTATTATGCGTGAAACAATCATTTCTTACTAAGGATGAATGTTGATTTTTATAAATATTATTACAAAAATTTAAATTTAGTTTTCATTTAAATTGGTTTACTTTTAATTCGTTTAAAGAAAAGTAAATCTTTATTATTTATATTTTCAGTTTACGTTCAGCGGAATGCTAATGTAATTAGTACATAAGTACTTATCTAAGTAATATAAAATTTAACGGCTACCGATTAAAAAAAATTGTAGATTAAAAATATTTGTTTGAAGCCGAAAGAAGTATTTATTTATTTTATTTATACATTTGAAGATAGTGTCAAATAATATAAAAAAGTAATTAATGCAATAATTATATATAGAACAATATAAAAAAGTAAATAATGCAAGTATTATAAAAGCTCTAATTCAGTGTCATGTTCAATTTTTTTTTAGCGTCATTTTCCCTTTTATTGTAAGATTATAATTAAAGTTGAGCTTATTATTATAAATACTTACATATATCCTAATTAATATTTATCAACTAATTCACTCCTTTAAGTAATTACTTAATTATGAAAATAACGTCGCCCATTAAAGACTAAGGTTAAAAAAAACTTATTGCAGCATATTTCAAGGTGTACCTAAAGTATTATGTATGTAATGGTAAGAAAAAACTATTCTTGACATATACATTACTACTATTTTTCATTCATGGTAAAACGTTGACATTGTGTTGTTGCAATTCCACACCAACTTTTACGATCATTTATCCGATCTTTTATATTTTATAGAAGCCTTTTTTCAAGGATAATAATCTACTCCTAACTGTGCAATATTTATTAATTTGCAAATTTATATAAAATATAATTTTATAAGGACGTATTTTGTTATAAACATGATTTTAATGGAAATCGTGGAAAAAGATGGCAACACCGAAACCTGTGACGCCACAGTATACGTCGCGTTTGCGTCATCACATCTTGAACAGCGCTCAAACTGGGAGGACGTGCGATGAAAGTGTGCAGTGCTTAATTAGAAACATTCTATATTTTTTTTTCAAATGTTTCTAATATCGAAATTATAAAGTACAAAGTTATTAGGATAAGGTACTCATCCGATTGTAATTTTTTTATTATCAAGTTTTCTTTGTTTTATATCTTGCATATTTAATCTCTTTTCTTTGTTTAAGGTTCCTCATAGAGGCGCCGCCATCATGGCGTCGGACGAACAATTTTCATTATGTTGGAACAATTTCCACGCGAATATGTCAGCAGGCTTTCATGGCCTGCTGTCGCGTGGAGATTTGGTAGATGTAACGTTGGCTGCCGAAGGCAGGTTATTACAGGCACACAAATTAGTTTTATCAGTATGTTCTCCCTATTTTCAAGAAATGTTCAAAATGAACCCAACTCAACATCCCATAGGTATGTACATCTACTTTGAGTCATAATGGAATATCTTTATTCATTATCTTGTACTAATGTTTTATTTTTTGTTTCAGTATTTTTAAAAGATGTTAGTCATTCTGCGTTAAGAGACTTATTACAGTTTATGTACCAAGGTGAAGTTAATGTTAAGCAAGAAGAATTAGCGTCGTTTATTAGTACCGCGGAACAGCTTCAAGTGAAAGGTTTAACCGGTAATCAAAATGAAGAAAGTTCCACGCCATCCAAACCAAAGCCGACATCGAGGCCAGGCCCGAGGTCGTCACAACAAAGGCAATCTGTTATGAAGTTAGAGACTGATTTAGATTCTAAGCCCTCCTCAACTCCAGTAGCAATTAAGAGACCAAATAGGCCATCAATAGCATCAAATAATTCATCATCCTCACAAAGTGGACCTGCGAAACGAAAATGCGTGGACCCCTTAGAAGCCGGCCCTTCTGGATCTGCGAAAGAAGAATTCGTAACGATACCGGACGAGGATGAAAACAACGCTGTGGCACCCAAAATGGAACCCGAATTTGTTAATGAAAGTATGTGGGATGACGACGAAGACGGCGCGAATAATGATGAAACAAACTTCGGTGAAGATGACTCTAATATGGAAATGACTGGTGAATATTTCCCTTTTTGAATTGTCATTATTTAATCTTTGTACACTATAGCAATCTAATGTACTTTTATTTTACAGGCTTTGATGGTTCAGCAACTGGGGATGGCAATTTAACTGGTGCGGGTGGGGAAGGTGGAGCTGTAGGCGACGCACAAGGTAGGTTTACAATTCCCACTCGAAGTACAGTTTGGTCATCTCCGTATGACTGAACTGTACCAAAAATCGTATGTACATGATTAGTTGTAAATTCATCAATTTAAATTATAATTAACTATTTCATTATTATATCATTGATCATGTACATATTTAGTTCTAGAAAATGAGATTTGTAAGTTTAGATTAAGTAGTTGTAGAATCTAGTAATTCTTGTATAGTAAATTTTTGCCTGTTCCAGGTTTTTTAATCAACAAATCTGCTGCTCCATAGATTACATTCTTGAAGCAACATTTTTGTTGGTTTTTTTGTAAAGGTTTTCAAAGGTAATGGAGGTATTGGTAAAAACAAAATTATATTGTGGTTAACAATTGGTACAGATTCTGGTTAATTGAATCCTGTTATAATGGCACACTTATTGTACAAAGGTAAATATTGGTAGGTAACTTTGTATTGATTTCCGCGGAGTCCCATTGGTATTTACTAAAATTTGAGTTTGTTACAAGGACCAGTTCCTTTTTGCAATCACGCAAGGTCTTGTAACTTCCTCAAATTCTTTTAACATGGTAAAATCTGAACTAATTGAAAATTTCTAACTATATACTTCAAGTTAATATTTAGAAATTATTTCATTTTTCCTTTATCACTACACGTGTACACGTGATTGGTGAGGATGTTTGCGAGAATGTTAGAGGGCCATTTCAAGATCGACCCGACCATTTTAAATCTATGACAAACTACCAATTAATGACCTATTTGACTAGCCCGTCCCTATACATATTCTCATTCTTAAATCCTCCCACTATTCATGGAAACTTTTTTTCAACGTTTCTAATTGTTAGGTATTCTGTTAAAACGACACGGTGTGCTTGGTCATTACTATTTTGTAGGTTAAACCTCGCGCTGTTCCCATCGGCGCACTTGTATGAAATTTGTGTATGCTTCATTTAAAAGGTAACTTGATTCTTCACACTAGGATCTCTAAAATTGATGGTACATCGTACTCCTAAAGTTGACGTAGAAACATTTCAAGGGTCGAACTGGTATAGCGCCTTAGTGGAAATCCTTAGTAACCTAGTAGTATGTATATAATAGGTACTAAGGAATGTCGATCAATATGATTCGCTGGAGTGCCTAAGGTCGCACGCAGAGATAATTTTACGACATAAATTGGAAATTTTGTAAGACGTTACCGAAATGATTGCTATTTTATAGTTTTAAGGTTGGCAGTGAATTTACGGATTACTTTATCCTTTGAAATAATTAAATTATTGGATGGTAGACCAAACTTGTACCACAAAGGTGGCAATCGAGTATAAGGAGCTCGTCTGATGGGGGGGAGGAGAACTGACTTTCATCCTCGTCTTTCATCACTCACTAGTTCCCTGTCAGTGTATATGGATAGCGCAGGTGGTGCAACCATTCCATTTTTTTTTTAATGGATGATAATGGAATAGTAACCCCACCCGTGCTATCGGAATACACCGGCGGGGCACCAGTGAAGGATGATAGGTGAAGATGAAGTAGGTCAGTTAGCCCATCGTGACGGATTCAACAAGAATTGTTCACGATGGTTTCCAGGGGGAACCACGTGGAGGTCGACCTAATAAGGTATATTGCTAGCAATGGGGCTGTCGAACTCCATGGCTAACAATCCATTTCCCTCCAACAACCATTCCATTATCATCCATAAAAAAAAGCCCGTCTGATGGTAAACGGTCTATTCCCGTGGACGCCTGCAACACTAGAAGTGTCATGTGCGGGTTTGGCGACTCTGAAGAAACCTTTTTTAACCCCCAACCCTTTAATACCTGAAGTTTCAAATGTGATACCGGGGTTTGCATTATTTCATTGTTAAATTTTAAATATTTTGATTACCGTAATACCTAAAGTATCATAAATCATACCAAATGTTTTTTTTTAATAAATATATAAAAATATCGTTTTGATTTTTTTTTACTATTTTTCCCCATTAGTAAACACAGTAAAGGATACACAAACATTTTTTTATTTGATTTAAAAAATCGGGCTTTTAAAGGTTAACCTTTAATCAGGCATAGTACGATTTATCGACCACCTAAGTAATTGGAGTTTTATAGTGATGTTTTTTTTTTAATTCATAAGACCTTTATTTGATTACCAATATTTGTATCTTTCGTATGAAGCTAAACTTTTTTTTACTAAACAATTAATTTTGGGGAAAATTATTCAAAGAAAGTAGTCATTATATGTCCTATACCTGTCTGGCGGTAGTATGATATGGACACTGTTTCCATTATACAAGACATGATTTTGAAATAAAAATATAATTGTAAATTATTAGGTTTTTTATAACAAAAATAATATTCTACGTTTTTTTCTAACAAAAATATTTTACGTTTTTTTTTTAATAATAATATTCTTCTAGTTGCGTAAAAAAAAATTTAATAGGGAAAGAAATTAAAATAGGAATAATGGAAACAAATTATAAAACGACAGAGAGCTCCTTAACAGGCATAGTGCATAATACGATCACTTTTTTGTCTTAATTTTAATATTTTTTAAGAAACTGATCTTAGGTATACATTGTACAGGTAAAAATTAAAACACCATATTTAAAAATGTTTCAATGCCAATGCACATGGGGCCTGATTAAGGGTTAAGAACCTATATTGTAGTACTCTAGGGAAAACCTCTGCAGGAAGTTCAGTCTACAGCCTGATCATTCACGGAAGAAAATTTTGCACTGTACGAAAAAAGTGGTAATATTCTGGGGAATATTTTGGTAAGTATGGTGATCAGATAAAAAATTATGGAAACTCCTTTGAGAGATATAGATTATACTTCGGCGATATCGCATCTTTCATTAGTTATCTGATCTTGCCGGACATTTCGGAGAATTAAAACAATCCTTTAGCTTTCTTTGTTTAAACTTAATCATAATTATGCTTTTTGGCACTCAACTTGCTGACTACTTGTTAAGTAGGTCATGTTTATAAAGAAAAGTTGCCAGTGTGTGCACCCGGTTGGAGATTGTAATACAAGTGGGTGAACTACTTAAGAAGCTGCTAGATGGAGTGACGAACTCGAATGTACGAACTATAAACGTATTCCTTAAAATAAAATTCTTCCTTGTGGCAGTCTATGGGGATAACCTACGTTTAATAATTAATAATGAAAGTGATTACACTAATGACGATGGTGTGTGGGAGATTTTAAATTTGTTCCTAAGTCGAATCCGTAAGTAGAGAATTAAGAATGCGCCCATAAGTTATTTATTATCACTGTTACTAAAGAACTATGTAAGTACTCCTACCATGAACATGATAATGAAAGCCTATATTGTCATTTGCTACCAACGAAATTTATTTTTAAAATATGTATTCAACTTGTAGCGCCACCTGGTGTCGTGATATAGAATTATGGTTGTGATACGGTCGCTGTGATTATATTTTTTTGTTAATAACTGTACAAATACACCAATTTCTTTTTTTTGTTTTTTGTTTAAACTTGCAAATACAGTCTACTCTCTCGACAGACGCTTGTTTAATATTTTGATGGTACTTGGTATATAATTATCGAATTATATAAGCATGGAAACCTTGAGGTAGGGTCTTAAATCGGAAGCAACTTGGAAATTATTATAAAAAAGTTACGAGTCCTATAATCGGCCGTTAGCAAGGGAGCAAGAAATTACGCAGAGATTATTAATAATGAACTAGATGGCGTTACTTGTCACTGAACTAAGATTTTCAAATGGAAAATTGTATAATAATATTTTACTTATGAAAATTTACTGAATCAGTAGGTATAACAGTGGCTTTATTAGATCTATTGTATAGTGTTTATTAAACTGATTAACTAATTGCCTAGGTTCATACTTAGTATGTTGTAGGACGGAAAAAGTGTCCTATGTGATGCTTTAAATACCATCACTCGGAAATGGCCTCTGCCAATAAATTACAGGTAAATAAAGAGCAAGATATAACTAAATACAATTCTCTTAGCAACAATTATCCAAGAGACTAATAATTATAATGCTGATAATTAAGTACTTACATTATAAAGTATATAGGCTGGCAATGTTAAAGAGAGGAAACATAATAACGTATATATTAGAGCGAGCTAGAAAAATATACACAATATATGCTCGAAGCTGATTTGGCAGGAGTATTAATGGAACTCAATTATTTTTAAATTGATAAGTCAGAAAAATGTACCAAAAAGACCATAGATTTCCTCATTTTTCGTATAATTACACTGTAAATATTTATATTTTTAAAAGCAATATTATAGAATAATCAGATATATTTTTTACAAGAATTGGTGGGGGAAAAAATTAATTTAATCCAAGTAAAGTTCTGAATGTACCTGAATCGACATTAAAATTATAAAAAATGCGTGAATTTTTGTTATTTTTGCAACTTCATATAAATTCGAATTTGTCACAAGTACATATTATATACAGATAAAAGAAACATTAGGTGTCATGTCGTATAGGGAGGTCAAGGATATAGCCTGGGATAGAATTGGCTGGAAGAAGATGCATGAATTAGTTGCACCGACAAGACGAAACTCTTAAATGAAAAGAAGAAGAATATATTTACAGAAAATGCACACTAGTGCAAACATTTCCTTGTCTCGTTTTTGTAATTGCATTGTCTATTAGTACGTAATACATCTATGGCTTAGATCAATCATTACTTTTTATCTGTAATCTTTGGTTTTTACACTAAATGTAAAGAGCACAGATAAATTAGAGGGGAGAGAAAAGTATTGTAAGCGATAAGGTCTAACAGCTCCATTGCTAACAATATACTTTATCAAGTCCACTACCACGCGGTTTTCTCTAGAAACCATCGTGGTTAATTCTTGTGGAGTTTTTCATTGGCCATTTCGTTGGTGACTGGTATATAATAACACAAGCGAAGTTACTATTCCATTTTCAGGCACCAAAAAGGAATATCTAATCTGTGACTATTTTATAGTAAGTTATTGCATTGGTATATTTAAGGTTATTTTCC